ATGAGCAAAGGTCCTTCGCGTTATCAAAGGTCATTAACAAGCCTGTCATACTGATGAGTGTCTTTCTTGCGCTGGCCTGCGTACCATGCTCAACACTCCTTGTTGCTTTTCTTAGCATCCCCGCGTGCAATACTTCTTCACCCAAGTACAAAAGTTCGCCACCTGTGAACCCATGTTGAACAGGAGCCCAGCTTTGACACGGCGCCGTTCTTTCTGAGTACCCAGCTTTTCCAAGGAACTCACTGGGCCAACAGTTGGTAGATGTTTCAGGGCCCAAATGGGACTAGGTCCTCCAGTAGAAAGGTCGAAATAAGGGTACCCTTTTACTGTAGTCTATTGTAGTAGGGGAACCCTCCCCCAAAAACGGATAAAAGGGCACTACTCGGGAACCCAGTAAAAGTCACTTGGAAATCGGGTTTCACGGATCAGCTCTCAATGCTTCAAGTAAATCAACCACTAGGGGGTGTTCCCTGCTCTCCCTGTTCCTCAAGGGTCTTCTGGGATCCTAACCCTGCCAAAGGCCAACCGGCCAAGGGCCTTAGTTCGTTGGCGACCCTTTTGTTCATGCTCGCCGCATCCTTTCACCTTCGGCTTTCGAACCAGAAATCGAAATGGGCTTCCCCTTCACATGTCCCAAGCAACCTGGAAACACATCCAGCTTCGACATGCTGAACACACTCTTGTTGCAACTGATAGAAAACCCATGTGGATGTTAACCAGTTAAAACTTGCATGTACGAAAACGTCCATGCGCAACTTGTGGTTCAGGACGCTTGTGTTCCTCTGCGTAACAGCATACAGCAATCTGCAAAAGTCTGCATAGGTGTGTCCGTTTTCTGAGGCTATCCTTTTTTGAGTCGGTGCTATGGGAAGCTAAAAGAAAACCACTCACAAACTATTTTGGGGGTTTAAGGGTACCCTTTCCGGGGATTCTGGGAAACTAACAGAAACCGCTTGTTTTTGGGGGCGGGGTCTCCTAGGCGTCCAAGCGTCAAAAGCCAGGCTTCTCATGCTCCACTTGCACAGTTTTCGGGTTCCTGTTTTAGGGCTCTTGAGAAGCCACACGGAGTTTTGTTACCCTCCCATCAATCAACATGGAACTTGACAGAGGGTCCTGAACGATCATGTTCCATTTGAAGGGACCCCCGAACGTCAGGTTCCATGTTCATTGGTGGGAGGGTGCTATTCATTCCGTCGTGCAAAGCAGGCGTGATGCTTTCTGGAAGTCAACCTTGCCAACTTGTGGACCGATCCCCAAATTGTGTACAACATCGCTTGCTGTTGCCATAGGTAGGGAATGACCCAGAGTTTGGGAATTAACCTACGCATTCCCTTAAAGGAAACCACAGGGCATGTTTTCTAGGGCTCATTCCCTCATTCCCTGCTGACCAGCAAGATTGTACAAGTCTGGACTTAGTACAAGTCACACACCTTCACTTGGCTTTCGCTCGTTGCAACTTGTTAAGGCTCATGTCCACCAACGAGTCGCATTGGGATTTGGGTACTTTCTCAAATTGGAGAGTACCCAAGTCATGAGTGGTTTCTTTCATTTGCGCTTCACCCGCCTGGAAAAATGTGAAAGTATGTCCAGTATTGAAATCGATTCCCTTTAAGACCAAAAAGGGGAAACTCAAAAGATATTCATTTCAGCAAATGGAAGGACACCTTCACCACCAAAAGCCCATCCAAAAGGGGAGCCCCTACCTTGCAGTGCATATCTTGACCCGGCCTGTGCTGGCAGTCGGGTGCGGCCAGCGCTGGACCTGACTTCTTTTCGCTCGGTCCCAAACAAGAGAGCCATTCGAAAAGAGGATCGCAGGTTCATGAAAGTGACGTGGGCATGAATTTAAACTAGGGACCCTCTGGTGGACATCATATTGGTGGGGTTTTATGTCCCACTTTCCAGGGGGGTCGTTATTTAAATTCATGGCCACATCCACAAACTCTCCTCGTGGGTTTTAGGGAACCCCCGGAAGTGCTGCGAACCCCTCATGCTCACTTTGCGGGAATGGTTCGGATTCCTCTCGGGCATCGTTTCTTTAGGGACTGGACATGGTTTGGCAACAACACTTTATAAACCAAAACGGAAAGGCAAACACATTGGGTTTCCCAGGACGAAGAGCCCTAAAACTGTGGTGGTTTTCTCATGGTGTCCCTTCAAACGCCAAATCAGGGGCTTATTGACATCTTAGGTCCGCCAAAAGGGACAACCTGGGTTTCAGAGAACCACCATGATGCTTGCAACCATTCTTGGGGGGTCATACTACCGTCCCAATACTTCCCTGGGTGCTGCTTATTTGCGATGGCCACACTCCGAGAGAACTGAACAATCATACACATTCCCAGATCCCTTTTCATGTGATTGTAAGGCAAATTGATGTAAGCAAACAGACCTGACTCAGTTCCAATAATCACAGAATGTTTCAATTGCACGTTGGGAAGGTCATGATGTCACAGACATGTTCTTTTATAGCTTGTGCCAACTCGTGTCATGGACCTTTTGGGGGGGGGCTATCCCAGGATAAGCGCAGGGTAAGCAAAGAATAAGCCCTTAATAAGGCTCAGTAAAAGAGCTTAATACGGGATAGCCCCCTTAGGGGTTCATGACCTGTCCCACAGTTCAGGCACTGGATTTGGACGAGTAAATGTTCCCAATGGTTTGTCCCGGATGAAATTATGGCCACTACCTTAACCATCATCTTTCGCAAAACAAGCTCAATTTCATCATGGCCCAATTTCGTATGTGTCCTTTTTGGTTGGTTTGGTTGAAAATTGCTGGCGATTCCTGGTTTACCTGGTGGTTTCTTCAACCAGGGACATCAGTCCAATCGAAAAGAACGCCTTTTGTGGAAGGACGAAATCCTGCACCACTTTGAAACCATGGGAAACCATTTTTGTTGGTATTTCCAAGGGGAATCGAATCATTCCAGGACTTCTTTGGAGGTGCGAAATGGATTTCGTCCACCCACATGGGCCCAATGACACTGGCGTTTTGATGTTTGTTTTTTCGCGCGCAAGCACCCGCCTGAGAAGGGGCCATGACCTGGGCCAAAGAGCAAATGACTCTGGTGGCAACCTGAAAATAGGTGGATAAGGCAGGGATCGACGCCCAGGGATAAACCAAGAAACCACCTGCTGCCTGGTGCAGGAAAGGGTCCACAGAATGAGAGGCTGAAAAGAGTTGCTATATATATATAATGCATTGTTCGCCCTATCATGATTTAGTTTGTGTTGTGCCCCGCGAGCCCATTGTGTCTTGCATTTGGTGAAGATCTCCGGCATGGTTTAAAGGAAACCTTCTTCCCAAGAAGTATCCCTTCCCGTCCGGATGCGTCAGACTCGGTTTCCGGAAACCTCTGTGATCCGTACCCCAACACCCTATCTTGTGCCGGTGCTTGGCACGGAAAGATGCAATAAATTCCAGGGGCCCATGGCTGGCAAATAACCCCGAAACAGATATTGGGGAGGTCATTCCACAGACCATTTCCAGCCATTGGGGGCGTCCTTGTTGTTAATTGTCAAGTAAGTGTTCAATCCGGAACGGTGTGATTTCCCTTTGAAACACTCCTGGACATGTTTCTATAAAGGCTCGCGTCAAAATCATCTATGGGTGTCCTTGAGAAAATAGATGGCCCTGGTATTCCCTGGTAGATGAAACAACCAGGTCGACCAGGAATATCAAACTAACCTAAGAAGGACACCTCACTTCCTGAGTGGATGGGCCCCAAAAAACACTTGTTGTTTGCCAATAAAATGCTCCGGCCCATAAAGTGACTATAGTCCCGGAACTCAGGAACTAAGACACCTACCGTGGATGGGCGAAATCCATTTCGCACCACCTAAGAAACCCAATGATAGATGCCCTTGCACATACCCGCCCAACAATTGTTTATCATGGTTTCAATGCGGTGCGAAGTGGATTTCGTCCATCCACAGTGTCGATGGACAAAATCCTGCACCACTTTGAAACCAAGGGAAATCATTGTTTGTTGGCATTTACAGGCCAATCATTCGAGGGTTTCTTAGGTGGTGCGAAATGGATTTTGTCTATCCACATGGTCCCAAATGTTTGACACACCCAACAACAACAAAACGCGGGCGACGGATCGATCTTCGCCAAACCGCTGCTCTTCGCAGCAGAAACTGAGCCCTTTGGAGCCGAAATGCATCCAGGGCCGAGCCGAGTGAGTCGCCGAGAAAGGAAGTCTGGCCAAAAGTTTCGGTCTGATAATAAGTTCAGGTACAACATCAAAAGACCAGAAAAAACAACGTACCAGTGGACCAGGATCCCCTAATGGCTGGCAAATGGTCAGTGGAATGACCTCCCAATGGCTGTTTTGGGATTATTTGCCAGCCATTGCGGGGTCCTGGTAGATGTCCGAGGTTTTTATGGGTGCGCCATGACGTCTCTGTTTTTTTGTGCCAAGACCTTGGCAGACACACGGGTGCACGGGCAGGGCTGCATCGCAAAATTCGACTTCACATCGCCCATGAGTCAATCTCCTTGGGCCAAAAATCAACTCAGGACATCATTTGGAAACACATACTCCATTCTCTTGGAAAAACCACGTTTCCCTGCAGTGGATTCGATTTAAGACCAACAAGGGGCAAGACCAGAATCTTGAGCAAATGGAAATGTCTGGTCCAAAGGAGGGCAGGAGGGCCCGTCCCCGGTGATACAAGGGACCCTCTCAGAGGTTGGCACGCCCGGCACACGATCATCCAAGCCATAAACCGAGACAGGATCCAAGGCCTGGGCCCATGTGCATAGCTTCTGAGGGGACTCGCAATGGGTTGGTTTCCTGTTGGCTTCCCATCCCGAAAGGGCAGGGTTGTGGGATCAAAGGGTTTATCCCCATTTCTGTGATACAAGGGACCCCCCTCTATACGGGGTTTGTCTTTGGGAAGCCCTTTTTGTAGTTTCACAGAAGTGGATTCCATTTCCCACAGCCCTGCCAAAGGGCGCGCCAACTCCAAGCCCAAGCTGCCGGCTAACCCAGCCTCGGGCTGCGACTGCGCTCGCGCTCGGAGGCTTTGGGAGCCACCTTTGCCTCGGGTGGCTTGGACACCTGCGCTCGTTTGGAGAACTCCCCAAAGGGAAGCCACGAAGCAAGCGAAACAAGGTCGACCTTCAATGTAACTCGGTCTCTTCGTTGCCCTCTTTCCAACGGAAGTGGAAGACTACCATCCTCTTCCAAGTGCCCCTTGTCCAAGTCTAGTATTCTCCGAAAGCGGGCATAAGTTTCATATACGGGGCTTACTTGTTTACAAAGCTTATAGTAGTTTCCCCAAGTACTGGTAATTTGGGTTAACTCAAACGAGGAAGAAACACGCCAAACCAAGAAATCGGGACCAAAATCTTATTACCCCCGCTCTCACACGGCTGCGGCATGTAACCGTCGAAAGATACGCGATACTTCTTCCTTTGAGCCGAACAAAGCATCAGTCGGTTAAACATTGCTGCAACCGAACCTCAAGCTACATGCATCACGCTGACGCCAAAGAAGTAATTTCATGCCCCTCTGGATGCTGCCATACATCCTGTAACGATGACTCCCCCCTCTTCGTGGGGGCCAGCAAGAAGCTACGTGACCCTTTACACAGGCCATATGTTAGCAAAAGGCTTTTCTTCGGAGTTTGTTGTAGTCACCTTGACTTCCGGCAGACATCAAGCACTTCGGGCAAAACCCGAAGGCCTAGCAATCCCAACCCGCGATCCCACTGGGCAAGAGCTTGGTGCAAGTGGAATGGATATACCACATCAACCGTAAAAGCTGACGGTCATGATTCTTCGACCGCTTGTTCACGCACGTTGCAAGCTCACCGTTTTGTCGGGCCGTGACAGCAGTCCCAGCCAGAAGGCTTTCATCAAAAGCTTACATGCTTTGGAACCTAGCCTACCTTCCGTCTTACCTCGGGACAGAAAGGCGTTTGCGCATTCATGCCCCTCTGGATGCTACCATACATGGTGTAATGATGACTAGGATGCCCAACCCCATCCAAACTCTTAGGCCCTTTGCAAAGGACGAAGGAAAGCAGGGCGCTAATGCAGGACGGGTCACCGGCGCAGGCCGCGCCTTAGCTGCTGGCGGCAGCGGCAGCTTTGGCTTTGGCTGCGCTGGCTGCGGCTTCGGAGCCGGGGGCTGCTTCGGGGGCTGCGCAGGCGGCTGCGGCTTCAGCTTTGGCGCCGCCGGCTGCGGCTTCGGTGCCGCGGGCTTCGGCTGCGCTTTCACCGCCGGGGGCGGCTGGCTGGGGGGCTGGGGCTTTGGTTTCGGGGGCTGGGCTTTGGGCTGCAGCTTCTCTTTGGGTTGCGCAGACTTTGGCGCGGGCTGCAGCTTGGGGGCCGGCTTGGGCGCTGGCTGCGGGTTAGGCAAAGGCACCGGCTTTGGGGCCGCCTTTGGGGGAACCGTCTTCGGGGCCTCACGCTGGCTTGCAGATGCTACATTGAGGAGAGAACCAAGCATGCGTCTCAGGATCCCCCTACCTGGGGTGGGCGGGGTAGGCGGTCCCTGCCAAGATGGGTCAAGTCCCCGCAAAAGAAAACAAAGGATCCATCAATTGATTCCAGTCACTTCCCAATCCCAGTTCTCAGAAGGAGCCGGCCGGATGCACCATTACATCATTTGGGAATGTGACAAAATTCAAGCACCGGGGTACGCAGGTTTTAGTCCATGCTTGCATTTACCAGCGTTCCATTTTGGGTACCTATGTTTGACCCAGATCCACTTGAGCGTTTGGACATCATGCTGTCCACTGCACATGTCAGTAATGAATACGACCATTCATGTCGGTAGCTGCACTACCCTAAAGTGTGACAAGGTGCCTCTGCTTTTGTTCTTTGTTGCGTTGTTCCAAAGAGATTCCCAATGTCCAATTGATCATCCCCTTCTCTTGGCCCACCTTCTGGGGGTAGAAACTCATGTGTTCTGGCTCTCTTCAAAATAACGTCCACCCAATATGGGCCGCGCGTCTTGAGGCTACTTCTGGTCTTGCTGGATTTTCACGAACCCCGCCGGCTTCGGGTGCCCTCTCCTGCGGCGGCGGCGGAGGGTTCACCTTCGGCCTGAGACGCTCCAGTGGATGTTTGCTCTCGGCAAAGTCTTGTCTCTGCCTGGAGTCTCCTTCCGACCCTTTAAAAATGGGTCCATGACCAACCACTTTTTTGGGTAATGACCCCATGATTTTGGGTAATGACCCCATTATGTTGGGTAATTTTGGTAATGACCAACCATACTTTAAGGGCCATGGAGGCTCCGGGTGGATGGCTCTGGATGGCTCGTCAGCTCGTGCGTTTCAGGCCTTGAAAAACGTAAAACGACATGTCCAGCGGATTTTCCTCGATTCCCTGTAAAACCAACGAAAGGGCAACGAAACAATCCTTAAGCAAATGGAAGGGTATGTGTGTGTGTGTGTGTGTGTGTGTGTGTGTGTTTTTCGGGGAACCCCTTTTTGCTTAGGTTTTTAGAGAAGGAACACCGCCATTTGGGGGGGTCCCCTCAAAAACGGCACACCCATCTTTTTCGGAAACCGAACTGACACTTGAAACTCAGTGCTCTCAGAAAGACGTAGAATGCCCAGGTGCGCAGGGCTTCCGTGTAAGTCAACCAGGAGAACCCATGCAAAACCTACAGGTAAAAATCCCTGGCTACCTGTGCTGGAAAGTGTTGGCAAACGGATGTTATAAATGCTGGGCTTGAGTGTCCACGTGTCTTTCAAATCAGTCCCTGCTAATAAGGCTCACCCCGACTGAAAAACATATATTTGTTTGGCCCTGAATCCTGAAAAAGCACCATCCCTTCAGCCCCGACAAAATCCCTGAGCATTGAACATGATGTGCGCAGAACATCCGTCAACTAGAATTGACTACTACTCAGCCAATTCCAAACTACCAGAATATTCCGCAAGGTCCAACCCAAGTAGTATCAGCCCCCCCCCAATGGCAGTTCAGCAATTCCAAACCAAACACAAAAAGCCAAACAAGCGCATCAATGATCATACGCCTCCCTTTGCCTCTGCTTGGAAAGTGTTGTTTTAAGCGATTTTGCAACAGCTGCCCTTGACCAGACCCTGCTTTTGCTGCCTGCTTTTGGTTGAGCTGCCTGTTTCGAGTTCTCTATGGCAAAATCCTACTTGAACATGCACTCTGGAACATGCGCTCTGGAAGGGTCATTTCCTTCGTGTGGACCTCCATACATTTCAAAACCGGGCCTCTAATGATAAAGATAGGTGTCCCCGTTCTTCTGTTTCTAAGGGGATAGGGATTAGTAGAGACCTGGGGGGATGTTGTTATTACCAAGGTTAAAAAGAACAAAAAACATGGACACATCAAAACAGGTCGGATTTTTGTTCTCCGATGAAATAGCAGGGACCACGATTGAATGGCTGCAAGAACCATTGTGGACTGTAGCACTTTTAACGGGCCTCTTGCTAAAAGAAATCTACGTGAAGCTCACCATGTCAAGGGTGCAACAGGCTTTGTCCCGTGCAAAGAATGCTTCCACACAGGCCAAAACCAAAGCAATCAGCCGCCCGCCCCCAGCGTTTTGCCAAACCGTGCGCCCCCGCGGCACCACCGCCGGAGGCACCGCCGGAGCCGCCGGAGGCACCGCCGGAGCTGCCGGAGGCACCGCCGGAGCCGACGCCGACGACGCGTGGGGCACCGTGTGCGGCGTGGACCGGGGCCATTGCTGCAGCGGTCCGCCAGGTTTCGGAAGGCCCACCGGGGGGCTCTTCGGGGGGTGCGGCGTGAGGCCCGTCCCCTGCGCGGGGTGGGAACCGCTCTTGGCCGCCAGTGCCTGGGCGGGGGTTCGATCTGCAATGGCTCGTTTGAAGATGAAACGCCCGCTGCCACATGTTGAGGAAGGAGCTGGCTAGGTCTAGGGATCCGCAACCAGATTCGAAGTTGTAGGGTCTAATCGTGCATACTCATGGTCTGCACTTCACCACTCTGTGGCTCTGTGGTTGGCCAATTTCATGCGCGCTTGAAAAGAGCTGCACACACAATGTGTCAGGCGTTGAGTTAGATCTGACATCATAAGCAACATTGCTGTGACATTGACATGCGGTTATGGCGTCGAGAAGCAGTGTCGATAGTGTTCCATTTTGAGATACCATATTCAGGGCGTTGCTCTTCTCCTCTGGTGGCATCATCAAACATGAATGTCTCCAGCATATACATATATATATATATAGAACAAAAACACACGCATGCGCGAACGCGCGAACGCACGCACGTACACACGCACACGCAGGAAAGCACGCACCCACACACGCACGCACGCACACACACACACACACACACACTCCCATTCCCACTCGCGCCCACAAGGCACGCCATCAAGCACGGACCGTACTCTATTTAGTCAAACCTGTGGATGGAGTTGCGTTTCATGGTGACATGAACACCTTGCTCAAAGGACATAATTCCGGGGAAAAATCGCGTTGAAGTAGATATCTCACCAAATGTTTGTCCAAGCAGAAGAGGTACCGGTTGCTCAATTGCCCCGGCACATGGAACCGTTTCGCTCACTGAGTAAGGAGAATTCACACTGAGTTGGTTTCCCTTCAAAGCAAAACAGCAACAAATGGGTACCCGTCTGTATGATGGACACTTAGGCCTCCTTCTTTTCGGGTATTGTTTGTTTAGGGGCAAAATAGACTCTAAGTGTCCATGGCACGGTACCCCCACCCCCAGACACAAAAAACAAACACACATTGAGCAGCTTGCTACCTGGAGTCTCCATGACCCTTCAAACATGGGTCCATGACCAACCGAATCCAACCACTTTTTTGGGTAGTGACCCACCATTTTTTAAGGGTCAGAAGACTCCAGGTACTAACCAACCTCACCATTGAAGTCTTTCTCGGCCGAAACGGCCGGCACCTGCGCTTCAGCGCGGTTCTCCTCGGACGACCTGGGCTGGTGAGTTGGGTGTGTCGTGTTTTGGGGGCACCTTGTTGTTGCTTGTCTTTTCCGGGGGAATCAAATGCAAAACCACCATTCTGAGGGGGTCCCCCATTTGAAGACAAACCCGTTTAAAGGTCGGCTCACATCTCAGGTTCAACATTGTCCAACCAAAAACTTGAAACAAAATGAGACCCGTCCAACGCACCGAACCAAGCTTGGAGTTGAAGTGCCAAGTGGATGTGGCCCAGTCGTCTTCCTCCCAACTGATTGAAAACAAATTACTTTAAAACAACAAGGGAAAAACCAAAACCCTCATCCCTCTGAGGCCATGGCCGAAACACCTCGATGTACCGGTCGTCGATCAGCTTGTTCTGCTTCTCCTTACAGAGAAGCCGGGTGTCTCGGTTGCGTCAGTTTGGATTGGGATCGGTCGCTTCGCATACGCAAGAACTCGCGGCCTGTTTGTTTGAGGTGCTTCCAGGCATGGTTCCGCATCCTGAGCCGTGCCTCCTTCACTGAGCCAGCATGTATTGGCAGCTCTGCAAATGATCAGCGTAACAGGATGCTGGGCTGTCCGTTTTCAGATCCCCTGCTAGGAGTGATTCACTTTTGGTGGGATGGAAACCCAACCACTAAACCCGGAAAACCTCAAAACCAAAGGGGCTGGCTGGGAACTTCAGAGGATAGGTACACTTTCATGCATGTGTGGTCTTGCCATATGTTCAGTTCTTGACGTGCACATCACCCATGCGACTGTATCGCACGCACCCGAAAAAAACATGCCCTCCGCTTAGCTTGGTCAGGTTGTGCGAACAGGGAGGGTTGGCGGGCGAGCTTCTTCGTAGCTATCCAGAAATTAATTGCGTACAAGTAAAGACCACCAGGCATGTGGTAGATCGATATATATATATATATATATACGCCTAATACACACTATATATGTATCCGCCGACAACAGACGGCGTGTTGGACATAAGAAATGCTCCTTACCTCTTTACCTGTCACCCCTCCCCTTAACCTCGTTTTCCAGGGGGGGGGGGGGAAGGGGGAAAGGATCTCAACAGGGAAAGGGGGGAAAAATTGGGAAAATATCTTAGGGAGGAAAAGGGAGAAGATCACAGGGAGGGAAAGGGGGGAAAGGATCTCAACAGGGACAGGGGGGAAAAGATCTTAGGGAGGAAAAGGGAGAAGATCCCAGGGGGGACCAAGGCCCCAGGGAAGAAAGAAGGGAAGGATCTCAACAGGGAAAGGGGGGAAAAAGATCTTAGGGCGGGAAAGGGAGAAGATCTCAGGGGGGGAAAAGGCCCTAGGGGCGGGGAGAATCTCAACAGGAAAAGGGGGCAAAAGATCTTAGGGAGGAAAAGGGAGAAGATCTCAGGGGAAAAGGCCTTGGGGGGGAAAGGGGGGAAAGGATCTCAACAGTGAAAGGGATGACAAGATCTTATGGAGGAAAAGGGTGAAGATCTCAGAAATGAGAAAAGGCCTTAGGCGGGGAAAGGGGGGGAAAGGATCTCAACAGGGAAAGGGGGGGAAAGATCTTAGGAAGGAAAAGGGAGAAGATCTCCCGTGGGGGGAGAGGGGAGGCCTTAGGGCGGAAAAGGGGGGAAAGGATCTTAACAGGGAAAGGGGGAAAAGATCTTGAGGAGGAAAAGGGAGAAGATCTCAGGGGGGAAAAGGTCTTAGGGGGGCTCAACAGAGAAAGGGGGAAAAGATCTTAGGGAGAAAAAGGGGGAGAAGATCTCAGGGGGGGAAGAGGCCTTAGGGGGGAAAAGGGGGGAAAGGATCTTAACAGGGAAGAGGGGGAAAAGATCTTGGGGACAAAAAGGGAGAAGATCTCAGGGGGGGGGGGGCTCAACAGAGAAAGGGGGAAAAGATCTTAGGGAGGAAAAGGGGGAGAAGATCTCAGGAGAGGACGGGGGGGAAAAGATCTTCGAGGGGAAGGGGGGCAAGGGGACAGTTCCAAAGGGACGCAAATAAGAAAGCAGGCCTGGAAAGTCGGCGGCCTGAGCCGGAGGCGTTAAAACATATATATTGATATACATAGGTGTGTCTAGCCCTTTGTTCAGCTTGCGAAAGCAACCCATTCAAAAGCACCTCTAAGGATGACTCCTGCAGCACCCGTTCCGCCATCTCAACCGACGGCAACGTCACGAAGGCCTTGCATGGACCCCGCCCGTAAGGGCGGGTTTTCCAAGCAGTGCGTCGGATTGGGTTTCCTTGGGAGTTGGGGAAGCCAACGTGCTAGGTCTCGGTTTGGGCTCCCTTTGAGACCAAGTGGAGCAATCGTGAGATAACAAGGAAAAACAACACAAGCAAAGGGAACGGTTGGACAACTCCAACCGAAGTTGCACAACAAAAAACCTGGAAATCCCTCCCACGCCTCTGAGATATTGTTCCCAACAAGGAAACGGGGGCATTGCATGGCTCACCCCCCTCTCGCCCGAATTCCATTTAGACAGGGGGTGGACATGCCAAAACACGAAGCAACAAGAGACCAAGTCAAAAACCCTTTCAGAAGAAGTTCAACCTGGACAAATGATATTTGTAGTTGGTTTACACAGGTTTAGCAGCAGAAAGGCAACTAGGCAAGCTATTGAAATCTATCTTGAATTTCACGTTGGATTGCTTGCAAAAGGAATTCTTTGTACCTGCTTGCTTCATGTTTAGGAAATCCACCGTTCACCTCAAGCACCCCCAATGCTGCTTGGTTAGAGGAGAATGGCAAACGCTATAGGTCCTCAAATGGGAAACTGCCACTTTTTGGAGGATGATTTTGGCGAGGCCTCAAAACCCAGACGGCCGCGGTGAATTGAGGTGAATATGTTTGATACAATTGGCTACAGTATGTTCCAAGTTGAAGCATGTTAAAACCACGCTTGCAAAAACAGACTATTGCTGTCCGTCTGAAGGAGGGCCAAAGCCTGGTCATTTGAAGCAATTCTGCCCGAGTGTGGTTGCTTTGCCCACGAGGAATTCCTACGTGCCGCCATCCCTCAACTGTGGATGGCAGAAAACAATGTACCTGGAGTCAAAATGACCCTGTAGAAATGGGTCCATGACCCCATTATTTGGGGTAGGGACCCCAGTTTTTAAGGGTCATGGAGACTCCTGCTTCAGACTTCGCTTCAATGTGCGACCGGGCGGAAGCTGCCATTTCAGAAGAAACTTGTGGAGGCTTCAGGATGAATCGCGCGAACTGGATGCACAGGCAATGCCATGGCGTTACCTTCTCACTCACTCCCCATCCGACGATGCATGTCGACATGTGCTGACTCCAAGGCATTCGGAGCGGCCTCACGATGACCTGCGTCTGCACTCATAGGGAACAAACCACCAATTAGTTGACGGGGTATATGCACATATGTGTGTACGTTTATATATTCTGTATATATATATATATATAAAGATAGGTGTATGTATAGACAATAATATATATATATATATATATATATATACACGCACTAAAATATACAGTGTATATACATATATATATATATATATATGTATATATGTCCAGCTTGGCAATCCGAATTGGCGTTTGCAGGACATGCGTCGCTTCATCTCGTTTCCAAAAGTCCTAGCTCGACCTCTCAATGCGTTCAACCACCCCCTACGCAGTTGTTGACGTTTTGAGGGCAACTGGGCAAAGCAAATTTCTGCAAATTTTACTATAGTTCCAAAAACTGAACTAAGGAATCCCCAAGTAAAAGACCTTCGTCATGGTGAGCTCGCTACAAAACAGGCAGAACAAATGTGAGCCCACGATTCCAAGAACCCAGCCCTGGCGCTCTGCACAAAAAGCCTCGCCCGTCTTCTTCCCTTCAGCGTTGAACCCGATAGTGATCTGGTTGTGTGCCACGCCGTAGTCTCGCCTCAGACGGATGCACCAGTCACATGTGAGGACCATGATACTAATGTCGATGACATCCATTTGCTTAAGTCCGCTGGAAACGGTAAAGCAACACACATCATATTTTGTCCCATTCCCTTTAACACCAAACGCGGAAATAAACAAACAACATCCGGAGCAAATGAAGGAAGATCGCCTGACCTGACTTCCACGAGTGCGTTCTGCTTTTCCCGCTTACTTCTTGCAGCCGTGGCCATAAACTGAGGCACCTGAGGCCCTAGCACACAGATTCCAAGCACCCAGAAAGCAATTGGCCTCCTGCCATTGGCCTCTTGCCATCGGCGAAACACATCTCCCACTTTGCCATATATGTAAAAAACAAATTCCTCTTGAAGGGACCCGACAGCCTGTCGGGTGCCATGGCAACGTGGGAGAGAGGGTAGAAGATGGAAAATAGTATTGCAGGACTCAAGGTTGAGGGAGCCTCACACAGTTGCGATTTCAGGCGTTGCGGAAACTGCCTGTCATCAAAGAGGCCGTGATTGATGAGAGGATGTGTTGGGAGTGGCCTAGTACAATGAAAGATGCCTTGATGCTCGTGTTCTAGTTTCTAAAGCCAAACAGGAGTGCAAGCGAAAGAACTGCCGCAAACATGTGACCAACGAATGAGAAACTGCGGCAAACTGCACTTCACTGCATTCACGGGCTGCACATCAACAATCGACGTAGGCAACAGAACGCCCCACCTAGCTCACCGCGAAGCATAAACAAATTTAGCCCTGTGCCAATATACAGTATGCTCCAAGCATCAAAAACAAAGGCGTGCTTGAAGCAAGAGATGCCTTTGTCTTCGCAAGATATTGTGGGAACTCATTCAAACAAACTGCATCTTCATACCCCCACCTCCAAATGCCCTCTTTTTTAAGGGTACCATGCAAATACCTCCTTTTTGGTAAGGGTTGACATGATACCCTAAATAAAAACGGGTAGTTGGAGTAGGGCGTAGTCCTAAATATGCGTGCAGGAAGTTCGCACCGCTGCTCTCTCAGCTTCGGGCAGGAAGACCACCACGTCGTTCAGTTCGCTTTGGAATGGCACCTGGGATGAAGAAAAGCCAATTCAATGAGGTGTGTGTGTGTGTGTATGCGCGCGCGGGTTTGTGGACAGTACGATTTTCAGGGGTGGCAAGTCTCTGTTCTAGTAAGGAGACTATTTTGGGGGGGGTCCTCTGTCTAGCGTCCTCAGAGTTGATGCCAAGTTCACATTACCCCTTTCAGGTTGCTTAAAAGATTCTGGAATCCATTTTGGGACATACCCCTAGAAATCCTCTGAAGTAGATCGGCTCATGGACCCACGGGCCATCAACTGGCTTCCAAAGCATCAGAACCTAATTGGTCGACTGAAATAAAGCAGGGTGTGGCAATCCCGAAAAAGAGAAACCTCCAGCAAAATCCAAGAAGGACACCACCCGGAGTCTACTATTGAGAGGCACATGCACTTGAAGTCGTGTAGCAAACATAGCATGGGCCACACATAAACCTCCATTTGCGTAGGCCCCCTAGAGAAAAGTCGAAATATGTCCAATAATGATGGATTTCCCTTTCGCACCAACCGCGGAACATATTATTTAAACAAACATGTCAGCCAATGGAAGATAAGCCAAACCTCCACCGCCGACCCCTAGGATGCCAGCCAATGGAAGGTAAGCAAAAGGGAGGAATTATGGCACCTTCTGAGAGGCTCTCGAGCCTCAAATCCTAGGTCCTCCAGATTTGAGAGCTTAGACCAAGTTGGTCTACCCGCTGTTTTTTTTCAACTTTTCGGTTTTAGGGTCCCGAAGGCCCTCCCAACCAAAGGGGTGAGAGGTCGGCCACGGCACGCCGCGCAGCCGCACCACCGGGCTGTAGATCCTCGGCTCCGCTCCGGGGCTGCGGAGTCGAGGCGAAGGGATTCTTGGGGAGATCAAAAAGGGCTTCCGTGTCTGGTCGAGATGTTTTGTTTTTTTAGTTCTCTCAAACATAAGTTTTTATAGAGGATTTTTCTCAACAGCAAGTTAAACATCCATTCTTGGGGGAGTTGATTGAGTGTTTTATAAGGAGACCCTTCCCAAAACAAAGTTGAACAAAGGGCGCCACTGGACAACTGGGCTGCAGAAATGGTCTTTTGGACACCATGCTCTGCTTCTTGTCACAGAGCAAGTGGGTACTGACGAGAGTTTGTTGGCTCAAGACTGACCGCTGCGATGTGTTAGGTCAAAGTGAAAGCACCGACCCGCAACTCTCACGTTGACAACACGCACAACATTGTTCCCTTGAGCAGTTGTCCAATTTACAAAGCAGTGTTGGAGGTCCAAAGATAACTCCCAGAAACAACATCGAGGGGCGTCAAAGCGTCAGGAATTCGGGCGGACTGTGGAGCTATAGGTGCGACCTGAGACAAGGGAAACCATCTGATGCTTGCTCTAGTGCTCTAAAGCCTAGGCAAATTTCGGTTCGGAGTAGGGCGTTGTTGCTCGTCCGTCCAAGAATGAGACGGCACAAACCTTGTCTGGGCCCCGCCAAAAGTTGAACTTGTAGTGGGTTAAATGGAAACTACCACTAAACACTAAAAAGCTAAAAGGCTAAGGGGATGGCTGGGAGCCACCAAGTTGCGACAACCAAGTGCAGCACCAATATAGCTTGCATCAAGCGTAGGACTGCATGCTCAATATAGATTCGGATATACATCCTCTTTCCAAGTCTGCAGCACCCAAGGCTGGGCAGTTGCCACATCCAAACAGGCCGAAAGAAACCTCATGTTGCAAATTATTTCCAGGTGTCCAGTTCAAGACAGCCCTGTGTTCAATCCATTCATCAGTTTCAAAAGAAATATAGTTAGATTCATAAAACCAATACCTCCAACAGCCATGGATTGGCTTAGCTAGTCTGCTTGCTCAAAGCAGACTAGTGCAACGCGCCAACCAGCAGCTTTCCCTTGGGGCCAGCACAGCTTTGGCACTTCGCCCCTCTCATAGGCCTGCCACCCACCGGCAAGATCGATCCATGTCTTTCTGGTTGCGGAATTTCGTCGAGTGCGCATGACCCTTGGCATCTTGCAAGTTTGAATGAACCCTGCCCCTCAATGCTTATACTTACACGTGTGTGGGTCAAAACCTGGGTAACCCCAATATGGATTGCCCCGATACATGAAGAAAAAGGACTAAACCCTTTCTGTCCAATTCCTTGTAGATTTTGACCAAAGACATATGGCTGTGGGTCAAAACAAATGGTACCATGTTGAGGTAAGTACACCACCCATTTTAGGACCTATTTTAGTGGGGAGTGGGATGTTCACTGGGGGCTAACCGATTTGGATTTTGACCCATATACATATAAAGACATGTATATCTTCTTATGAACAAAGACAGACAGTAAAACCATGACCAAGGGGCCGCGGAAAGCTCCGCAGCCGCGGCTCTGCGGAAGCAAAGGGATGGCTTTGGGTGTTCTTCAATTGTCCTCTGTTGGTTCCCTGCACAGACCAAAGGGGATAGCCACAACAAAAATGAAGCGAGCCGCCCATTTGCCTAAAGATTAGGGGCCTGTGCGGTTCCATGGTGGAAGATTGTTGCACAGGCGGAACGGCAGCCTGAAGATTTCAGCTGTGAGCCTTTACTGAGTTGCTGTTCTACTGTGAGCCCTCTCAAACAATCTCCGAGAACGATTCGCTCGGATGTCCTCACCCTTCGGCTTTGAGGACATGGCACAGAGGACTTGCTGGGATTCACCTCGATTGTGAAAATGGTTCTCTTTTGCCACTTCCGTGGCGCGGAAATTTCCTGTACATTTTGAAGTAGCAAGGGGGATGATGTTCCTTGCGCCGGAATCGGGTGATTTTCCAGAATCGAGCTGCATGGCTGACACCCCCAGCAATGCTCCGGATTCATAGTGAGGGGATGTGCCCTCCGGTCCTGCTGACATGGAACACCCCCTACCAACCCGTTTCGGAATCCTGGGTTCCCATTCAAGAAAGTGTCCCCTCGGATTGTGTTGGGTTTGTGATTGGTTGATGGTTGGTTGGCTGGTTGGTTGGTTGGCTGGCTGGCTGGTTCGTTGGTTAATGGTTCCTTCTTGTTCAAGTGCTTGTCTGCTCAGGGACTAGGGTTTCGAACCTGGTGGCAAGCTGGTGCTGGCTGCTTGGTGAGGACTATGTGCTCATCTGACTGAGTCGTCTTTCCAGCATAGACGTGGGGAGACACAACGCCGGATGGCAAGAGAGAAGAAACTATGATTTCTGAGCGCTGGTCGATATTGCGACCGGTATCCTTGTCATCAAAAGACATAGGGACCCATCTGAAAAGGGTCATCATGCCAAAACAACATCGTGCAACAATTCGTCGTAATTCTTCGGACGCACGTTTGTCAAGACAGGTTTGGTTCCGCGAGCAGTGTCCACCTCTGACTCTGGTGACAGGTGATGCTCATTGAAGGGCTTTATGCTGTAGTACTTGTACATCCCCACACCATCCCACACCCCAGGAATTGCACGAGAGCGGCGACGCAAGATTGAAGTTAAATGCTGAACCTGACCTCCAAAAGGCTGGCAAATGATACACCCCACCCATGGCTTCTCGAAACTTGGCAGTCAACATGGGACAGATTCCTCTGGCCGGTCCAACGGACCGATCGACTGCACTTCGTTTCTCTGACAGACGCCGGCAAGTCATGTTCACCTTGCCGCTTCTCAGAGAAGAACCCCTAGAAACCATCCATCCTATGGGGTTTCTCTTTAAGGGAACCCCCAAAACCGGCTCATTCCCAACACCTGGACTCGCCTCTAGAAACGCATGCAGCGTTCGGGCTGTGTGTCTCGCAGGATCATGGAGACCGGTGCCTCGGAAGAACCAAGCCTGGAACTATCCTCTGCAATGCTACGATTGAGCTTCTCACCTTCGTTTTTTGAACCTGCAAAGCTGTAAAGGGTGTTTTCAACATGTCAACCACTACCATCTCACAGAACTGGTAGCTCCGAAAAGTTCCCTCTTACTCAGATGCCCAGTGGATTTCCGTGGGAAAACAAGAATCGGCATGTCTTTTTGGTTGGTTGACTTTAAAGGGGAACCCTTCCCAAAAAAGACAAATAAAGAAGCAACCAACTGGGCAACTGGGTTATTGAAGAGAGAGGTAGACCAAAAATATTTGGATCTGTTTAAGTAGCCCATGTCAACAATTTTCACGGACAAAAAAATCGTATGTTTGATTTTGCAGTTTTCCGTCTCGATCGTATGCGTCGGGGACCCCCAAGGTGGTGTTGCTCCTTTTGGTGTTCCTTGAACACTACGCCCAAAATGGGTACCAACTCAAAAAAATACACAACCGTATGCGTACGTAGAAGTGTACAAAGATTGACGACCGCACACACAGGCAAAGAGGGTTGGTTACAGTGGAAGTGTGACGAAGCCAGAGTCGAATTCACTGGTAAGCCCATCGTTCAGGGTTCTTCAAAAGCAACTCAAAATGAGGCGCTGATCTGAAGACACCAACATTTTCAGTCTGCCGATTTGCCCGCCATATGTGCCATGGTCAAAAACTCCTGTGGTTCATGGTCATGGGTTACGAAACATTTGTTTGTTTTCATGACGGTCGGTGTGCAGCATCAGCACCCCGCTTTGAAGGGTGTTTTGAACATGTCAACCCCCATCTTACAGAACTGGTAGCTTCGAAAGGCTCCTTACTCAAATGCCCGGTGGATTCCGTGGGAAAACAAGGATCGGCATCCTTTGTTGGTTGGTTGAGTTTGAAGGGGAACCCTTCCCCCCCAAAAAAGTGGTTTGAAAAAAGGAAGCAACCCACTGGGCAAGTCGGGCTTGGCAAATTTGGATACCGGGCCCCAGCTCCGAGACCGGCTCCCTACCCAGCCGTGCTGAGCCATGGAGAACTCTGTCGCAGGAGTGCAGCCGAGGAGAAAAAAACACATATGAAGCAGCAATTTGACGCGGGACCTGTCTCTGCAACACACGAAAACATATATACATATATCAATATATATATATATATATACTAGGTCCTCCAGTAGAGAGGTTAGAATAAGGGTACCAACTTATTTCTGTAGAAAATTGTAGTAGGGGAACCCTCCCCAAAAAAAGGTAAAAGGGCACTACTGGGAGACCTAGTATATATATATATATATATGTATGTATCCATGATTTTCTATATGTATTGTGTATACTGTATACATTATACTCATGTATGACCACACAACCCGTTTTTGATGAGAACCACAAATTCCCCCCCCCAAGAAAAAGGAGAGAAACAAATGCACATGTGCCTATCAGGGTGGAACCATGTTCCCACTTATGACTTAACACATTCGAATCCTCACGTTTGAAACCAGATCACCCCCGCAAGCAAAGACCGAGGTTGACCGGCGCCCGGCACTGACAATCGCCGCTCGATTGCATGATGTCAGCGACCCACAAGCCATCAACGACCCACAAGCCATGAGCGTTTCATGGAGAAGATTGTTCTGAAGGTACTTGCTCGCGCTCAGTAGGGAATGAGGGAATGAACCTGGGGGTGCCCTTAAAGGAAGTCACAAGGGATGGTTTATACGGGTCATCCCCACATTCTTTGCTGAGCAAAGAAGAAAGGATATGCATAGCTCTTACTATAACCCCCAAAAAACACGAGCCGTCCGGGTGTCCCGGCGCATGACGTCGCAGTAGGCAGCCCACTTGGCTGCCGCAGCTTTATCGTCGCGCTGTAGCCTATCCGTTGCCAATGGCCCCGTCTTTGTGGTTGAACTTGAGATCCTCCTCCCGTCTCGTCACGCCCCGAACCCGAAATTTACAATCCACTGAAGCCGCAAATCCTGCGCATTGGGACAAACACCTCAGGATAAACTCAAAGACTTGGAAACTTGTCTCTGCACAGGTCAAAAGGGACATGTGTGTTATCGCCTCCCCCTATTCAAGCCACCCCCGACTAAATATCATGTCTGAGGCCAACATCACAAATAGCCTCCCACAGCAACACTAACCGATATTAAAGTTCTGACAGAAATCATTAGGGGGATGTTCATCACTTCTCTTCTTGTAATTGCAACATCAAACTGTATTGAATTGAACAACCCAAACAAGCGCTTTGAGCAACTCCATATAGATTGCTTGCTCGGCAGATTACGATGTTGATGGCTTTTGCGCCATCGAAAGGGGGGGCCATTTGAACGAGGACCAGCAGTAGTAGACACCCCCACCTGGACCCTATGGATATAGGGGAGGGGCTGCAGGGACTTGACCATATGAAGCCATTTGTGTTGTGTCTTAAGCCCATCTTCCAGTTCTGTAGATCAAGGGGAAACGGACTGGCCCAAATGAAATTCCATGGGGCGTTTTGCTGCAGCTTGTCGTTCGGCCTAAAGTCGCTGGCGGCTCTTTCTCCCAAGCCTGGTGCCACAGCGGGGTAGCTTGGTCAACTAGGTCCTCCAGTAGAGAGGTTAGAATAAGGGTGCCCTTTTTTTCTGTAGTCTATTTTACTTGGGGAACCCTCCCCGAAAAAAAGGTAAAAGGGCACTACTGGGGGACCTCGCCAAGCCTGATGCCACAGCCACAAGGGTAATTTGCTCGGTCAAGGTACTCGGGATGACAAATCTGACTCGTTTCTACCTTCCTGGCCGGAAGGGAAGCCCAGGACTGGAAACCGGAGAACATACCCAAGGGAAACGACCCCCACGTTCTGGAGACAAAGCCCTTGGAGCACTGTGTCCAAACGTCGACGCAGAAACCGGATCAACGCTTCCATTTGCTTAAGCTCCCTGAAATAAACAACATATATGTCCAGTAGTGATAGATTCCCTTTAAAACCAAGAGGGACACATAAACAAATATCATTCAGCAAATGGAAGAATGGGACTTCTCGGGCTCCGGGCTTCTTGATGCGTGGCACCAGCTCTTCCTTCTTTGGAATCGCCTGAACGGGTTTGGCGAAGCAAAGGCGGCATGCAGCAGGGGCAAGGGTTGGTTTGGGACGGTTTGAGGGTTGGTTTAGGGCTGTAGTCTGGAGCGCTGGTGTAGAGTTGGTTTAGAGTTGAGAAAGGGAACTTGCTTCTGTGGGTTCTTCCGCGGAAGCCCATGAGTGGAAACCAGAGGAAATACTCAAGGGAAACGACCCCCACTTTCTGGAGACAAATTTCTTGGCATGCTGAAGGTGAAGGGGACAGGGACATGTGTTTGCTTCTCTTTTTTTTACAGGCATCCTTTCCTCCAAAAACAACCACTGAAAAGAGTTGTTGACTTTGGTTTCCTGTTTAAAACCACAAACAAGGAGATACCCTTGAAGAACAAATAAAACCCACAACCGTAGTTGGCCCCCCTGAGGCTCATGTTTCGGGTGCCAGTCTTTGGGGATAAGGTCCTTGACTGGTCACGGGTGCAAACCATGCGCCGCCTTTGTCTCTTCTTTCAGCCACAACCCCTTCCCACCCAACAGCCCGCCCCAGGTGTGTGAAGGTGGCAAGTCATTTGGTCAGAATCATTTGTCTGGCCTCAAAATGCTTTCGTCTTGTTGAGGCCAAACAAGTTGTTGAGCCAACCATTGTATTTGTCCAACCATCAGGGTTGCAGAAGACTAGTCAAATGCAAACAATCGAAAGCTTCCTAGTACTCAGTAGGGAATGACCCAGGGTGTTGGGAATTTACGCAGGGGTCCCCTTAAAGGACACCACCAGGGATGGCTTATAAATTCATTCCATGTCTCATTCCCTGCATTTCTCGAACCGATCGCAAGAAAGCCAAACTTCAAACTTCATGTCGACGCGTGGTTTCGCCATCTTTTCGAGGCCACTGTCTTGGTTGGACACATCTACCTTGGTCTTCCAAGGACCCGCAAAACCAGGGTCCTTCTTGATTTTGCCCTTGGCTCCAAATGGAAACTCGGCCCTAGGACCCAGCTTTTCCAGGGTCCTGGAAGACCAAAGATATTGGCCATGGGCTCCGGGTACATCTCCTTTCGTTGAGGCCTGCGCCTGCACCTTCTGCGCCGCCTGCTGCGCCAAGCTCGCCTGAATGAATGCAGGGGGCTCTCTTCAGGCTCGCTCGCTGGGATCTGCTCCCGGCCCATGTGTTAGAACCCATTTAGCGCCAAGCTTCGTGCTCCTTCTGGGTTGTGAGCGTGAAGATGCGTGCTCCCTAAATTTGTCAGCCGTATGTAGTGGGACACCCCTACAAGGAAAACCACTGAATATCTGGCATGAAGAGTGGGAGTTATGTTGAGCAACCTGCTTTGTGGGCTTGCTCTGCGGTAGAATTCAACAGATAGGGTCTAAGCTTGGTGGGTGGGGGTGTGGGTGTGGGCGGGACCCCGTTGGATCTTGGAGGGAACCCAGACCTTTGCAGGTCTTTAAGCCCGTGGCTCAGCCGAGCCAACTCTATAAGCAAACATCTCTAGCAGGCCTTCACTGTTGGGAATGCAATGATTCTTTTGTGTTCGGCTTCATTCGAACGCTTGGGGAGCGCGGCCCGACAAAAGGGGTCGGAGGCCCAAGTGGATCCTTCACTTCAACTCGTGCCATTTTTGGGCTGCAATTGTTGGAATTCCAACGCCTCAAACGGTGAAAACACATCTGCCAAACCAAACATGGAACCTTCACCACTGAGCTGGCTCTACTGAGAAAGACTACAGCTGGGTGTGTTGGTTGAGGGTATTTGAATTTAGCTTGACTACGCAAATGGACAGGGGGGGGGTCCTGCGCGCGGGTCTACCCTCAGCATCCAAGACGGGGCATGGAGGATCCAGCCTGTCTCAAGGACGCCCCCAAAAAATAGTCTGGTTGACAGTTGGAAAGCTGACCTTCCGAAAAAGGCGAAGGGTTCGCCAAATACACAACAAGTCTCAAAGGATCAGCGAGGAAACATGAAAGACATGACATGCAAAGAGCAAACAGCCAAGAACAACGAGCTGAACTGTGGCTGGTCAAGTGAATCCACCTTTTGGAATGTCATCGGTCGATCGGTCAGCATGTCTCACTTTGCTTGACCCTGCAGAACCAAAAGCAAGCCGCCGAGCGTCTCTTGCAGAAACGTGTGTTCGGCAACTTCCGGCGTCCTTTGGCCCCCAGATAAAAATCAGCTTCGTGGTTAAAATTTTAACTTGGTGAATTGGAGGAGCGGCTTCAACCACTCTCCTCAAAAGCCAGGGGTTCAAACCCCCCGAACCAAACCACAAGATGTTTCCAGCTGACACCTGACGCCTCCAGCTCACCCCCGCCCGACCCAAACGCCTTGGGTGGGACCATTCGTCGAGGCCAAGGCTGCGGGGCCTGCAACGCGCAGTTCACCGCTCGACTCTTCGGCGGCTTTCCCGAAGAGTGGTTGAAATATCCCGTCCTTTCCCAGGACCCCCCAATGGCTGGCGAAAAAATAACCCCAGAACAGCCATTGGGAGATCATTCCACAGACCATTTGCCAGCCATTAGTCCTGGTCAGTGGTTTTCCAACCGATGTCCCATGTTCATCGGACCTTTTGATCAACCCCCATATAGACTATCCTGCAAGTTGACACGGAACCCAAATGTTGGGCTTTCGATCAAGAGATTCTTCTGAAACTCATTGTATTTGGCAAGCAGGACGAAAAAACAAACAATTGGTCAGTTCAAGCCAAGGCAAGAAAAGTGTGTCTTTCCCAAAAAACTAATCGAGCATTTCTCCAAAACAAATTCTGGTGAATTCCATACTAGTGGAAAGAAGGGTAACAAAATGAAGCGCGTGTTAAAGAGCTAAATTATTCCTGCCACGGTTCCCAATTCAAAAAAAGGTGGATTGGGAGGGAAAATAAATGGGGCAGTCCATGGGAACCGATTGGTGACTACCAAGAATATTTACCATTCACCACAGTTCAAACAACGACATGGCGCAAAACTGCTGAAAGACGCAGCCTGTCGCAACAAAAATGCGCAATCCGGTAGATCAATACCAGGCACTTGGAGATTCATCCGACTTAGAAAATAGGCTCATGGCCATTAATGCAAGTAGGATCGAACTGTGTCCATTACCTTCAATTTGGACACAGCTCCATGGCCAACCTAGGGACAGGTACCTAAGACAAGGCATTGATGCGGATGCCGTCAATATTTGGCTAGGGATTGATCTAAGTCCAAACAGCAAGGAGTGCAGGGATTCCAGCAGCCTGTGTCCAAATCTTCTTGGAATGCGGAACACTGTACGTATAATATACATATGTGGGTGTGTTCTTTCTGAGGGGCCTTGGTTTTGCTGTTTTGAAGGGAAACCAACATGAAAACGTCCATTTTGGGGAGCCCCCCAAAAAACAGACCCATATAGGGGTCTTGCAGACTCCAGGCAGGTCTTTAAGCGTTGCAAAGCTGGTCGCCAACTTAATGTTGACCCACGATGTGCTCCCTCCAAAAGTGCCTACTAAAAGGGGACACCCCCCTATTAATCGACCAGGGGTTTATTAATCCGGGGTTAACCAATAACGCAAGCCTGAGAAAATGGCTTCCCAAGCGAGTCACAAAACCTGTCGAAACCCAGGCCTACCCAAACCATGTACTGTACATTTTGAGCATTAAAGCTCAATAGATCCGTGCAACATGACAAATCGAATCAGAGGCCAATGGGAGGCCCCAGAACCGCTTCATTCTCAACACCAGATTCTGGCCTCCCTGGCCGTGGTTTTGCCGGTCTGGCGCGGCTCAAAACGAGCGAGGGACTCTGCCCAAGAGATGCCACCCACGCCAGTTTTTGCTTTTTGTTTCGTGCGCTTCCCATTGAACTGGCCAACCCCAAAACGGGCACGAAAACAGAAGCCTATATGGGTTTGTCTTCCAAATCGCTGATCCCCAACATGGTTAGTGTCCATGAAAAACAAAGAGGCCATCCCTTCTACGGTTGGTTCCGCCACATTGCTCAAGACCCCACCCCCCAATTGGAGTGACTTCATTGGTTGAATTTGCAAGGGAACCCTTCTCTATGAAAAGGCAACAAGGGCGGAAACTGGGCAAGTGGCTCACTTCTCCAATCTTGGGCTCGAGACAATGGCTGGTGGAATCTGAGAGTCTGCCTGATTCCAGGTCGGATGCCCGAAGCTTACGGCCCCATCTTCTGCCCAGGAACCCCCAGGAGCATCTGGGAAAAGGAAGGAGCTCGCTTCACATGTCCAGTAGTGGTAGATTCACATGTCAAGCCCAACAGGGGAAATAACAAGGATACTTCAGCAAGTGGAAAACTCACTTGACTTGGGCTCCCGTTTATTATTATTATTATTATTATTATTATTATTATTTCGGTTGGAAGGCAACATGTTGCGCGCCTGGAAAAGCGCCCGGGCAGAGGCCAGGTTGTCCTGCCGAAACTGAAAAAAAACAGGACACTGCCCAGAGCTATCCCCCCCAACCAAAACTCTGCCGGCCAGCCGACCAAAGCGGCAAAGCAGAAAAAGAACAAAACAACTGTCAGCATGTTCTGTCGGAGTCGTGGTCATGCATGAGTCGTGTTGCTTCTTTTCAAGGTGGCTCCGACAAATTGTTCAACGGACAAGGAACAAACAATGATCAGGTCGATTCCAGCGCGGAACTGCTCAGGACTCGCCCAAACAGGTCTCCGAAAAAGATCGAAAACGTTTGCAAGGAGTGTTTGGCCAATTTTGGACACCGCCATGGAGTTTCCTTTGGACTCTTTAACGGTCGGAAATCTGCCCATCGCTTGCAGGTGATCAACCCTTTGTCAGGGGGTCAAAATCCCGGAACACGAACCTTGATCTTCTCACTTGCTGAGTGGATGGCCCAAAAAAAGTCCAAAAAATATATTTACCACTAAAATGGTCTTCCCAAAAAGTTTAAAGTTCATGAACCCAGGAAGTGAGTCTTCCAGGACCCTGGAAAAGCAGGGCCCTAGGGCCGAAAAAATCCAGCCATTTGGAGCCAAGAACAACATGGGATCGAAGGACCCTGGTCCAAAAGGGAAGACCAAGGAAGGAGCAATCAGGCCTGGTGTTCCATCCCAAGCAAAGTGGTGTTTTACGGGGAGCTTCAGTCTGTTCATTTGCTTGAGACGCCGTGACACCCAAACCGGCCATTCCGGTGTTCACAGTCTCATCTTGAATTCACCCTTTGAATGGCGTCTGTTCCTCTTCTCGCGCAGGAGGGTTTACCTTTGCAAATTGGTGTCTGGTCTCTCTTCTCAGGGAGTGGCAGCCTTTGGCTCCCTGAACACTTGAACACTTGGTCGACAAAATGGCAACTCTTTCTGGCCCCTAAGGAGGCACAAAACGGCACTCGTGGCTGGCCACTTCAACCTGTTCCCATGGGCATTCCAGATGCTGAAGAAGCGTATCTAAATGTCCCTATCCTTTTTGCAACAAGGTTGTGCCCCTTTTTGGGGGGCACCCCAAAATGGCCCCCAAATGGGTGGCGTGTTCTCTTGGTTTCCCTTGGAAGCCAACCCAAAAAAAGGGTACCAACTCCACAAGAGACCATGCGCATCGCTTCACTTTTTTGGGCGGCGGGAAACCGAGAACGCGAAAAGCAGTGAAGGCGAGAACGACCCAACTTGGCCGTGGGTCAACCCCAATGAAATCCCATTTTGGGGGAATTAGGTGCACCACCCCATTTTGGTATGATTCTTTTCGTGGAGATTGGATATTCACTGGGGATGGCCATTTTCAGTGTTCACTTCTTCGACGTCTTGCCAGTGCGTCTTGAAACCTCGGAAAGAATGAATCTGCAGGACGTCCACGCGCTGAAAATCCGCGAAGCCTCCACGGATTGGCGGAAACTCCTGGCGGAAGCAACCGTCTGGATTCTCGATGACTTGATCACGGCGATTCCCTTGGCCACTCACAGAAAGGAGCAACATAAGCAAGTTCCACCAGGACCCCCCCAATGCTGGCAAATAACCCCAACAACATTGGGAGGTCATTCCACAGTTCTTTTTTTTGCCAGCCATTTGGGGGTCCTGGCAACCATCTATGACAATCGTTCAGCAGTCTGAAATAAGGGACTCCCACACTTGGGACGCGGTTGCTCTATGCACAGCAACGCCCCCTGCTGTTTCATGGGTACTTCACAAGCCTTCTTTCCCACCCCCCCAATGGCTGGCAAATGGTCTGATTGGAGGGTCCTGATCCAGATCCTTCTTTTCAGAAAATTGAATGCAAATAATTCACGTGGCTTCTCAAAAACCCGAACAGGTCAATGAAAATAACACGAGGAGTCAATCAGAAGGTTGCCGGGAACCCCTCTATGGAATCCCGAAGGCCCCAAGAAGGACTCGACTACGCCTCCTTAAGTGGAAGGGACTGGCATCATATCCTTCGGAGTGGCAAATGTCTGGCTGGGCATTCTCTTTACTCCAAACCACAACACCGCGGATTACAGAAAGCCTGGCCACCGAAACAACAACCGTGAAACCGAACGAACCGAACCGATGACAAGCGGAAGAACCGCTCGAGAACCGAACCGTCTAGTTCCGAAGCGAACCGTTGCGAACATTGATCAATACCGAACCATCCAAAAAAAAAACCGCCGTCTGAAGCACGAAAACTGGTCCAATTGGAAGCTAGATCTGGCACCTTGGTTCTGGAAACTTGTGAATTCTCAAAATATCCGTCTGGGTGATTCAACTAAACTCGTTTCTGTTGTGAGTCAAATCAGAAGCCAAAACAAAGAGGACGCATGGCCCATTGGTTCGGGAACCCTGGACCTGGGAAAGATGCGGCCCTTAGCCCGAGGTACACTCCCCCCTTTCCACCTGGAGTCTCCATGACCCGTAAAAATGGGGTCATTACCCCAAATAATGGGGTCATGGACCCATTTTTTAAAGGATCATGGAGACTCCAGGTAGATGGTGATAAATAGATGACAGGACCCCCCAATGGCTGGCAAAAAAAAACTGTGGAATGACCTCCCACTAAACTGTTTTTGCTTGCCAGCCATTGGGAAGTCCTGGTGGTGGTTCGTCTTTTCTGGAGTTGGGCCGCCATTCCTTTCGCTGGAAGACCCCTGTCAGGTGCTATGGCAAAGTGGGAGAGAGGGTCGTAAATCAAAAGGAAAGGCGAATCCATGTTGGGGATTTTTCTGAAGAAAAAAAACACACCCACATGTTCCATTCGGATTCATCAATGGGGTCCATCATCCCACTGCGCTGGCATGGACAATGCTCACTAACATTCGCTGGAAACAACCAATGAATGGGCAATCAGTCACTGGGCACCAAACCGTGCCGACGCTTGGGTTTCAAGGCAACCGAACCTCCTGGAAACCGAACCGAATCGACCTGCGGCTCTGGGATTGCCGTCTTGTTGTTTTGCACCATGTTGGTGTCCACTATAACCCTGAACGAGCTGGGGGAAACATTGACCAATCTTTTCCACGGGGTCTGCCCTTGGCTTTCAAGCGGCACGGGCACCAAAACAAGGCCCAAGGGGCTCCTAAAAGTACTAGAGCAAGCAGCCTTAAGAACCAACATCCCGCAAGACTGTGTTTGGAATTTCGGAGAAGAATGGCCCATCAATATGCTGGAGCAGTTGCGTGAGCATGGTCGTATTCGAAACTCAAGGCTTTGCTCAGAAAAGGTCCCCAATGCAATCTATATATATATATATACATGTATACATACCCAAAGCAACATGCATATGTATATGTATATGCATTTATCTGAGTATAAACCCCAAACAATATATATATATATATATATATATATATGAATATAAACCCCGAAGCAACATACATATATATACCCCAAAGACACATACATACATCTATATGTATATATATATAACGCAACACATATCTATATATATATATATTACCCCAAAGCAACATATGTATGCCGCAAAACAAGACATATATATATATACGTATATATATATATCTAAATAAACACCACAAAGCAACATATATATATATGTGAGCCCCAAAGCAACGTACGTATACATATACATATATATATATATATGTATATGTATATATATATATATATATATATGTTTTTTTGCGGATACCCGTTTTGTGGGGGGCTCAAGGAAACCAAGCAAAGCCACCAGCTTTGTGCCCTAAACAAGATACCCATTACGAAAGTCCAGTTGCGGGGTAGGGATGTTCTTGATGCGCGACCTTGAGACGGCAACGATATCCACACCAAACTGGAGACACCGTGTATACACCCTTCACTGGACATTGTTGCCCTTTTGCTGCAGGACAATGGAGATACGGTCTCTTGAGTGTCCCTAACTGACATGGGTTGAGGTTCCCCTCACCCACATGGTTGAAAGGTAAACCTCGCTATTTAGTTCCCTTGCTTCCGTGGACTTCGATTTGGCAATGCGTCAAGCGTGAACCACGGGACCCGTCCTCGCAGCGTGCCCATGTTCAGCCGATGCCTGCAATGGCATTGCTGCAGGAAATGTGGAGAGGGCTGTCCCATTCATCGGGAACAATCAGCGCAGCCCCCAAACCCCACCGAAGTGAACACTGGGTCAGATATAGAACCCGTGCAAAAAGTGTTAAGTGTTTGCTGCTGAAAAGTGAAGTGTTTGCTTTTGAATCGCAATGGTCGGAAACATGGCCAGGCGCCGAAGCGTGGTCCGGTGTTCGAGTCGAGACGCGTAGCCAAGCGCTTCTCGCATTGGAGCTACGAAGGGTTGCGACGAAACTACTCAGTTTCGGAACAATTGCGTCCGAAGACGCATGGAGGAACGAATGAAGCCGTCGACGGCGGAGGACAGCATCGTGGGGAGGTAAGAGGGGAGGCGAAGTCGGAAAGTGAAGGGCACAAGCCACAGAGATGGTGCCGTTGGCACAGGTCAAGTAATCGGTCAGGAGGCATGGAACCCGATCCTGACGCGGGAAGTGCGGACAAGTTTAATTGTCTGTGTTTTGTCCCAAGGGATTCTTTTTGGCACCAGCGATGGTGGAAAGGGCAGGTAGGCTATTCACAAAAGCTTTGACCTCATCGCCAAGAGTTTTTGAACCGAGGCGTATAGTGGATGCCTTCGGTGATGTAAGTAGCCTTATGCACACTGCATGGAATCAGGATAGGGCATTTGGTGTCCAATCTGAATGACAGCAGAAGTTCGGCCCAAGAAATTCCGCCTGGGAGCAGAGGGCTTGCGGGGGGGAGGCTACGTAGTAGGAAAACCTTGCCTTTGGGATTGGGTGGTATGGATATATGTTTACTGTAGATCTGGTCATTTTTCGAGCAGGATTGCGTTGCGATAATCTCGCCGCCCCCTAACCGCCCCATTGGCGAAGGATTTTTACAAAATCTCACCACGTCGAGACATGTTGATTCTCTTCGTGGACCAGAGAACCGCCACTGCCACTCTTTTTTCGGCTTCGGCTCAGGCATCTCCGTCAAAATCATCTTGAAGATCACAGCCACATTCCTGCACGGAGAGTGCGAAAAAGGGGGCAGGGTCAGGGCGAGCTAAGGGGAAACGTGACACAGCACGAGTTTGGTAAGGGGCTCGCCGGGAGAATGGACACGTTGCGCAACTTGACACGGCCACATCGACGAGAATGGACGCTCATGTACGCGCAGGAAATGTACGCGCAGCTGCGCGCTCCGGAGCGCGCACACTCAGCCTGCTCACTTAGTCATCAAAATCGAGACGCTCTGGAGCGCGCAACATGGACACCAGTGCTGGGGAGCAAGACGTTGGACCCAGCCCCACGCGTGCTACTGCAACATTTTTAGCTTCTGAGTGATACTGCTCATTGGAAACGATGTGGTGCGCGCAGGAAGCGTACGCGCATCAGCGCGCTCCGGAGCGCGCAACATGGATACCAGCGCTAGGAAGCAAGACGTTGGACGAAGCTTATGCGTGCGCTACAGAAGTGGAAACGCGTTGCTGCATGCAGATAAAAACATACGCGTAGCTGCGCGCTCCGGAGCGCGCAACATGGACACCAGTGCTGGACGGAGCCCTATGCGCGTGCGAAAAACACAACGTGACTTCTGAGCCATATTGCGAAAACGCACACGCGCAGCTGCGCGCTCCGGAGCGTGCAACAAGCATACGAGTGATTACCAACGCTGGGAAGCTAGGTGTTGGACGAAGCCCACGTGCATGCTAAAGCTACATTCAATGACTACTGAGTGAGTCATCAAAGTGGAGATGCTCTGGTGTACGCAAGTAAAACGCATACACCCAGCCGCGCGCTCTGGAGCGCGCAACATGGATACCAGCGGAGGGACGCAAGACGCTGGACAGAGCCCCGTGCGCGTGGCAAAGCTACACTTCTGAGTCATACTGCTCGGAGCGCGCAACATGGATACCAGCGCTGGGAAGCAAGACGTTGGGTTCACGGGTGCCTGGACTTTCATGATGCCAATCGTCAGAGTGTTTAACGGGGTGCGGGATGGAAAGAACACGTGTCCATGTTTCCAGCATGTCGAGGCCAACCTGTGCTCAGCCCCACACGCCATGTGACTTCTCTGCTATCTGCGCGCTGTACGCGACTGCGCAGTCCCATTTTCTTATCTGACACGCTGCCACTTTGCCGCAGGTGGTGTTAGACACCTGGTGTCTAAAAGAGGGCTTCGGGTCTTCTTGCATCTGAAGGAGCTACCTTCCCGAATGCTCCGCTGCGCTCTTTTGAGTACCGAGCAGGAACAGAAGTTCTGCCAGCAAGTTGTCAGCGCAGCTCATGACTTGTCTGTTTCGCATACACAAGGCAGCCTGGCCTGGACAGCTGCATGAAAGTATTGGTGGCATGTTGAAAGTCTCTCTCTACGAGAGTCAAGCCACAGTCCTGGAGTCTGCTTCGAGCAAATGAGAATGCTTCGCCTGCCAGCACCACGTATTCTGAAATTCGAATATGCGAAGTTGGACATTTGCAGACTTTCCTGTGATCCCACCAAAGCCACGATTCACTGCTTTTCGCCCTCAACAGAAGCCAAACCCATATTTCATGTTCCGCTGCTGCGAAAGGCGAACAGCACTGGACATCATCTTGTCCGGAAGTGCAGGCTGCTGGGGGCTGGAGGGGGGGGGACCCAGGCCTATCTTTTCAACGGTGCAAAAGGACCGCGTATGTCAGACGTTGACAAAAAGCAACCTTCCTGATGCGAGCGCGCCAATGAGGCAAGGGCAACACGATGCTTTTTCCTTTCTTGTCTGGATTGCAAAGTGCAAGGGCGCGCTGAACTTTCAATGTCAAGCGTTATGAAAAACAACTTCCCTGATGTAAGTGTGTCAGTGGGGAAGGGGTCGCACGTTGCTTGCTCCCTTCTATCTTTTGATCCCGATACGCAATGGACGATGAACTTCCAATGTCAGCCGCTGTCAAAAATTACTTCCCAGATGTGAGTGTGCCAGTTTCTGGCCTGTGGTGTTCCAAGCGGTGTGGTGAAGTCCTGTTTGTGTGGGGTGGGAAAGTTCGAGCGTTGTGATTCGTGTGTGCCCAATGGGGTTTTGCCCGAAGAAAGCCTTCCTCCTTATCCAAAATAATTAATGAATTTTGAGCATGTGCGTGCAGTGTTCAGGGTGGGAGTCTGGCGCCGACCGAAGCGCTTGCACACAGACTCCGGTGGCGACGCTGCCCCTCAAGGTCCCAGAAAAAGCCTTCCAGGCGACGTAAGTGCGGGAACAACATCGGATCTGTCATTTGTTGGTTGTCTTGATGATGTTTAATCTGCGCTGCTTGAGCTGGGAAGGAGGGAATGACCCCTACACTCAGATGTTGGGGAAGGCCTGTGCCCTCATATCAGGCGTACAAAGCGCGGAGCATCCGCTGGCGCGCGGGCGGGGGGCGGCACCTTATATCAGGCGTATATAGCGCGGGGCATCCGCTGGCATGTGGGGGGCGCCGCCTTATATAAGGTGTATATAGCGCGGAGCATCCGCTGGCGTGCGGGGGGGGGGCCTTATCTGAAGCGTATGTGGCGCGAGCACTCGCGCTATATACGCCGAATATTGCACGGACGACCCCCCCCCACGTCCAGTAGCCATCTCCGGTGCACAATTTGCTGCGGAACAAGGTGCTCAAATTGTGCACCGGACATGGCTACTGGACATGGTAAAGGGTCTTCCGTGCTATATCAGGCGTATATAGCGCGGAGCGTCCGTTGAGGGGGGGCGCCTTATATCAGGCGTATATACGCGGAGCGTCCGCTAGCACGAGGGGGGCGGCGCGTTATATCAGGCGAAAATAGCGCTCGGCCCATCGCAAGTGGCACGGGCCATGGCAGGGAAACTTCTGAAATGAAGAAGCTGAAGATATCTAAAATGGGTCTGTTTGTGTGGAAGCACCCGTTTCGGGTTAGTTTTCAAAAGAAACTTGTGGGGAATACACCAGACCCCCTTGCCGAGCTTGTTGAGTTGGCGAAAATCATTGGCTTTCCCGGAGTGGGAGCCTTTGATCAAGGCAGCGGTCTGGTTAAAATGTAAAAGCAGTAGTCAAAATGCTTCATTTGGATTGCGAGCCTTCAAACTCGGGCTTTCAAGAAACAGGCCCTAAACTTTTCATCAAAAACACGTAGCCTCGTTTCAATGTTTAGGGTAGGCAACCGGGACCTGAGAGTTTCCCTTCCCCTGAAGTCCCTGAGGCTAACCTGTTTGATCACTGGTGGCACATCCAGCAGTTCCCAAACTTTTGACTTGCAATTCGCAATGCAATGTGGACCACTTTCTGGTTCCACACGTGTCGGAAGATTCTGCCCAACTGAAGCCGGGGCTTGAGTGGACCTTGCTCAAGCACGAACACGTCGCGCCAGCGACTGACGTGGAGGCTCGTGTGCCTTCGCTTGCTGAGCGACTGTTGCAGGCGAAGCGCTGAGGATTTGGGTTTCGCAAGTCGGGGCCGCCAAACAAATGTTTCCCTTAGCGTTTCCTCAAGCAAAGATTATTGGAGACTCCAAGTTTTTGTAGAACCACCCGTTTGTTGAAGGGGTTTGTTGGTTTGTCTGGGCAAGCGTTGGTTTGTTTGCCTTTTTTTTTTTTGGGGTGGGGGGGGGGGGTGGGGTGGAACAAAGACACCGCTCTTCATGCAACCCAAACTGCGGTCGAAAAAAAGGTGGTGGCCGCCCTTGTCAGAGAAGCTCCCTTTGCGAGCTGGCTTTGAAAGAATGCTCATGAAAGCTTGCGCTTGTTTACTTTTACGGTCAGTTTGTGGCAGGAAAAAGTGGCCGTGTCTGTGAAAGCGTATTGTGTCCATTCTCGTCGACAAAGTTCCAAGAATGGTGTCCACGCCCCACGTCGCCACGCCGACGTAGTGCGTTTTCGGCCGCCCCAAGGTCAAGCAGCAAAGCGCTGCCCGGGTGGCGTTGCGAAGCCCGGCTTCCGCAGGCTCTGTCTGCAGTTGTCGCTGCCCTGGCCGCGCAGATGATGATCGCGAAGCTGACTGAGGAGCCGCCTTCGGCGCCGCTGCAGGCACCTCACGCCGCCCGACTATACAATCTCTTTCACCGCGTTGTGGATAGTTGGCGCAGGCACATGTGACAAACCTGCCACAATCTGAGATGTGATGTCCGTCTTGTCTGCCTGGGGTGCCTGCAGCCACTTTCGAAGAGCTTTCTTCTGCTCGCCAGACAGGGCGTCTATCTTGCTGTACATGTTTGCCAGCACCACGCACGCCTGGTGCTCCAACTTGTCCAAAAAGCGCGGCTGCCATCGGCTCACTGGAAAACAAGGGAGTACCTGCAAAGCGAAGGATGCAGACACAGATGGCTTTACAAGACATGGAGCGGCTGAGCTAGGCACAGGGTGCACCACCGGGTCATCTGCGTGTGAGTCCCCCGCCTCGCCAACGCTCAGATCGGGGTCCAGCTCGCAATGAAAACGGGCGAGCGACAGAGTGGATTGTCATCGCTGTTGCTGGGATTCCCATCGCTGTTGCTGGAGGCTGCCATGCGATCAGAGGCATTGGAGCCCCCGCTCGTAACTGATAGTTTCAATTCAATGCCTGTGACTGGGGCCTTGAAGGGCCAACTTCCCTGATTCCAGTGGCTCATCTTGGTCTGGCTCAACACTTACTTTGCGTTCCCCTCAGGCCGTGCGCTGCGGACCAGGCAATGGGCATACAGCTTGGACTGTGGCCGAGGTAGAAAGGGCTGGTGGGACTCCATTGCCGGGACAAAGCATTTCCACAACTGTTTATTTGTTCTGTAGTGAATTTCCCGCGGAGACAATGGATCAAAAAAGGATTCCCCTGACCAACTGGGGTCCAATGGACTTTGGCTCAATGCGTCACATTCGAAGCTCTGGGCAAGATGTTCAAAAGGAACTGGAAGTCCTAAACCACGTTCATTTCCGCTTGTTAGGGTTTTAGCAGAATCAGAGACAGGGTGCCATTTGTTGATTGCCCGCCAACGTGGACTGCAAATAGTGGGTTCGCTTTCGTTTTGGGCTATGCCCACATGTAGTCCACAGGCGAAATTCGCTGAGGTCAAGGCCATTGCAGACTGCGTGGCTGACGAGCCCAGCACCACCACCACCACGGGTGAGAACCCCGGTGGGGCATGACCCGGGCCCAAGGACCATTGTTGTTCGTCCCGAGTGAGCAAACAAAACAACACCGCGCAAGATGTGATTGCCAAACTCTGCACCAGCCTGAGTTGAAATCCACACGACCGTAAAAGACTAAACTTGAAGTCGAAAAGAAAATGCAAACTGCCTGCAGTAACAACATGCGTTTTTTGCTCGCACTTAGGCCTTCCTGGGGCCATGGCCACAACACAGTTTTCCTACTACGAGGCCTGTTCATGTGTATGTATTTCGGAAGGACTCTGGGGAGGCTGAGTGCGAGTCAGGAGGCGGCAACAGGTTTTGAGCCCAATTGAGTAGCGCTTGGTTGTACAAAGCACCCCAAACCGAGGCATACATCCAACCGGTACAAACCGGGGTGCAGTTTATTGAGGTCCAATCACTGTTGAAACCAGGCAACATGGTTGTGGTAATCACCCCTTGAGCGAAACCGATCCCGCTCGCTTGATAGAAAAAAGGGGGTTCCCTTGCAGAGACCCACGGAAAAGCTTCTACCTGGAGTCTCCATGACCCTTTCAAAATGGGTCCATGACCAACCGCTTTTTGGGGTAGTGACCAACCTTTTTTAAAGGTCAGAAGGAGACTCCAGCTACTTAACCCGAAGTCCCTAAAGGCCTCCGTGGCCGAAGGTTTATCAAAGGCCGAAGCCAAGCTTCGACGCGGACTGCCAGGACTTGCGTCAGGAAGAAATTGAACAAAACACGAGACATCTTTTGGGCGAAGCCTTCCTGCACCCTCCAACCATGTTGTTCGAGAAAAAAAAAAGGAAACAACAAAGCAGTGCATCACTCAAAGAAGGATATGGATGAATACGATGCAGCAAGCAGTCCTTCCATGTTTATTACCATAGTGTGAATATGTCATCAGGTTTTGCTCGGTTAGATCAAAGGCTGAAGATGGATTTGCCTGGGTACGAGATGTATGCAGCCAGTGGCAAATCGATTCATTGCTTCACCATTTCAACATGGCTGGCGAATCATTTGGCCGTGTGGGTTGCCGGTAAAACGTACCCATCGGAAAGCAACCGCCACAACTAGAGGATGCCATCACCTTCCTGGTTGGGGTGGTTAGCAAAGTTACTCGCTCAAGGCCTTGCTGCTTTGACCACACGTTCGACTCGCAATCTGAGCATGGTGTCAAAACGCTGCCCGTCTTGTTTCACGACTCCGGGATTTGCGCCACAAATCTTGGCTTTCATTTGCTGAAACGCATCCTGGTGTTCCGCCAAGCCCAGTTTGTGCGTGCCAGGGATGGGAGCGGGGGCCTCGGGAAGCGATGGGCTGAGAATCAACCCAAAAAACCGGCGAGACCTGCAGCGGAATCTCCTCTTTGGACCTCATTTTGGGGGCTCCAATGTGTGTGTGTGTGTGTGAGATGTTTTTTGGTTCTTCGAAAAACGCCATGTGACAGCTAAAACTGGCCGGGTGCTCGGCTTTTGGCGGAGTCTTCGGCACCGCCTCACAGTTTCCAGGACGCCCATCGAGTCATCGAGTCATGGTTCATGGTGTGAATTTTGACTACCTGCTACCCCTCAATTGAACAATTGTAACACTCAACCGACAATTTGCAAAGTTCTGCCTGCATCGGATGTTTGTTGCATGCGTTGGTAGCAGGTAGGAGAGCTTTGGCGGACATCATTTAGGTGGGCATTCACGTCCACCAACCACCTTTGAGGGCATCTCGTTTTTCATCGCCCAACTGACAGTGGCTTGACATGGGCAAACCTTATTCAGGGCTCAGCTCTTCTCAAGATATTGGTCGCTCATCTGTCACGGCTATAGAAAATGGACGACTGTGCTAGGGAAGGTTCCTGAAATGGATAAGACGGTCTTTGAAGTTGCCTACCGGAGTTGTAATTGGTTGGTGCAAGAATGCCTACGCTACAAATCTTGTGCTGATCGATCTGGGAAAAGTATGAATGCCCAAAAAGGGAATTTGACAAATCTGGGGTAAGAATACTCTCACTCCAAGCAAATGCGCACAAAGCAATCCCGAACAAGAAAACTTTGCGAGGTGCTTCTATGAATTTCTGACGGCTTTTCGCCAAGAACGGACAGAGGGGGGGAGAATTTCGGGATTTTCACTTGGCTAAACAGGCGCTGCTTTCTAGCTTGCCAGTGTGGGTAAAATGAAACAGAAGGGCCCCGTGCGCCTACTTCTGAGTCCCAATTTGCGCAACATGTGCGATTCACCACATACTGGGTCCCGCTTTGCTCTGAAGGGGCCTACTCCCTTATGGGTGAGGGATCGCGTCGGCCGGCGGCTTTCAACATAGCTTTGAGCTCGGGCTAGAATTGGGGAGCTTAGGTCTCTCCGGTTTAGGGGCGTCAGGTTGACACTTCAGGCGCAGTTTGCGGCAGGGTTCGGCTTCGGCATCAAAAATCAGCACTTCGGATTTCCGGCCAAGCTTTGAGTTGCAGTTTGCTTGTTTCGGGTCTGGCGCGATGCCTGCGCGGAACCTCCAAGACACCTCTTCGACAGCCCTGCTGCGAACCTCAAAGAGGGATTGGCCGGCTTCTTCAGTCGTGGAATTACCCCCACAGACCCAAGGGGCTCCTTGCTCAGGGCAGTCACAGAGAAAACCGATCTCAAAAGTTTCAATTCTTGTTGAGTGGGACAAGTTCTTCATTTGTCACAAAGGACATACAACACATTCAGGTGGGTATCTCGGCCGGCCAAGAGAAACAGGTTTGGTTGACTCTCACTTCCTGATTCGATTGGCCAAAAAGCTTAATCTGGTTACTTGCCTCTAAAATGGACCAAACCCGAAAAGTGACTGAAGTCCAGGAACTCTGGAAATGAGGCTTTAACAACCAAACAAAACGGGGATTTGTGGCCAAGGTGAGCAACAGGATTGGCCGAGATTTTCGTTTTTTGGGGCTGCCTCCAAAGTCCTCCACCATGGGAGGCAGGTGATTTATCGAGTCTTCCCCGTGAAGAGGGCAAGTTGGGAATTCCAGGGGTCACCCCCTTCCCCAATTCCGTTCAAGGTCCTCCAGTAGAGAGGTTAGAACCTCCCAACCAAAAAAGGGGAGACAAAGGGCACCTATAGCTGGGGTTAAAGCGGTGGGGATCTCCCAAAAAGGAAGCAAAAGGCACCACTCTCCCCGTCTCCGGGCCCCCGCCATGTCACTCATCTCCTCTTGCGACACTTGTGCTTCGACTCCCCTGGCGCGCAAAGGCGCACATGTCTGAAGGGGGAGGGTGTTCTTTTGCGTCTTTAAACCGCTGCCCAAAAGTGGTTGCCACTCCAAAAAGCAGAAAGCGGCTCTTAGCAAGGTTTCCCACACCAAACAGCAAGCTGCCACTGCTTGCCCGTGAGAACCAAGGACGGACGCCCTCAAAGATTGGCGGATAAACGCGGATGCGTGTGGCCATGAGAAAAAAAGGGCGCCGGTTTTGGTTCGTTGAGTCCTTCCCAAACAAGAGAAAGAAGGCGCCAGTGGGCAATGGGGTAAACGCAAGAAACAAAGTGGAATTCATGGCGAGAAAAAAAGACGCTCACCGGCATGCGGTTCCTAGTTCCTACACACTGAGCCCACATCCGGAAAGAAGTGGTTCAACCTGTTGTTCTGGCTATAGTTTACCCCGACAATAATCAGCTTGCCTTTAGACGGGCCGGCTATTCGAGAGCCACTTGGGCGATCTACGGAAAATCACTGCACCATCCGCGCGCAACACGCCATTTGCTTTGGGCCCTCTGCGCAAACAATTGAATACGAAGCCTCGCGCACCCAAATCACAACTCGGCTGGGAAGCTTGGCGACCTGGAGCCAGTGTGGAGGCCCGGAAGCAACAAGCATCTGGTTTCCTGCAGGCTTGGGCCACCCGTGACGCGCTCGTGACGCGGCCCCTCGCTGAAATCGGCAGAACGACGTCGAGTTTCTTCCAGGATCGCTGGTCGAGCCGCCCGGCTTACCCCTGCCTGACCAGCTCATCCGCTGACGCATCCACCTGCGTGGGAAAGTCCCCCCCCGTATCCAAAGGCATCTCTACCTGGAGTCTCCCTGACCCTTTAAAAATAGGTCCATGACCCCATTATTTAGGGCAATGACCCCATTTTTTCAGGGTCATGGAGACTCTAGGTACCATCCCAAGAAACAGAGCAGGTAAACTGTGGTACCTCCGGCCTTTGAAGGGAAGCCGATAGCAATCGCCGAGAAGCTTTTGCTTTTGGGGGGTGGAACGCATGCCGGGCATGTGTCGGTGACTGGGTCTTTGAGAACCTTGATCAATGGGAAGCCAAAAGCCAATACTTGAGTTGTTGTAGATTCCCCGTAAAACCAACCAAAAGAAGACCGGTCCCTAAAAACAAACAGGCCCAAATGAACAATACCATGGACCCAATGAAGAACTTGTAACCAAGGCACCTTGAAACCAACCGAAGGGGATGTGTGGTTCGATTGGCACGGAAAAGGTGCCATGTCCCGTTGATCCCTTGAGGGCTCCGGAATCCCATCCGTGGGCACCGGACTTTTTTTGAGTCGCCATGATCCCGGGGAATCCCTTCCCTCACTGTGTCACCACTGGGAGGTTCGTTTCCAATGACTTTTCTTCAATCTGGGTGATTTATAATTTTCACCAACCTGAGATACGGTGATTGGGGGAACATTCCCTACATAAACCACCATGTGGGGTGAGGTCGTGTGAGGTCGTTATAATTCACCCAGTTCCTATTGCAAGGGAAGGCTCCCGACCAACGCTTAACCCATCCCTTCCTTCACGGAGTCACGGAGTGGCACATCCATTTTTCCTGGCAAAAACGGATGGGTAGCTTGCAAGGTGCCGCGGATTCCCGCGCTGTCCTTGGTGTCTCAGGTACACGTCTTTCGCAGATCCTGCTGAAAAAATGAGGCACAGACAACATTGGATCATTCAGATTCTCTGCATGTATATGTTCATGACCTTGTGGCTTATTCAAGGTGGTTTGTGAAGGTTTCGTTTGGGGTGGATTTGGGCTGCATGGGGAATTGAAGTCGCCACAAATCGCAGGAGCGCTTTTCACAGGGCAAAGGGGACCCGATGGACAACTGGGGTTGTGTCCACCATGCCTTGCTTGAACCCGCGACACCTCATTTTCTGGCTAAATCACTAGACATTGGCAAGGCCCAAATTTGGCGATATCACGGAATTGCTAGCTTTTTCTCAGAGCCCTGCAACTTGAGGGGCCCATATGAACTCATGAACGTATCCAATCCGTATCGCTTTGACCCAAGCGGCTTCAACGGTTCAGCGGAAACCCCCAAAACGCGCCTGGTGAATTGCTCCGGGTCAAAACCAATGGTGCCATTTTTTGGGTAGGTGCACCACCCATTTTAGTCTATTTTGGTGGGGATTGGGATGTTCACTGGGGCTAACCGATTTGGATTTTGACCCATGGGAAGTCAAATCGGAGGCGCGAATCTGATCGGATGCACGTGGATCGCTGCCTTAGGCACCAATGGTCCTTTTGGCCGGCTCGTAGACTCGCCGAGGCCGGCCGGCGCCAATCCGTCAGCTGAAAAATGACCGGGGCAGGCGCGTTTCCAGCCGGGAGAAAGAGGGGTCCCGAAATTCTCGGAAGGGAGGAGACATGTTCCAACACCTTTCGCTCTCTTCCATTTGCTTTTTCGCCCCCTGGAAAAGGAAAAAACATATGTCCAGTAATAGATTCCATAGACTCCCTTTAAAACCAGAGGAACATATAAACTCTTGCGCAAATGGAAGCTTTGGGACGTTTCACTTAGAGTCGCGCCTGCCCTGGAACGGACCGCCATGGTCACCAGCTGACCCCCGATCTTTGAACTGCCCGAACACGAGGGTCCTGTACTGGCGCTCTGTGGATTTTCAATCGCATCGCACAACCAAGGGTCACACACACAATGCCTTGATCTTCCAGGACCCTGGAACAGCAGGGTCCGAATTGGGCCGAATTTCCATTTGGAGCCAAGATCATCAAGAAGGACCCTGGTTTTGCGGGTCCTTGGAAGATCAAGGATGGTTTGAGAATGGCTAAACTTCCAGACCCGCGCTGATATTGCATTCATACCTGGACCAACCAAGGGCACTTGTTTTGCGACTGTCGGCAAAAATCCGTGCATTTGTTTGAAATCCATACATTTGAGCAAAAACTGTACTTTTATTGCAGGCTCAACGCAAGACACAGGAGCATTCAACGACTTTTTCTACAAGAATCTCACGTTCAGCTCCGGCGCTGGCACTGGCGATTGTCATGCTCATGGGCCAAGAAAATCTATTTGAAGGTGTGCAATTCACCAAGGACAAAAGGTGCGCATTTGGCCAAGCAAGCGTTCCGCTGATTTCCGTACTTTTTACGCAGATTTCCGTACTTTTCCCGCCGATTTCCGTGCATTTCCCGCCGATTTCCGTGCATTTCCTGTTTCTACATTTTGGCTGAGAAAACTGCAAACTCACAAAAGCGGCAAGGAAGCTGTCACATGTTGCCCCACAGCAATAGGAGACGAATGACCTGAAACGGAATTATGTATGACGGGCCATGTAAATTGCAAACTGTGTTCATGTGCATCCATGTGCCCAGCAAACGCTCACGGCCTGCTAAAAGCGATTTCCGTCAAATTTCCTCAAAAGTGTACATTGACGGTTTTTTTCTGCATGTACGGAAATTTCAGTACTTTTGGAGGGTTCAGGTATCCCCGCTATAAGTGCAAACTTTTGGTGGGTTGAATGGAAACCCCCGCTAAACTCCAAACATTTCAACAGCTATGTAAGGGGATGGCTGGGAACCACCAAGTTCCCCAAGAGTATCATGATCATTCTCGCTGAAACTTGGTGCAAGCGATGTGTCGAACTGCAAAAAGAAAAGGAGAACAAGCCTGACTTTGGTCAGCTGGATTTCGACCACGGCTCACCTAGAAGCTATGGATGGAGGAACTCTGCTGGAAGTCGATATGCGCGGTGACATGGCCTGTTTTGTCAAACCGGTCCTTCAAAGTGAAAATAGAAGCCACTTCAGGCCACCATTGCCATGGTTCAGGGTCCCAAACAAGTTAGCAGACTCTGTCAACAGTTAGGATAGCACCAACATGATTGGCCAAATGCTTTGTGTTGAACATGCCCAGACATCAAAACAACCCCCCTTTTCACAAGCAGATTCCTCCAGGTGGTTTAGAGATCCCTGTCGTTTCTTTCAAGACAGGACCAAAAAAACAGAAGCCTCCAGCGGTTCCTCCAAAAAGCAGGTCGCGCGCGCTCAAAGCGCACCTCGCGAGGGCAAGAGTTCAAACTGACGAACCCCAAACACCACGCCATGTTCTACAACCATCGAATGATCACCAGGACCCCCCAATGGCTGGCAAAAAGAATCTGTGGAATGACCTCCCAATGGCTGTTTGGGCTTGTTTGCCAGCCATTGGAAAGTCCTGGCAGAGGCCAGTGGAGAGTACGCCTTTCATGAGGATTCCCTGCAGCAAATCAGCACCAAGAATCCCCAGACTAAACCCCAGGTGCCTTTTTGAATGCACAAAAAGCGAGTGTGGGTCAAAAACCAGGTAGCCCCACAATGGCTCGTGGAAAATGGAAGCCCAACACCCGCGGTATTCCGGATGTCGCCTCGACGAAGGCACTGGCCCTCCCGGAGCTTGGCCACCTGCGGCATCGCTCATGGCTTTGGGCCCGGGCCGTGAGAATTTGGGTCCGGGCTTTGGGTCCGGCTTTGGGTCCGATTGCTGTGGGGGGGTGGGGGGGGGGTTGTCGGACCCAGCGACGTTCTGGGGCATCCGTTTTTTGGTTTTTTGCACGCTTGTGTGTGTGGTTGATTTTGGCAGGCGATCTGTGACCATTTGCGTGCGAATACGCGGCTGCTCAGGCGTTTGTGGCGCTCGAAATGTACCCCGAAAAACGAGGAACCTAGAACTTAGCTCCGATTGAGAAATGCCAGGGGAAGTTTTGGGTTGGCCATGGTCCCATCCGTGCCGTGGTCGAAACTCATTGTGTACGCCAGGGTCAGAGTTTCTGTTTAGGAAGCCCTTACCATAACACAGGTGGGACAACGCCCGTCTTTGACTCTTTGTCCTGCCTCGGCATCTTCCATGTGTCAAAATAGGGGCACCCCCAAAATGGTGGTTTCCCTTCCCCCTCCAAATTCCAACTTGAAAATGGGTCATCTATGGTTGGTGAATTCCAAGTGCTTTTGGGTCCAGGGTTCCGTTTGCCGAGCGACACCGCAGCGGAGCGCGTGCGCCTCATTGAGCGCCTCCAGCAAGCCCCCGTTGCTGAAGGGGTCCATGGAAGAGCAGACCTGCCATGACTCGGCCGAACACCGGGAAACATCTGAGTGAATTATAATCGTTCACCAACCCGAAATAAGGTGGTTGGGGGGCTATTCCCCACATAAACCACCATTTGGGGAGAATTCGGTTCTGTGAGGTCGCTGTATTTCACCCAGAAACATCGCTTGCTGGGGGCGCTGCGCCAGTTTCTCACTTCAGTGGACCTCTCCAAGCCCTCAAAGTCGAAAGTCAAGGAACTGAGGAAGTGAGTCTAAGAAACCCGTGGGACATTGTCCAGGAAGTTAGCCCTGCCCCCATGGTCCTTTGCTCAACGTGGCCTTTCAAGAATCCAGGAATGCCAAGGACGCAGGTTGACAATGGTTTGGCACAATATATATATATATATACATATGTATGCATATATATTTAAATTACTGTATTTATATATATATATATATATATCGCTCAGTGTCAGGCCGCGCACTGCATCCGGAATGATGCATCCCGAAGCTTCCCAATCTCCGTAGCGATGAGAGCCAACGAACTCCGGCACAAGCAATACCTACAAGTAAGTCCTAAGGATAATCCGAAAACCACTGAGACTCCCCCGCACCCCACGAAACCGAGAACCTTTGGACAACCCCAACCTTGCCCGCCTTTCGGTTGCAAGTGTTCACCTCATGAAGGGGTTACTGTGTTTACCCCTTTCAGAAACTGCCGGGATTTCTCCGAAACAGCAGTTGATCGGTTTACTGGTGGTTCCCAACTTGAAACAATCCCCACTGTTGGAGGTTCAGAGGGAAATCGGACCTCTTGGGTCAGAGCCAAACCGCTCGCGGGGGCTCCGCAAAAAACCGTGCGCGCCGTATGGGCCGCAGCCAGGGACGTGGCCACACGAAGCTGGGCCTCGCAGCTCACAGGGAACCAAAACTCAAGCCAGTTGGGCGTGTCCATTTTTAGAGGACTCTTCAAAATGGCTTCGGTTTTCCTTTTGGGAATCCCATTAAAACCACCAGAAGAGGGGGTTCCCTATAAAAAGATACACCCATTACAGCCATGTCCTAAGCGCGTCAGAATTTGAGATGTCGTATAATTTTGCTTACGCCACCTCGCGTGAAGCTTTTGCCTATGCCCAGGTCGACATGGTGTGACATGCTACTAAACATGTACATGTACACAGAGGATTTCAACGCTCATTTAGTTTAGTTTGGGGTCTCCCTATGTTGACACTTGCCAACGGAGTTCTGGATTGTCTCAAGAACCCTCCAAAGAGGTGGCTTCATTGTGGGTTCTCTCACCCAAGACCCGCAACCAATGCCAACCAACTGCATGTTGTTTCGGTGTCCGGTTGCGGGAATCCCGGCCCATGTCCGATTTTCTAAATTGGAAGCACAGAACTTCTCCAGGCTATCTTGGTTGACGTTGGAAGGGGAGCAAAAAAAAAAGCAGTTTAGTGGGAGTTTCCCTCTAAACCACAACAAGCAAAAATGTAAAATGTTTCCCAACAACAACCATGCTATGGTCACAATCCAAGTTTTAAACCGTAGCGTTCCCCATCCGTTGTGTTTCTGGTATCGTCCAAACCTGCGCTGAAACCGGTGGTTTCCGATACCTCGGTTGCCTTCTGCTCCCCTGCTAAAAGTAACTTTTCGTGGCTTATTGAAAAACCCATTAGTTGGCAACAAGTTAAAGTCCTAACATCCAAGCAACATGCACCAAAGAGTGGTTTCCCATACAACCTTGTTCACATGCGGTATTGAGAAAAATACTCCAACTCTTACTAAGGGCCAAAGTTCGCATGTTTTTAGGCTGGGACGGGGTGGATTCCTATTCGCTTCCGTTAAGCAAATATGAACACAGGTGCATCGCATCCCCGTGGAAACACGCTAAACAGCAAAAAGTCTTCACTCTGTTCAATCCCCGGAGGGTCCAAGTACCTTCTAAGAAGGTACTTAGACCCTTTTTACCCCCCAAAAACCATCCTCATGAGGTACTTCGACCCTCTGAAAATCAATTATGCATTTTGAGGAGGATGGGCACAAATCCCACTGCTTCTCGAGGTCACGGCGCTACAGTTGCCTTCCAAAAGCTTGCTTTGCTGGCTCGAGAGCCACCAAGTTCCTTTTTGACTCGGATCGTATGGGTATGAGTTTTAATTGGGGACCCTTTGGTGGACGTCATTTAGGTGGGGATTTATGCCCACCAACCACTTTTCAGGGGGCTCCCCATTGAATTTCATAGCCATATCAATTCACTGGGACCACGCTGACACGCTAACCCAATCAACGATGTTGAGAACTCTGGTCTGACCCATCGAGCCCTTAAGGCCTGGACGATTTTCATGAGCAACCAAGTTGTTCGAGCCTGTGTCAGGCCCGCATAGGTTTAACAACCAGATTTGCATTGACGAATCTGGCAAGTCGTCTAGACTACTAGAGGTGGAGAAAAGGTTTGGATGAGCGCACTGTGGAGCATCCGAGGCAATGGGCTGGTGGGTTTCCGGCTTCAAAATGTTGCTCAAAACAGATCCTTTTGAGGAAAGCAACCAACAGCTTCAAGTCTACCTCGAAACCATGGTTGAAGGATTGAATCACCGCTGGGTTGAAGTCTACCTTGTTCGCTTCAAAGCCTTTTTTGGGGTATCTACCAATCTTTGCGTCCCGTCCGGGTCGACCTCGTTTCAGGGCGCGGCGGGGCTGATGCGTAGCCGGTGCCGCCGGAGGCAGTCCAGAAACCGGTGCAGCAACAGCGCGCCGCGCTGGGCCGGTCGAGTCCGCGGTCGCGCTGGGAGTCGAAAGTCGTCCAACTGGTGGGGGAGGGGGCGGGGCCCTTTGACAAGCCTGGTCAAAGAATAATTGTCTGGCTGGTCAAAGATGGTCAAAGCATCGAATGTTTTTTTGGCCGGTCTCAGAATCTTTCAAGGAGTTGTAATCTGGAATATGCAATATGCTCATGCTGCTTGGGAAAGGGATGAAGCTCAGAGCTCATTCCCTCACTCCTGAGAAGCAAGTCAAGTTTAGGGTGGGCGTTTCCTTACGGATTGCCGACTTCCGTGGATTGGCGACTGGGAAAAAAAAATCAAGACTGATGGTCAGAAATGGTGCATCCAGATGGACAAATCCCCGAAGGACCAGGTTCCTTTGGTTCCGAAGGCCAAAGTCTGAACCGTTTGTGAGATCCTTTCATTTTTCACGAGCACAACTATGTGTTGTTCAAAACAGACCACCACTGCTATGAACTTGCCTTTGCGAATCCTTTGTTCAAGGAAGGGCTCAACTGTTCGAACGTCTTGAGGCAACGGATGCAACCTGCAACCTGCAACCGGATCGCTCGCTCCTCCTAAACCCCCAGCCAGAAGACACCAGTTCAGCGTTCCGCACATAGCTTCGTGTCCCAACATCCAGGGAGTTCATCCCTTGTAGCTGCAGCACCAGGTCTTTGGCCCGCGATAAATAGCGAAACGAGAAGTCAGAAGATCATTTCAGTCTAAACCAAAGAGCAAATCCCCCATTGGAGCAACATCCATAAAGCAATGGATTATTGACATCATCCTCTGTCATAGTCACATACATATATATATATATAGAATTGTGAAAGATGGGCAAAAGCTACTGACTACACTAGCGGCAAGTGCGCTTCAGCAGCAACCCATGCGCCCAAATGAACACGCACGCCGCGCGATCGAGTCGAGCGAAGCGCACCATCTGGCCCGGATGCTTTCCGCCTGGCGTGATGCGGAACCCCCCCCCACTATGAGATACTACGACCTAAGAAGTCCTAGAATGAATCGATTCCGCAGTCAATACCAACAAAAACATGATTTCAACCATGGATTCAAAGTGGTGCGAAATGGATTTCGTCCATCCAAGAAAATCCACACCAATCGGCAGTTCGTTGCTTTATCTTGCTGCTTCCCTGCAGGGAATGAGAAATGGAATGACCCCGACAGAAGCCATCCATCCCATGGTTTCCTTTCAGGGAATCCCCAGGTCCGTTCCCAACGAAGGTGATTCCGTATCGCACCGATGGCAAGTTCTCAACCTAGTAGAGAGGTTAGAATAAGTTGGTACCAACTTTTCTCTGTAGTCTATTTTAGTAGGGGAACCCCCTCCCAACCAAAAAAAGGGTGAGAGGTCGGGCACCTGGCTGGGGGACCTAGTCAACCAGTCAATTGCTTCGCGGGCTGCGAAGTGGCTGTCAATCGGGCGCTAAGCCAACGGCTTGGCGGCTTGAGCCCTGCACGGGGGGGGGGGGGGGGGTGGTTTGTAGGGCCCCCGAAAGGGGAAAAACAGCGGTGAAAGCACTAGCACACAAGTCACACAAATCACGGCGGCTAATATGATTGTCGTGGTCAAGGGAATCATTTGGGTTTTGGGTTCAGGGTTTAACTTCATACTTCGTGACTAACACTGGAAGGCCTAAACGTCAGACCGGACAGGGGAGGGATGGTCATGCCTTCACCCAACGCCCTGTTGTGCTGTAGGGCGTGCTGCAAGAAAAAGCCAAATAATTATTGAGCACAAATCATCTTGCCCGATGTCCTGCGGATGGATATTAGTGGACACCTGCGGAGAACGGATGGGATTGGCTGGAAGCCAGCAAGTTCCTGCAGTGATACTCCCAAGGAGCAACAACTGTCCAAACCAAAAAGTCAATAACATAACCCGGGCTTGGACAAAACGCGTAAACAAACAGCGAATGGCCCTGGCCGCCTTTCAAGGAAAACCAACTGCATGTTCAAGCGGATTGGCTAACCTTGACTGAAACGCATGTGGGTCAGATCCACAACCCGGAATTCTCCCAAACATTCACACAAGAACAGCCACGCCAGTGCATGGAGCACGCTCCGGAAATCTTCACCTCATTTCTTGACTGGAGGCAACAAAACCATGCTGACCTTCTCGCGCCAATCCTTGTCTTCCACATGCCACTGAAAATGCCCAAGGCTAAACCAGACCTCAAGCCCCGGCTGCGCCGACCGGATCCGCCTAGAAAACCTTCGATGCCCTGCACGAAGCCGTCGAACTCCCGGACCTGCCAAGCCCGGGCTCGCTTTTTCCGGCTTCCAGTTCTTGAAGCTGCCACTTTGGGAGCTTCAAAAAAGGAGAATGGAGGATATTCGGAACAAAAACTACCCCCCATGCCACTATGGCAGACAGCATCTCCAATAGGAACTGATCTTCCAGGTATCCGACAGGTGCCATGGCAGAGTGGGAGGAAGGGGAATGCCAACAGACGCTCGCCGGTCGGACCGACTTAGCAAGCGCCGTCTGTGTGGCCGTACGGTCAATATCACGCTCAGGGGGAGAAAAAAAGACGCCCATCACTTGGAAGTCTCAGCGCCGCTGTCTGAAAAGTCCTGGTGCCTATGGAGAACGGTTTCCCTATACATCCCAACTTGCATTTAAGGTCTCCGTTGGGCGGCCCAAATCCATCAGGACCCACACGAAACTCGCATCCCCAAATCCTGTTCCAAGGCGTATCATGTCCCACAAGACTTGGCAAGACCGGCTCGTGATCCCCTAAACTATGGTACAGCACGCGACTGAAGAATATCGGCCTGTTGCTATACTTCCCTTGCAATCTGTTCAAATGAATCCTTGTCAGAAATTGCAGAAAAAAAAACAAGACGGATGTTTGCGAGTTTCTCACATGATCGTGCTTCACCGCGTCAGGGGAACTGTGTTGGCTGGCTTTGAACAGCGAGGTTCCAGGAACAGGAAACATGAGCATGTCGCAAGACGACTCCCCGAGCTGGTCGGTTTCCTGTTCCTTTCAAACCATCTGAAAAGGAACCAATTCACACCCACACACACATTCATCGCAGCAGTTCAAGCCGCAACTTGATCAGCCTCATACAGCGGTACAACGCAAAGTCGACACCAAACTACAAGAACCCACCTTTCATTTTAAACCATTTCAAGATGAGATCACCAACGTGCCACTTCATTGAAGGAGCATGATACTCTGGGTCCTAGATCAGCAGTCAAAGGAAGAACTCCGGCATAGATGTAAAACTTGAGAATAATCCCTTCCAGATGTGTCTTCTTGAAATCGCCACGCAAGCAAACAAGCCATTGTTCAGAAATCTGTCTTCAGCAAACCAAGCAAAAGGAAACCATCGCCAGCTACCAAAGAGCAGAACCCTCCCGCCCTCGCCTCGTCCTCGCAGCCGCCAGCACGCAAGTGCACTGGCGGGGTCAATTGAACTGGTCGCTACTTGGAATACAAGTGTTAAAACGAAAAAAACACGGCGGCATGAATGATAAACAGCACGTTGGACCAGGCCTTTATTTAGTTCCTCTAGATAGGAGAGTCCATATCAGGAGGGTCCTATATTATACAGTAATTATATAATGCATATCATGCATTAACCTGGTTCTCCCCTTTGAAACACCATCTGAAATCTTCCCTGCACCAATTTGACGTCAGCCCCAAAATGACGAACAACCTCCGCCCAGCTTTCTCTTGGGCCTTTGAGACTCCGGAGCCTCTCGAACAATGTGGTTTCTCGGTGGAATGCCTTCCAGAACCTTCAGCTTCTGCGTGAATCACGAAGAGGTTTCCGCGAGGGCTGGATAAAGTCTTAGCAGCTTCCCTCGCTTTCCAGTTTGAGCTCTTGGCCCAGTCAAAGAATTATTTCAGAGCCCCAAGGCAAGGCTCAAAGCACACAGGCGGAGCACAAAGAGGGATCCAATCTGAGAGAGGGCTCCCCAGGCTCTGAATCATTGGATTTAGACAAGTGAAAGGCATCGGATCCATCTGTTGCTCAGGCTGGTTTGACCATGCGCACTCGTCGCGAGGTGGGGGTTTTGTGTGAGGTTTTCCGCTGAAGTGCCGCCTGACCTCAAGTAGACCGTGTCTCTTGAGCCGCCTTTCAGAATTTCAAGAGGAAGCCGGGTGAAACCAACCGGGGGTATCTCGCTCGGATGTGCACCTGACTGCCCCGCAGCAACTTTCGAGTGAATAATTCCTGCTCGACATGCGGGGTTTTGGCATACCTCATCCATGAGGCTGTAGCTTTGCATGACCAAAACTCTCAAATACAGCAAATTAATATAATGTACATAGTATACGATATATAATATGTCACATACCATACGGCATGTATTATATATATATATATATTAGTATTTATGTTACATAATATATATATATATACATATAAATATGTGATCACCCTGCATGAAACACCTTCACTCTGCTGCCCTGCAATATATGTACAAACAACATTATTTATTGAGGTTCGGCCTTCCCGTGTACCTACAAATCCACAAATCTAAGAACAGCTGCAACAAAAAAGCTGGGTGTTTCCGGGTTTTGCTTGGTTGGGGATATTACACGCTGAGCAGTGCTACGTGGTTAAGCCCTATGAGCATTTCTTGAAATGCCTTGTTTGTGCTTTAATTAGGCATGTGGCATGCTCACTTACTCAGCACGAACACAAACATAAAACAACATCTGAGGCACGGTCAGAATTACATACTTGCGGCCGTTTCGCTACTTAGTTTGAGAGTCCCCTATCGTTTTCCAGCGTTTCCAGCCTTCTCCAAGTATTGTTTGCCATGGTTTTGTGCATGTTCAGAGTATCAATGAAACACCAAATACTGAACTCAACAGAAGTTTTTTTGACGGTTCTTCATGTAGCTCTGGCGATGCGCTTGACTCACCGCAAAACCAACATACCTGAGACAACACGGAAAAGCATAGGCCAGGACCCCCAAATGGCTGGCAAATGGTCTGTGGAATGACCTCCCAATGGCTTTTTTGGGGTTATTTGCCAGCCATTGGGGGGTCCTGGGGATAGCTTTTGACTTTGTCAGTTGTCCTTTAGTTTTATCGCTTTTTCTTTTCTAATGGCTTCCCTCAGCCTCTGTGCGATGTGTATTATCCCCCCGAACAACACAAACAACTCGAGGTGTCGTAGATGTTTGGGAGGCATCAACATAGAGAAAATCAAGAAATAACAAACTCAGAGGTCAAGTTGTGTTTCTGCCAAGCAAGTTTGATCAGATTGTGTTTGTTTGTTTGGCACCATCCCAACAAAACACGTAGAGAAAACAAGGCATCGTGTGTGTTTGAGTATCAGCAGGAAAACAAACGTGCACACACACACACACACACACACACTTTTGTCGTTTTTGGGTAGAATATCAAAAAGAAACGCACAACTCAGTGCGTTCTTGGTGCAAGCTCCTGTACACAGCCCCGGACAGCTTGGATCAACAAGGAAACCACAGGATCCATGTGCCGAATCCGAATCCATCGACGCCTGCCTCGGGTCAGAATCAAACGTCCGATCTCCGGCGCGGGCGAGGGTTCTGGCACGGGGCAGGCTGTGGGTCGAAAAGAAGCTAGGTGACCGCTCAGGCCCAGTTTGCCAACGCACGTGCGATTTTTTAAACGAGCGAGAGAACCAAAACAGACAGAGAAGCAATAAAGAAGGAAAGAAAGAAAGAAAGAAAGAAAGAAAGAAAGAAAGAAATAAAGAAAGAAAGAAAGAAAGAAAGCAAGAAAGAAAGAAAGAACGAAAACAAAACAAAATGAAAGGCAGGAACAAAAGAAACAAAAACAGAAAGCAAGAAAGAAAGGAGGGCAGGAAGCACGAAGAAACAAATAAAAATAAACAAACAAGGAAAGCAAACAAGACAGAACACAAGCAATACAAGGCAAAACAAACAGAAAGCAGAAACAACATGAATAAATCAATAGATCCAATAAATACACTAATTAATGAGTTAAACCAGTTAAATGAGTTAATGAGTCATTAGGGGATGGCAGGGAACCACCAAGTTGAATCTGTCTAGCTTGTCCCCTCGCCATCGTCTTTGCCCCGATTTTGGATTCCTTGATCCTGGTGATCCTGAGTTTGTGTAAACCTGTAAACCCCCATGTTGGGCTTGATGTGCGGAGAACATGGTAAGCCATCTGGTGGGAGTAGCGGATCTAAGCATAAGGCTCCAGTGCAATGGACCTTTCTTGCCAATGGTTCTCAACAAAGAAACGTGTAAACACACGATGGGAATTGATTTCCCCATGTGTTGCTTTTCTGTGCAATTCGTAAATAGAAACCACGCGTGAACAGCAGCCAAAACCCATTTGAGCACACAAACAATATTCATTTTGTTCCCAACTGGCATGTAGAACCTCTGACACAAATTGGCCAACATTTGGCATGCTTCTCACATACCTAGTGGCCAAGCGACCCTGGTAGAACAAACACGTTGGGATTGACGAAGGCAAACCACATCGGGTGCCACCGAGCAACTGAGCATAGGAAAAGCGCTCCAAACCGCTCTTCTTTCCACATCGGAATTGAACGCCGGACATTTTTGTTGGCACCTTGGTAAATGAAACCAAACGCCGAAACCTGCGTAACCCTGGCTCTTTAATTTTGAGCCACGCCAAAAAACGAGCAAGTCGGCCTTTGCACACGCAGAGCACCCCTGCTGCCCGCCCGCACCTCGCAGCGCTCTGGCAAGGTCCAGCAGGTCCTGCTGCGTGTCCGCGTCCACCTCCGCTTGCCGAGGCTGGCTCGAGGCCTTCCCCTCCCGAATTAGCCCGTGCTTAACACCCCGCGAAAGCACGTTTAAGGGAAGTGGTTCGGACGCCAAATTGGCTACTTGGCTATAGGTCAAAATCTGTACCCCCAGTGAACATCCCACTGCCCACTAAAATAGGTTCTAAAATGGGGTGGTGCACATTCCCCAAAATGGTACCATTGGTTTTGACCCACAGCCAATTTGCAAAGTGCTAACCCACAAAAGGGGAAGTGCTTTGGGCCGGGGGCAGTTCATCCCAAGCGACCGATCCCTAGCCAAAGGCTGAAGTGCTCACCCCAAGACCAAAGTGGAAACACATGCGGCGGAAAGTTGGGCCAGGCTTGGGCTTATAGGAGCTACCGGCTTGAAATGAAAACCAAAGGGAAAGCTACGCGTGACCCAGACCCTGCAAGCCTCCGTGTCCTCCAAGTCTCCCTAAGGACCCGAAATAAAATGGGTCCCTGACCCCATTATTTTTGGTAATGACCCAATTTAATAAGGGTCATGTAGACTCCAGGTTGAAACAATCATCCCACCAGGAACTCTCGCCACAAACTCTCGGAGCCACATCGAGAGCGATTTTCTCACGAGTTGGGCGCTCAACCTGTAGGGCGATGAATCGCAACATGGGCGTCGTGTTTGAGGGTTTGCCTTCTTTGTGTGTGGCAACAAACCGAAAACCCCCATGCATTTTGCCATGAAGACGCGATCCCTTAATTTCATCCAAAAGGAATGGGAACATGGCAGCATGACAGGTAGGAGCGTAGCGTGAGGCATCTCTGAGTACGCCAGGACTAACGGTTAATCAACCCACAAACTAGGGGTTTTCATACCAGGGGCTCATAACTGGACACAATTACATTCAGCCCTTGACACCATCACTTGGGAAGCCCATAGATTGAAACCAGGTCGATGGCATGGAATGCAACCCCCACGTGAGCTCGATGTAATCACTTCAAAAAAAACAAATCACCCCCCCCCCCCCCCACCCCAAGAGTTGATTGACAAGTCGCGTCACATGTTAGATGCCCAAACAACTGTTTGGCAAGCCAACCCCTGCACGGCTGTGTCTCACCCGGTAACGCCCCTTATTTGGCGTTGTTACCTCACCATCTGGTCTCAAAATCGGGGAGCCCCACTTTATATGTTGCTTTACGTTTCCTTTCGGCGTCCCTTTGAAGCCACCTATTTCCTCAAGACACACCGACCCGAATTCAGCTCCCCGGCCTGGTGGCACAAGCCGCACCGCAGCAGCACCACCTGTAACTTGGGGCCCAAACTAAGTCCTCCAGATTTGAGAGCTTCGAAGAAGTTGGTACCAACTGTTTTCCTGTTTTGGTCGAGTTTAGTAGGGGAATCCTCCCAGCCAAAAAAGGGGGTGAGAAAGGGCACCCAGCTGAACAACCTAGCAAACCTTCTGAAAGATGCCATGGTCGCTGAAATGGCTCGAGCCCATAGCAAGCCTTACTTTCGAATAAGATGCATTCATTAAAGTTGCATGGTCTCAGTCAACGCTCGCTTGCGGCCGTCTTTCATCTCAGTGGACTCCAATGCGTTCGAAGGCCAGCGGGTTCCAAGGATACAAGGACAAGCAGATCCGTGTTCTCAGCAGGGAATGAGAAATGGAAGGACCCCATGTTTAACGTCGAACTGGTGGTGTCCTTTGAGGGGGAGCCCAAAACGGTTCGTTCCTTTGTTCCCTACTGAGAACCAGCAAGTAAAACAGGGGCCTCAAAATCCATTTCCTCCTTGGAAAGACCTTGTTCAAGTGTAATCTACAAATGATTGGTCCAAGCGAGTACAGGTATTGGGTTGACCCAGTGGGCTCTCAAAAACTAGAAGTTAGTTGCCCTAAGACTCTGGGCGCAAGCCTGGATAACCCAGGGCCAGCTGCCACTCCGGGCCACAGGCGGGGATCGCCGAGGTCGTTTTCTCTTGGATCGGCCTCCTTTGGCTCCAGGAATCCGGAAAGGACACACCTGGGTCCTCCAGATTTGAGAGGATAGAATCAGTTGGTGCCAACTTTTTTCTCGGTCGTGTCTGTTTTAGTAGGGGAAAACCCTCCCAACCAAAACAGGGGTAAGAAAGGAGGTTAGAATAAGCTGGTGCCGACTTTTTTCGGTTTTGTCTATTTTAGTAGGGGAACCCTTCCCCAAAGAAGGGAAAAAGGGCACTACTGGGGGACCTAGACACAGCCTACAACGAGCAGCAGCAGCCCATGCATGCAGCGCTTGACGGAAGATGGTTGCATTTTATTTTATTTCTATTTGATGGAATCCTTCATCTACCGAGTGGGAACTATTGCCTTTGACAATTTGATCGCCTTGTGAGTTTTTAAGCGGAGACAACACATATTGATTCTGTCTGTCATGGTTGCTGTACCAAGGTCAAGGGCTCATATCATTCATTTCAAGTTGTCTATTCACCTCGAAGAACAAAACACTTGAACATGTCACTCATGAACCAGTACCGATTTCAAAGGGAGAATTCCCCGAAGGAAAACAAAGGTAGATAATTCACACCATATGGGAGCTGGAACACCCGGAGACTCAATAAACAAAACCCTCAAATATGAATTGCTTGGCTTGTAACGTACCCTCTCCCAGGCTAACATGGAAGCTCCTGGGACGTTGTTGGAGCACTCGGTTCCATTTACAAAGGCCTTCTGGGAGCTTCCCTACCCGGTCCAAGAAAAGTACAAGAGCCTGGAGTTGACCGAAACTCCTAGAAGTCGCGGTCATGCTACCTCCAGAAAGAACGCTGATGACACCCAAAAAAAAAGCCCCATGCAATCGACTGTTTCTTTGCCTGGACTTAACTTTGACGTGAAGGGCAAATGAAGGAAACCAATTAGTTAATTGCCCTCCCGCCCATTGACATGGAACCTGGCAGAGGGTCCTGGACAACCATATGTTCCTTGTAAAGGGACCCTCTGGTTCTACGCATGTCAGCGGATGGGAGGGTATCAAGATCCGGCAACAGACATATGGCTGTGGCTCAAAAAAACGGAATTCCAAAATGGGTTGCCCTGGTAAGCGGAAACATGGGCCAAAACCTGCGGTTTGCCCCTCCTGTTTAATTTTGAGCCACACCCAGATGTGTATACGTCCAGCAGCGACTGATTCCCTTTAAACCCAACAAAGGAAAGGGTCAACGTACCAATTTCAGCAAATGAACGCTTTGGCACACCATGCCACACCCATATTTACACCCAAGGCGATCACGCTTCACGTTCTCAGCAAGGGCCTCCAATTGATCCTCATCCTCCATGGCCGTGCGAAGCAGGACATTGCCTCTCGCCGGGGGGAATCGAAGCGAATCCAGCGCTCGAAAAGAGAAGGAAGCCGCCTGTTCTGTGCGTCCCCGTTTTTTTTTGTTGAGAGAACACCCTTGTGGTGTGGGGGTGTTGTTCAAGTAGAGGGCAAACAGACGTGTCAAATCAATTTCGAAGCTGCTCTTTTGCGCTTGCTACCACGGTGAATAGCAGGGGGGCGTCACAAACCACCCAAGCTGCACATCCTTCAGCGCTGCTGCGGCCTCGGCTTTAGCGGCTCCTTGCGGTTGTACTTGCTAGGGCTTCCCCGTGGATAGGGCTTCTGAGCCCGCGCAGTCCCTCGCTTACAAACGGCTTGCCAGAGTCCAAGCCGAGGGAAGCAAATGCTGAACGCCAACGCAAAAACCATTCGACACACACACACACAGGAAAACAAGCACAACCACGACGACCGAACAGGGCTGAAGCGGAACAGCAATCCGTTGATGCGGTGCTTGTCGAGTCTCCAACCTCCGTCAGGTAAATGTGTTTTGGATGGCATCGGTGGCAGAGTCGTTATGGTATGATCCGCACGACCGAGGCTAACATCTGACCGGATCTCATAAAATCAATCTCGAACTCGGCCAAACAACACATGAGCATGGTGCACATTGTGAATCAAGCCGAGGCTTCAGGATGCAAAGTGTGGCTGAAATCGAATTGCGCAAGGAGAAAAAACGCGTCCCAAAGCGTACTATACGAGTAGAAGACCGGAAGGCCGAAAGTTCAAAACCGCGATGCGTCCGTTCGCTGATGAGTTCTCGGGGCGGACTTTGGAGTTTTACCGGTGGCTTTGAGGCTTGGAGGCTTGAAGAAACGCACTTCCTGATTGGTCAGAACAGGGATCCTATGGATCCACCTGAACATTGCAACTTGTAAATGGTGGTTTCCAACAAAAACACATGGTGTTGAAAAAGCAACATGTTTCAAATGGTTGCAGAATGTATCGTTTAAGGAGCCCTGAACAAGTAAGCCAACTTGTTGTTTGCCACTAGAATGGTCCAATCCCAAGTGACTAAGGTCCAGGAACTCAGCAAGTGAGGAAAGGTGAAGCAAACTGGCCCCCCTGCCTGTACAGAGTCCACCTGGGTGCGATGCGAATCCAACGGTGCCGATCGTGCCGGATAGAACCACCCGAAAACTGCAATACCAATGAAACAAACGGGGTTGCGACCCGAAAGAAGGGTATAGCCCTGCATCCTCCCTTTGCCTATTGGTTGGCAAGCAAAGGGTCGCATTGGGAAACGTCCATGTGGGCAATAGGACCCCCCTGAAAAACTCAGGTCCCAGGGCACCCTCAACGCGCGGGACCCGGTAGCTTGGAGGGCGTACCTTACCTCCCAGGCTCTTCCCAACATAAGGCCTACACAAGGAACCTGCTTGAGTCAGGACTCCCCAAATTCCCCCTTGAAGGTCGTTTGGAGGAAAACATAAAAGATGTTGGGTCTTCAAGGGTCTTGCCCTTGTAAGTCAGTGGTGGATTCCGTCGCAAAGCAAAGCTGAGCATGGGCCAGGGTTAAGCCAACACTCTGTTTAACCATGGTTGAACTTGAGTCTGTTGATGTTCTCTCAAGAAGGACAGGGGTAGGTAGTTTAAACACATTCTTCCCAGCCAGGAAGAATGAGTTTGAATTCTGAAAACCCAAAGTCCTCGAACTGTCTGGGAACCCCGTGCTAGCTTTGGAGGAGGCCGATCTTTTTTATTGGCTGTCCGTTCTCTGATCCCCGGCTAAAAGTGACTATTTGTTATAGGTAAAATGAAAACCCCACCACTAAACCAACCCCAAACCATACTAAACCAACCCAAAACCACAAAACAACCCAAGTTGCACCGGAGGATTCGCTGGTTCCAAAGCCATAAAAACCGCCTCAACCGCCTCGGCCGGGGCCGCCGCCCAGCACGAGGCTACGCTGGAAGAGCAGTTCCCAAAAGGTGCGAGCCTGAGCGTCCGAGCTAACACATCAGCCATGGAATGGCCATGGCCCCCAGCCCGGGCGGGTTCTCATGCCCCAGCCCGGGTTCTCAGGGAACAAATGGAATGACCTCTAACCATTGGACCTTCTTAGGTTAGAATAAGGGTGCCAACTTTTTTCTGTGGTCTATTTTAGTAGGGGAACCCTCCCCCACAAAAGGGAAAAAGAGCACTACTGGGGGACCTAGTCTACCAGGACCCCCCAATGGCCGGCCAAACAAAATCTGTAGAAAGACCTAATGCCTGTTTTGAGTCTTTTTGCCAGCCATTGAGGGGGGGGGTCCTGGTAACCATCCGAATTGGGTTCCGTTGTTCGGGAAGTTCACTCCCCCAAAGCCCGGGCTTGTCGTTTGCCTATCGATCACCAGCCTGGGAAACTGGTGCGAAGGTTTCTCCTTTGGGTTTTCGCGAGAAATACGAACTCCAAGCTGCAGAGTTCCCAGCATTTTGAGAATCGCCCAAGATTTTATGGACACCCCCAGACTTCTAGCACGGATATCCTAAATATTGCAGGGAACTAACCCTGCAAAAAAACTCCCCATGGCTGGTGCGTTTACTCAAGTAATCTGTAGGCCATCCGCCCCCCATTCTGTTCCAGGAATCCTTCTTCTCAGATTTGAAAAGCAGCATTTGGGCAGTGTCTGAAAAAAAACATGGGAGGAAAACGGAAGATCAACCCGAAGATGCCGCTATAGACAAATAGATGCAATATATCACCTCTCGATATGGCATGATCCAAAGCTCCGATCCCATGCCTAAAACGGACGACAAGTTGATTGACGATCCGCCAACTGCATCAGGTCAGCAACTATATTGCCATGATTGTAAGTGGTCTTTTCACTATATATCACACCACCTACCTGCATGGGATGTTCCCTCTTACTCACTTCCTGAGTAGATTGGCCCAAACAATGTCTGACCTTTTTGTGTACCACCAAAATGGTCTTAGCTTTGCTCTCAGTAGCACGGCAACCTCCCATCCGCGGAACACCACCTAGACCCCAAAAGGCCGCATCGGTCTGACGTTTTTTGCGGGCGCCGCTCTTTTTTGTTTTGTGTGTGTGTGTGTTTAGGGAAACCAAATGGAGACCAACCATTTCTGCGGTTCCCCATATAAGACACACCCAAGTACAATCGAAACACACGTAGGGGGTGCAACCTCGTGGGAATTCTCGAAATGGCCCTAGGGGCTCACAATCAGATCGGAGAACCGGCAAACCAACAGAAAAAACCAGGTGGTCCAGTAGGAAACCAACAAAACACACGTATGTGCATGTCTTCTTAGCTGTTGGTTAAAGCAAAGCCAACGGCTAAACACCAGGTGGTCCAGTAGGAAACCAAAGAAACACTCGTATGTCTATGTCGTTTTTGCTGTTGGTTAAAGGAAAACCAATGGGAAAAAAAAACAGGGTGGCCTCCTAAAAATACAAACAACAACACCCAGCACCCCCCAACGGCTGGCAAATAACCCCAAACCAGCCATTGGGAGCTCATTCCACAGACCATTTGCCAGCCATTGGGGGGCCCTGGTACTGAGAAAATGAATGACCCTTTGTGGGTGAACACATTTTCTGATGGTGCCCCTTTGTTGGGTTTTTAAAGCAAACCATGGGGAAAAAAGCAGGTGCCCCCCCTCAAAATTACCAAAACAAACACGTGTCTGTTTGTTTGCCACCGAGGCCGGCGCCAGCTTCCGCGCGGCATTTCGCCGGGCGGCGATCTCCGAATCCCTGGGCCAGTTGCAGGGTTTGGCGTGCGCCTCTATGACCAGGTTTTGGAGGGGTGTCATTCCTGGGATTGTCTTCTTGGGGCTGTCTTTTTTCAGATCCCCTGCTACAAGTGACTAAAGTGATGCGTGGGTTTAATATGGAAAGCCAACCACCAAACCAACCAAACACACCCACCAGCCAACTAAGGACAACGAGAAACTTAAGGGGACGGCTGGGAACCGCCGAGGTTTGCTGAAAATTCGGGGGGGGGGGGGGGGGGGGGGGGGAGGAACACACAAAAACGGGATTCAAACAGGGTTCTCAGTAGGGAATGACCGGTCTGGTTGGAATCAACAGGGGGTTTGGGAGTTGACCCCCTGGCTCTGTAGATGGCTCTTGCTTGGGACACCACGGACCACCAAACCTCAAAACAACGAGGGCTGAATATCTTGCTGGTGCGATAGGTAGGGAATGACCCAGGATGTTGGGAATGAACCCATCCCCTCAAAGGAAACCACTTGTGGGATTGTTTGTAGGGGTCATTTTATGTCTCATTCCCGCTGAGCAGCAAGCCAGCTCAGCCCCGGTAGAACAAGTTGCGCTCGCCTTTGGCGTGCACCAGTTTAAACCTGGGGAGTCTGGAGAGCATTTTTACTGACGGGAAATTCGGGGGATGCAAACAAAACCGGGGACTCAGGGTGATCCAAAATGGGGTGTTTATTTTAATATGGTTCACGATGTTCACCATTCTAGTTGCCCCTTGATCCAGACCCCACTGACCCAACCCCATATTTACTCTGAGTGAGTGGACAAGTTGTATTGGGATTTGGGAGTGAACCCTTTTTACTGAAAAATCGGAGGAACCATACAAAAACGGGATTTGTAGAGCTTAGAGAGTGCAAATGGGCATGACTTCTCGTTGGTTCGATCCTTATACCAATTTGAGTCTAATCAACCACCTTTTTGGGGTTGCCCCATTAAGATTCACAGCCAGGAAGTTGCCAAAGGAAGCCCATAGTCTGCTCCCCTCCCCGTTTCAATAGAATCCGCCGACAACAGGCGGCGTGTTGGACATAAGAAATGCTCCTTACCTCTTTACCTGTTACCCCTCCCCTAACCCCTCCCCAGGGGCAGCATTTCAGACTCAGTTTGTCAAAAACATTGGGGTGTTCGATTCCCCCCGGGTGCGCTTTCGCATCCTTAGCAGCTCCAGCGGCACATCGCCAGCATCACCTGCATCATCCGCATCAGCGCCTGCCAAGGATGCGGATGATGCAAGTGATGCTGGGGATGTTGCCTATGCTGGTGAACCCCCCCCCAGTTCCTTGTTGAGATCATTTATTTCCCCCCTTTTCCTTCTAAGGCCTTTTCCCACCCTCAGTTCTTCTCCCTTTTCCTCCCAAAGATCTTTCCCCCCCTTTCCTCCCTAAGTCCTTTTCCCTGAGTTCGTCTCCCTTTGCCTCCCTAAGATCTCTTCCCCCCTTTCCCGCTTAAGATCCTTGCCCCCGTTTCCCCCCTAAGGCCTTTTCCCCCCAAGATCTCCACCCTTCTCTTCCCAAAGTTTTTTTCTCTCTTTTCCGATTGAGATCCTGTCCCCCGATTGCCCCTTAGGGCCTGTTCCCCCCGAGAAAGATTTCCCTTTTCCTCCCAAAGATCTTTTCCCCCCTTTCCCCCTTAAGGCATTTTTCCCCAGATCTTCTCCCTTTCCTCCCTGAGATCGTTTCCCCCCTTTCCCTGTTGAGATCCTTCCCACCCTTTCCCCCTGAGGCCTTGATCTTCCCCCCGCTTTCCTCCTTAAGATCTTTCCCACCCTTTCCCTGTTGAGATCCTTTCCCCCCTTTCCCTCCCAAGGCCTTTCCCCCCCCCCATGAGAGCTTCTCCCTGTTCCTTCCTAAGATCTTTTCCCCCCTTTCCCTGTTGGGCTTCCCCCCCTAAGTCCTTTTCTCCCAGATCTTCTCCCTTTCCTCCCTAAGATCTTCCCCCCCCCCCTTTCCTTCCTAAGATTGTTTCCCCCCTTTCCCTGTTGAGATCCTTCCCACCCTTTCCCCCTGAGGCCTTTCCCCCCCTGAGAGCTTCTCCTTCCTTAGATCTTTCCCCCCTGTCCCTGTTGGCCTTTTTTCCCCCAGATCTTCTCCCTTTCCTCCCTAAGATCTTTTCCACCCCTTTCCCTGTTGAGATCATTTCTCCCCTTTCCCCCCTAAGGCCTTTGCCCCCAGATCTTCTCCCTTTCCTCCCTAAGATCTTTCCCCCCCTTTCCCTGCTCAGATCCTTTCCCCCCTTTCCCCCCTAAGGCCTTTCCCCCCCTGAGATCTTCTCCCTTTTCCTCCCTAAGATCTTTTGCCATTTTCCTTGTTGAGATCCATCCCCCCTTTGCCCCCTAAGGCCCTTTCTCCCTCTGAGTTTTTCCCTTTTCCTCCCCACGATGTTTTTCCCCCTCTCCCTGTTGAGATCCTTTCCCTCCTTTCCCCCCTAAGGCCTTTTTTCCCCCTGCGATCTTCCCCCTTTTCCTTCCTAAGATCTTTTCCCCCCTTTCCTTGTTGAGATCCTTTCCCGCCCTTTCCCCCCTAAGGCGTTTTCCCCCCCAAGATCTTCTCCCTTTTCCTCCCTAAGATCCTTTGCCCCCTTTCCCTGTTGAGATCCTTTCCCCCCTTTCCCCCCTAAGGCCTTCCCCCCCCTGAGATCTTCTCCCTTGTCCTCCCCAAGATCTTTTCCCCCGAGATCTTCTCCCTTTTCCTCCCTAGGATCTTCTCCCACCTTTCCCTGTTGAGCTCCTTTCCCCCTTTTCCCCCTAAGGCCTTTTCAGATCTTCTCCCTTTTCCTCCCTAAGATCCTTTGCCCCCTGTCCCTGTTGAGATCCTTTCCCCCTTTCCCCCCTAAGGCCTTTTCCCTGCCTGGGACCTTCTCCCTTTTTCACTGAGATCTTTCCCCCCCTTTCCCTGTTGAGATCCTTTCCCCCCTTCCCTTTAAGGCCTTTCCAGATCTTCTCCCTTTCCTTCCTAAGATTGTTTCCCCCCTTTCCCTGTTGAGATCCTTCCCACCCTTTCCCCCCTCAGGCCTTTCCCCCCCCTGAGAGCTTCTCCCTTTTCCTTCCTTAGGTCTTTCCCCCCTTTCCCTGTTGGCCTTTTTTCTCCCAGATCTTCTCCCTTTCCGCCCTAAGATCTTTTCCACCCCTTTCCCTGTTGAGATCATTTCTCCCCTTTCCCCCCTAAGGCCTTTGTCCCCAGATCTTCTCCCTTTCCTCCCTAAGATCTTCCCCCCCCCGCTGAGATCCTTTTCCCCCTTTCCCCCCTAAGGCCTTTCCCCCCCCTGAGAGCTTCTCCCTTTTCCTTCCTAAATCTTTTCCCCCCTTTCCCTGTTGGGCTTTCCCCCCTAAGTCCTTTTCTCCCAGATCTTCTCCCTGAAAGGGAGACGATCTGGGAGATCTTAGGGAGGCAAAGGGAGAAGATCTCAGGGGGGAAAAGGCCTTAGGGGGGAAAGGGGGGAAAGGATCTCAACAGGGAGAGGGGTGAAAACATCTTAGGGAGGAAAAGGGAAAAAAACAGAGGGAGAAAAGGCCTTCGGGCGGAAAGGGGGAATGGATCTCAACAAAGAAAGGGGGGCAAAAATCTCAGAGGGGAAGGGGGCAAGGGGACAATTGCAAAGGGACGCAAATAAGAAAGCAGGCCTGTAATGTCGGCTCCCCTCCCCGTTTCAATAGAATAGGGAAACAACCAATCACTGCGTCCCGCCTTCCACGGACCACCAAAGCATCCTGTCCAAGCACGCCAAAGACTGCTTCAGACCCGCAGGCTTCAACCGATTGCGAGGGTTGCGCCCTCTCTCCCAGGACCCCCCAATGGCTGGCAAATGGTCTGAATGACCTCCCAATGGCTGTTTTGGAATGTTATTTGCCAGCCAGGGGGTCCTGGAGCTTCATATTTTTTGATACAACACAGTACCAGCTTCGTCATTTTAGGGGATCCCCAGCTCCCCAGCTCCCGGTGACGTGCTGGGCGTGCTGGGCACCGGGCTCGACGTAGGCTCCAAAGGGACGCCGGCACACCTCAACCGAAGCTTTTTCGAAGTCAAGACCCCGAAAAGAGCGGATGACTTGGAGATCCGCTCAAGGGGCCACATAAAACAAGGATCTCAGATGGGCCTTGGGTGATTGGCGATGGGTACCCCACTGCGGTGTCAAAGGGGGATCGAGTTCCACGATGACCACTAATGATGTACATTTGCCAGCGCGTTGCGAGCTTCTTACAGAGGATGCTTGAAAAAGAGAATTAGATCTTGTTCGCTGCCCACAAGAGAGTTCGTCTAATGCTCTGTGGTTCAGAAAGTGCATCCGAACATTGTTGCCAGGGATGCCAGAACCTGGCACAGAAGGACACTTTTGTTTTGCGGTGGATGTTGCTTGAATTCTAACCGTACCCTCTCAACTATTTTGAACAAATCCGTCCCTGATGGGAAACATCCTAGGAAACTTGAGGTTTCTGAAAAGAAGAAAGAGAGGTCAGAATGCCATCGAAGGCGCCCGCCACTCAGCAAGCCCTTTTGCTGCTTTCCGGAAGTTCAAAATTCGGACGAATGAAGAACCAAAGCAGTCGCCGAATCCGATGACACCTCCAGTGCAAAGTGGCCCATGGGTTTCGAAAACAAGACGACTCCGCAGCACACCCCATACACTTGGCCGTCTGCGTAAAGCAACAACCAAAGAGGTGCCGTCGAACTGCACATTGCGCCACATCTTACACCAAGCAAGGAAGGACCTCGCTGTTGTCATCATGCATATGAGCCAGTCAAAAATGTATGTTTCTGCGAGGAGATATACTGAGTCCCCCACGCCCCTCCCAAATGGACCATCGACTGCTAGACGCTTTGACCAAACCTCGTATATAGCCCACGTATGAAGTGATGATTGCCCTCATAGCTTGGTATAGGACGTGTGGCCGATTGCTCCTTTCTCTTTTTGTCACCTATAATGTGCAAGATGTGGGCTGACTCCACCCCCGCATGATTTGTCCTTTTTGCTGGTGAGTGGAAGGTACAACACAAGTCGAGCTTGCTTCCAAACGGTGAACTGTCCAAAGGCCAGTGCAGCATTGCTCCGCAAGTTCTTGATCGACCCTGCTTTTCAGAAAGCTCATTGTGGGGTGTCATTTTTCGGGGACCCCCCCCCCCCACCAAAATGGGTGTTTTCGTTTTGGCTTCCCTCGAAAACCAACCAAACGGGGGGTACCCTCATATAAAAAGATACACCCATGGATCCAAATAACTTTTCCTAGCAACCTATCGCTGAACAAAAATGCGCGCAATGCCCACGGCAGAACCTCCCCGGAACCCTCTAGGCACCTGCCCAAATGCTGCCAAACAACCCTCTGAGCAAACAACTAAAACAACTCGCCCACAATACGAGCCTTGCCAGGCCAACAAGAGCAGTACCATGTTTCCGCCAGAAAAAAAAAGAAGCCAACTTCGAATTCAGGTGTTTCGACTGGGATCCCAAATCCGAATCCCCGGAATCCGAGTCTACGACAGGGTTGACAACTTGTCTTCCACCCCGGAACTCAACCAAGGTCATCTACCCCTGAGCCATTCGCAGCGTTTATACAGGACTTGAAGCACTCAAGCGGGGATGATAGAGTCTGACCCTCAGCCACACAAGAGCAATCATCCTAGCGGCCCCAAACTTCAGCAAAACATTTTTTTGACCTGGGACTTGGGAAAACCCTTGTCAAACCAGCCAAGTATGTTAGTGGGTTTGATGACCCAGAAGGAGGTTCTGAGAGGTGATAGGGAGTTCAATCAAGATGTGTGAAGGGGTGGAATACACTCATCCACCAAACCTATGAACTCGGATAGTAGGAGGACTCTTATCCCAGATTTGACATAATGGTAATATTCGGATGCTCCTTCTCTGCTCCACATAATTCAGAGAAGAAGCATTGCTTCTTCTCTGCTGCTCCGACTGTTTCCAGGAGGGGAAGGGGCAAAGTGGGGGTGAGGGCGGGGGGGGTTCACGCACACACACACACACAAAATACAATTTGTGGAAAACACAGGCCTCCGCAATTGCCCCTTCATATTACATCTCAATGTCTGCGAAGGTTTGACGAAAATAGAAAAAAAAACGGGTAAACTATAGGTTAAAAACAAAACATCCAGCCTGAGACCAAACTTTCAGTTTACCACCAAGATGAGCTAAAGTCCGACAAAAGTGACGAAAGTCCGAAACGGACCTCTCTAGGGGTTGCTTCCCCATTCTTTCCAACCAACCTTCTTTTCAAAAACAAGCCGTTCTGTTTCGGGAGGTTTTCCAGAAAGAAGGATCTCTGGGTTCAGAATGGAATTGGAAGGTACCCCTACCTCGGGAAGGTGAGCACCTGAAGCCTCTACAATGGGCCCCGCCTCGGAGAGGCAGATTCCGTCCTCCCAGGTGACCAAGGCCACCTCGTGCAGGAGTGGCGTGTCTTAGGCTCAGCGTGCTCAGAGTGCCTCCCCGATTTTTTTGGGGGTCTACCCGCTACCCGTCAGAATCCGCGACCTGTTGATTCAGATGGCGGACGGGCCCCCGAAATTCGCAAAATGGGTGGTGCCCTTTGGCTTTTATGACCCTCCCACCAGCTAACATGGAAGTGCACAAAGGCCCCTGTAGAAAGACAACTTTTCCTCTTGGACTTTTTGCACTTCCGTGTTAGTTGGTGGGTGTGTCAACAAAACCAAAGGACACCACCGCCATCTGAATCAAGAACAGGTGGTGGGTTCTGACGGGTCCAAGGGATACACATGAGCACGTGACGCGCTCGCTAGAAACCTGTTTGTTGGAACATGCTTCAGGGCGGTGGTCAAAAGGTTGTGCGCCAAACCGAGGCAGCCAGCCAGGGCTTGCCTCCCTGAAAAACGCTTTCTTCTGAAGTTCTCTTTCAGGGGCGCCCCTTTTTCAAAGCAAAGCGGCAAACCCGGCGACCATCTCCAAAAGTTGACGCATCAAACAAAAAACATAGAAACACTCTGACCCTCTGAGCCCTATGTGAGCCATGGATCTTTCCCAAAGCAACGCATCCTAAACATGGTTCAGTTTGTTTTGCACAGCTGCAGTGCCTGAACATAGGCCTGCGTGCCTTCCATAACCCTTGGCCATCCATTCGAAATTCGAGGCTTTGGCAATGGCAACAGGGCGGTCGAGTGACGTCGTCAAAAGCTGTGCAATTGTGCAAGCACCATCTGCAAGTTCACAACTCCTACCACGGCTTGAAACCCGTTCAGTATACAATGTACTTCTGCTCCCTCCATGAATGTCAAAATGCACCTTTCCTATACAATTATCCAATTCTTTGCTCAATATGTGTATATATATATATATATATATGTATATATTCGTCTGTCGGATGCATTTGCTTCTGCATTTGCTTTTAAATACCAAGCTTGTTTCCACGGCTACGCTGTCAATCCCTGGGAGTGCCTTTGACGCGGGCGCTTCAGTTTCCAAGCATGCCGAGTTCGGATCGGAGGAGGCAACATAAATTTCCTGGACATGTCTTTTGGTTTCCTTTAAAGCCACCAGCAAAAGGGTACCTTCCAAAAAAGACAGACCCATTGGGTGACCTTTCTTTGAGGGTTCATGTTCGTGTTCCGATAGAACATATCAACTGCCGTGGGGATGTGTGTGTGTGGCAAGGCCTCAAGGCAAACTCAAGGCAAGTTTGCTACGACTTGGAAGTCAGGTCAACTCAATGTTGAAACTGCCCTCATTCACAAAAAAAACACCTACAGTATCATTCTCCACTGTGTGGGCGGGGCCAGAATCTGCAGTCACTGGTTGCTTTGGTCCGGGAACGACACAAAGGCTTGCGGCTATAGCAAATTGTGCCCTGGTCAATGCCATTCACTTGCGCACGTATGCAGCTTCTGCGAACATCGTTGCATTTGCGGCCCCCGATGCCGCACATCATGCCGATTCGTTGTCCTTTGAACCATATATTATGATCTCTTCCGGTTGATGAAGCTGTTTTCTTCCAACCCCCCGTTTTGTACCCAGGGCCCCTGGTTGCAGCGATTGGCCTGAACCCAGCCTCCTGCAGAGAAAACACCAACTCAGATAAAGCAATTGCGGACCGCTGAGTGTTTTTTTTTCTCTTTTTTTGTATATATATATATACATTGATTGCAATGGCCAGTGATGCTTGTTTACGGCTACCATGTTATTCAGCAGGCCTGTTGGTTTTGAAACTCCTAATGAGATGTATTGGTAGCCCATGGCGGCTGGTGCTTGCTGCTTCAGCTGGTGTTGCTGCTTCTGCTTGGATGTTTGTTTGGCTTGCTAGTTTGGAGTTGCAATTGCATTGTAGTGCGCGTTGGCATGGACGAAACCCTTCAGAAACCGCATAGTTCCCTCTCTCTCTCTCTCTCTCTCTCTCTCTGTGAGTGTGTCTTTTTGAGGGAACCCTTTTTTTTTGTGGTCTAAGGGGAAACCAAAAGGAAAACCATGTGTTGTTCTGCTTCTTCTTCTTCTTCTTCTTCCTTTTTTTGGGGGCGGTCCCCTCCAAATTTTTGGGCCCAGCCCCTTCCGACGGCCTCCGCGCTCGCGCGGCCAATGCTCCGCGGCACCGAGATGCAAGGCGCCTTGGCCGGATCGCCCGGCGGGAGAGGCCCCGTCACCTCTTGGACTGATCCGGGGATTCGAAACGCGAAGGAGTAAGTTTCTGCCCAAACTGAGAAATGATGACCTGGTGGGTTAAGTTCAAGCCCACGAAACCGACTAAAAACCCTAAAAGCCTAAAAGCCTAAGGGGACGGCAGGAAACCGCCGAGTCAAGAGGAAATGGAACTATGCGTAGGTTTGGCTTGAAATGACGCTAACGCGAGGTGGCTCCGGACGCACGCTATCGCTTTTGGAGGGTGCCTCTATCTTTTGGCAGTGGTTCCGGACCCATTGCGGAACCCTTCTCGCGCGCGAGCGCCTGACTGAGCTATGCTCCAATAAGGGTTCATGTCCACTTTGTCACTTTGGATTCTCAGGGGTGGCCACTCAAATCCCGCCACCCTGGAAAGGAAGGGGGCAAGGGTGGCCCCCAGTTCAACGTTTCCACTGACCGACCGACCGACCAACTAACGAACCCGGGTGACGTCTCGCTACGGGCCCAAGGTATCCCCGGAGCGCTCGCTAGAAGTCCGAGGCCTTCGTCTTCGTTACCTTCGTCGCTGGGCAAAAAACAGCAGCTGAGTTGCCCTTCACCTACCAAACCCAAGCTCCCGCCAACTTCCATGGAGAGCTCTTGCCGAACCCCAGGCCAGGGGGTGGGCCTCAGCGCAATGCTCCTGGGACGTCTTGGTTTGCGGGATCCAGGCCCGCTTGGCCGGCTGACACGTTGTACAGGGAGAGGTCTGCCATCACCAGGGGATATATGTGCCATGGTCAGCATGGCCTTTGGTCATGGCTCCCTCAATAGAAATATAATTGTTGTTGAAGATCCTAACTACCAGGTAGGTAACCATCCCTACTAACCCCCAGTAAAAGGAACCGTCCTATCGTCAGACACTTGGTCCTCACGGCGACCGCCCAAACCTTCTTTGCTAGATGGCCCTGACCTCCGGCTGATTTGTTGTTTAAAACGTGTTCCTCAACAAATGTAAGATGGGTAGAAGGTGTGGAAGTCATGCCGGAAGTTCCCTTCCATTCAGACAAAGACAAACCACTTGGCTATGGGTCCACAGCCCTTATCCCCAGTGAACATCCCAATCCAACCACTAAAATAGACTAAAATGAGTGGTGCATCTACCCCAAAATGGACCATTGGTTTTGACCCACAGCCACTTGGCAAATGTTGTGTCGTCACAAATTGGAGAGAAGGAAACTCTGAGGGGCCTTCACGATGGGCTTTCGCCCCTGAGGTCTATTGAGAGCGGCCTACACTATGGAGGGTGGATACTCCCCAGATTAACATGGACCCCGCCCCCCCTCACAAAACAAAAAAGAAGAAGAACAACCTCATTTTGAGCGGAGTCTCCTTTTGGCGGGTTCTTCCTCCTAACAAAGGGTCAACCACCAAAACCAGTTCACCAACCACATGTTCCAACATAGTGGTTGGCGGACCGTTTCTTCCGGAGCCATCTCACTTGCCCAAAAAAACCATGAACATAAAGGGCGATCGCCTTTTCCAGGACCCCCCAATGCTTGGCAAATGGTCTGAATGACCTCCCAATGGCTGTCTTGGAATGTTATTTGCCCAGCCATGGGGGGGGTGGTTGGACCTTCGGTAAAGATTGGCCATGGGAAAACCAAAAGGTCAACAGGCCCAGCTTTGGACAACGGGGTGGCTTCCCCTCGGACCCTCGTCTCGGTTCCATGTCTGAGCTCTGCTGCGGGCGGGCCCAAGGCCGCTCGGAGCTGCTGTCGGAACCAGGCCTGAGGTGGACACTCGGCGCCTGGAGTCTCCATGACCCTTGAAAAAATGGTTGGTCATTACCCAAAATAATGGGGTCATGGATCCATCTTTTAAGGGTCATGGAGACTCCAGGCTGCTGTTTTTTGCTTTGGTGCTCTCTTTTTCTCCTCGGAGGTCTGGCAAAAACGCATATGTTTGTTTGGGGGTCTGGTTAAACGTAGAACGTCACGCTGTTGTTGGCGACCAAATCAATCAGCGCGGCTACCCGAAACCGAACCGTGTGGCGTTGAGGGTTGGCTCAGGCTTGGATAAGGCTTGCTTCGGGCCTGTGCTGGGGTTAGGCTTTGCGTGGTACTTTTCCTCCAGGCACATGGAACCATCGCAAGATGAGTCGCTTTAAGTAAAGCGAGATGAATCGCTCCGTGGCACCAAAGCCAACAGAACAAGCTAGGAGAAGCCAGCCAAACACATCCTGTAAGCAACCTGGAACCCCAAGTGGCCCTCTTGTTTTTGCCTTTGTACCCCTTTTTTTATGGGTCAAAGGCAGAAAAAATGGCTTTTGGGGGGTCCAGGAATAATAATAATAAGGTGGGAAACACTTCCAGGGATTTTGGGAGTTGCAAACAGTGACCCCAAAACGGTGACCTGGGGGATGAAGAGGCAACATTTCGAAGCCACCAGATCTGGGCTGTCCTCGCATCCCCTGCCCAAAACTTTGACTTAGTGGGTTCAATGGGAAACCCCACTAACTGCGAAGGAACCGGATGGCTGGGAACCACAAAGACTTGAGGTATGTCAAAACACCCTCCTGGATGACACACTCGGGATGGCAAACGATTTGGGCTGGGATCATCCCCGGCTGACCCATAGGCAGACAAGGGAACCCTCGTTGCGAGAGCTTGACCCGTGGGGTTGCCCGGACCAGAAGGGAAATTGGATGCTGAGAAATCTCCAGGACCGTGGTAAGTTCTGGAAACTTGGAAGTTCCAGGCAGTTGTCTTGAAAAATCAGGATCTCGTGTGCTCAAATCAAGAATAGACGACCAAGTGGTTTGGCCAAACGTCCCAACTTCTAAATTTATCCACTACTTTGGTATTACCCAAAAAGTGGAAACAGGAACGCAGGACCCCTGGTGAAAATGAAGAAACCCCCCCCCCCCCCAAAAAAAAAAAAAAACTCAAACCCAACTTAGATTGGTGCTTTCTTTTGATTGCGTGCTGTTTCAAGGGTTTAGGGTTGGATAAGGCTGGGTCTGGCCTGGCCTTTGTGGGAGGGCTTTGGCTAGGTCCTCTAGTAGAGAGGTTCGAATAAGGGTACCAACTTTTTTCTGCAGTCTATTTTAGTAGGGGAAAACCCTCCCAACCAAAACAGGGGTGAGAAAGGGCACCTAGCGGGGGGACCTAGTTGGGGCGAGTGATGGCGTCACGCCTCGGTGCGGAGGTCCAGCTGGCCCCGCGCGAAGTCCGCGAAGCTCTGGAAGGTTTCTTCCGCGCCGGTCCTGAGACACGTTGACCGCCAAGAACCGGCGAAAACGGGCGGCTTCAAAGAGCAGCAAAGTCGCACATGTAATTACCCCCAAAACCTTCAAATCTGTAGGGCTTCAAACTCGGACTAGCAGCAAACTCGCACTGGCTTGTTTGGAGCAAACTCGGACAAATACCAAAGTCAATCTGAATAAAGGTCTAGGCCTTGATTTCTTGTCCATTCTTTTCGACTATCCTTCCTTTCCAGAACCGATCGCATTTTTGCCTGGGCGTCCGCCTTTTCAAAACCAATCAAATCATTTTCCCTGGGATTTCCGGAGCTTTTGTAGAAAGAATGGGGAAGGTACCCCTAGAGCAAAGAGTTTGGGAGCGCCCCCTCCTTTTTTGGACCTGGACCTCGGTTTTTTGTTGCATTTGTTTTTTCTTCGAACCTCAGTTATTTGGACCTCGTTTTTGGACCTCAAGTGGTTTCTGGGCGTCGGGATCTCAAAACTGTCAGAACCTCTTGGCTTTCCCAAAACCAAGGGGTCTGATGCAAAAGACATACAAACTGGGGTTGGTGACACCAATCCTTTTGTTCAAAAGAGGAGAAAAAACCAGCATGCGGCTAGACAAAATACACTGCTGTCTACCGTGTTGAATTTTTGGTGTCCTTTTTGCTTCTCTGACGTCAGAAGGATGGACAATCAATGTCCACATTGGATTTAACAAAGACTTCCGCAGGATAATCCGAGGTGGCCAAGAGGAACTGTTCTAATGTGGTTGGATCTTCCGGATGAATAGGATGAACACATTCTGTATGTTTGACCAAATGCCCAAAAAGGGTCGTACTACTCGAAACCGAGTCATCGTCGTGAGAACCTATGTTGGTTTCGCGGGTCTTCGGACAACCAAACATTTCGAGCCATTTGAGCCACAATCAAAACCCGGGTAGATGGTTAGTAAGGGACGATCCTAACCATAAATAGCTGCGGCCGCCTTATTAATCCTGTACATGGTTCTGGGTAGACCATTTTAGTACCAGGTTTTGATTATGCCTCATTTTGTGCTTGAGCGTGTCGGGTGAGGTTGCCATGGACAAAACGCAATACGCCCCTTGTCTGCGGCTTTTACCGGTGTCGCGCGTCTTGTTGAGCTTGCAGCAAATTCGCTCAACCAGATTTGTCTAGTCGCTGGAAGATCCAGGCTTTGAGACGCGTTGCAAGTGGTTGCTTCCACCCTCACTTCCTGAGTGGATTGGCCCAACAAAAAGCTCTGGACTTCTCGTTTACTGCCAAAATGGACCAAACCCAAACAGTGCCTACCAGGACCCCCCAATGGCTGGCAAGTAACCCCAAAACAGCCATTGGGAGGTCATTCCACAGACCATTTGCCAGCCATTGGGGGGTCCTGGTAAAGTCCATGAACTCAGTGAGTACCGCTTCGCCCACTTGGGGCCCCGGACGACACCAGCCCCAAGCGCGCCAGCAGGCGGAGACCCATGCTGGCGAGCAGCAGGTCCGCCTGCCCAAAGACCCAAGCGGGACCAAACAAGTCACTGGCTGAAGCCCAACAAAAAACAAAACCAGTAGTCACCATCCCAAAGGAGGTCTAGGTCCTCAGTAGATGTAGTCTATTTTAGTAGGGGAACCCTCCCCCAAAAAAAAAGGGTTAAAGGGCACTACTGGGGGACCTAGAGGTAGGCCCCCCAAACAACCAGTACTCACAAGCTTGCGAGCAGTGCGCAAGCCAAATTGCAACCTCAATTGGATCATCCAAGCCTTCCTTCGGCGACTAGCTGTCTCTCTCTGGATCCTGAACCGAAGGAAGCGTTCTACAGAAGAGCCTCAAAATTCCTAGACCCCCAAAGCAATATGGCACAGCCTTAGCCTGGGGCTTAGTAAGATTTAGAAAGCCCACTGGTTGCCCTTTCTTGTTTGACCCCGTTTTTTAATACCTACCTGGAGTCTCCATGACCCTTAAAAAAAGGGACCATGACCCAATTATTTGGGGTAATGACCAATCATGTTTTAAGGGTCAGAAGGAGACTCCAGCTATGTTGGGCTTACCTTCCGGCCCAGCAGAAGCTTTGAAACGCCGGGCTTGGCAAGAATGGCGTCCTCTGGCGCCGGCCTCTGCGCAGAGTTCCATGCCCGGATGCCGCGCCCTGGGCTGCACAAGGCCGATTTGTGGGTGGAAGCAACAATGATTTGGCCATGGGTCATAACCTATGCCTCCATTTTGGGGCGGATGAACACCCATGTACCACCTATTTTGATGTTCACCAAATTATGTAGCAACCATGGGACTGGTGCCAAGACAAACTCCCACCAAAGGAGGCTCCCACCAATTCACATGAAACCCTTCGACGTTCGGGGGGTCCTAGTTTGGACCATTTTCCTGGGCTGCCCTGAGATCCCCCGCGAAAAGTGAATCACTTTTAGTGGGTCAGATGGAAACTACCACTACACACAAAAAAGCTAAAAGGCAAAGGGGATGGCTGGGAGCCAAGTTAAGTATATGTGTTAATACTTCTTCGGCTTCAACTCGTGTTTGAGCATTGGTTTTTTGTTGGTGATTCCGGAATAGCTGTGCTTCCGAGGTAGGATACCTGTCCCTCTGGCTTGCAATCAAGACTTGACACGTTCAAGCGGGAGGCGGTCCTCCCGATCCATGAAATCAAACCAAACCAGACGAATCATGGGGGCTGGGAGGGAGGGAGGGAGGGAGGGAGGGAGGGAGGGAGGGAGGGAGGGAGGAGGGAGGGAGGGAGGGAGGGGAGGGGGGAGGGAGGGAGGGGAGGGAGGAGGGAGGGAGGTCCCCCCTCCCTCCCCCCCAGACCCCATGAGACAAATCAAATCAAGCCAATCGATCCAGCAAAACCCAACCAAATCCAACACTACCCAACCCATCAAGCAATCAGGCAACCAGGCAACCAGGCAACCAAGCAACCAAGCAACCAAGCAACCAAGCAGTCTGCCAGCCAGTCCAGCAGTCACTTAATCCACCAGTCAATGATTCAATCATTCAATCAATCAACGAGTCTTCCAATCCAATCAATCCCTTGCAGTCAATCCGATCCATTCCATTCCATTCCATTCCATTCCATTCCATTCCAATCCATCAATCAATCAATCAATCCATCCATCCAATCAAACAAATCAATCAATCAAATGAATTCAATCAATTCAATCAATCCACCAATGAATCAATTCAATCAATTCAATCAATCAACCAATGAATCAAATCAAATCAACTCAAGTCAAATCAGATCACACCAAATCAATCAATCAGTCAAACAAACAATCACTCAATCAAACCAATCACTTAACCAACCAACTACTCACTCACTCATTGAATCAACCAACCAACCAACCAACCAACCAACCAACCAATCAATCAGACAAATCAATCCATCAATCCATCAAGCAATCAGCCAACCAACCAGCCAACCAATCAATCAATCGATCAAAACAAATTAATATTGAAACCAATCAAATAAATAAATCAAACACACATCACACACACACAGACATACAGACACACGGACACACACAGAGACACACAGAGACACACAGAGACACACAGAGACACACAAAGACACACAGAGACACACAGAGACACATAGAGACGCAGAGGCGCACAGAAACACACAGAGACACACAGACACACACACACACACACACAGCACACACACACAGCACACACAGCACACACACGCACAGCACGCACACGCACACGCACACGCACACGCACACGCACACGCACACGCACACGCACACGCACACGCACACGCACACGCACACGCACACGCACACGCACACGCACACGCACACGCACACACAGCAACAAACAACAAAGCAACACAAGACATAACATAGACACACAAGCAAGCAGCAACGACACACAACACACACACACACACATGCGCACAGACACGCATACGCAAGGAAACAGGCAAGGAATGAAGGAAGCTTTCCACATGCACAGATACAGACACGCAATGATATACCACACAATTGTAAAGCAACACAAAAAAAAAGAAAAGAAAACAGAGAACAACAAGGAAGACAGAGACAACAACTTACATGAAAGCGAACGGCTAAGGGAAAAGCAAGCGAAGTGCCGCCCCTACCATCCAGCGATGCCCCAACCGGGCGCCATCCAAAGGCCCTGAGTGCACGGGCCAAACAGCCGCGCTCCGCGCCCCAGCAGCCTGTCTCAAGTCTCAGGTCTGGGAGCCCTGGACTTGTTTTTTTGTTTTTTTCCCCCCGTTTTTTTTTCTGGAAAAAAGGTGACATCCAAAACTCTCTGGACTCTCACTGTTGGGCTTCTTTGTTGGACTTGTTCTTGTTTGGGGCAGTTTGCTGGGTCATTGTTACATAGCAAAAGCATCGCCAAATGTTTGAGAACTAAACATAACTGCCAAGCAATCCAATCCAGTCAAGTCAAGAGGAATCACCAAAGGCCACTGTGGGCTGAGTTTGTATGGACCCTAGGTACCTTCCCCATTTGGTTCAAAAGGACTGGGTTTCAAACCCCCAAACCACCAATCATAACTCCCAACTAAGGGTTACCTGAACAAAGGTTCCCCGGCCTCCCAAGACAAAAGACTCAGCCAGCTGAGGAAGAAAAATCTGGGAAGGCTCCAGTCCAGTCTTCTGCCCCCCGGGGCAATCTTTCAAATCGGGAATTTGTGAGGAGTGTCAAAGGCAGAAATCCGCGTCCTTGTTTTGGTTGATTGGTTTGATATTGAGCTCTTGGTTTAGTATTGGCTTCGTATTGGTTTGGCATCAATTTTGTCTTTTAGTAGCGGTTCTAAAAGGTCCCCTGATGCGGCCCCAATACGACTGGAGTGGGGACTCGCCAGCTTATTGTTAGAATTGGCCAAAACTGCATTTGTGTGTTGGGGCTGTGTCTTGGAAAAACCCTCTTTGTCAGGAAGAGGGGATAGATGGGACTGAGGTGCTCGGAACTCGGCCCTTTTCAAAGTGGTTTCCGTGAAGGTCTCACGAGGCGAAGCCCAATGGACACATCCTCCAGGCAGACAGGGGGAGCTCCGGTCCCAGAAAGGAACTGTCCAACCCTTGATATGGTATAAACAAAACGTGTTCTTTCGCAGCCCCTAAAACATGAGCAGAACCAAACGCAAACTAAAGCCCTAAACACTTGCCAACAATAGTAAAGGGAAGTAGTCCAAACCCCTGAGCATGCATGATGCTTCAGGGTGCAACTGTGTGACTTTGTAGGCGACCCAACATGAGGAATCGGAACATGGAACACCTACCTCGCATGGAGACAACGTAGATTTGGGGATGCCCAAATCGGACCCGATGCTGGATGAAACAAGCCAACAGCATCTGGTGGCTACATGCGCGTGTCAAAAACCAAGGCTCCACCAAGCTACTCAAGACTCACTCGAGATTCCTTTGCTTCAGCCGGTCAACACAACAAATAACGTGGCAACTGCAAAAGACAGTCTGCTGGTATGGAAGATCTCATGTTCGCAAAAGGAAGGCCAAAGCTCCAACGGGGGTGTTATTTTCTGGGTACCTCATTTTGGGTTGTTGGGGGGTGAAGACACATCCGTCCCATCCAAACCCAACATCCCCCACCCGCGCTACTGCCTCAGCCACCTTGGCCAGTTTGCCATTCGGTTTCCTCAAGCCGAAAGCGAACTGCACCGAGACACATGGCCCTGGTACATGGAATGAAACCCATCTGAACCAGTGGAACCATCTAGTCTTAGTCAAACAATCGGATCAAAAGGAAACCTATGTTTGTTTCTCTTTGGTTTCCCTTTACCCAATCTTAAGGCAACAAGCCCAAGGCTTGCAGTTGACCGGTGTCGATTGCAAGAATTTGCTAAGCCCTTCCACGAAGACCCCCAGTAGTACCTTGAGCTTCAGGGAAACCCTGACTTTGGTTGCTGGAATCTAAGAAAATCATACGCAGACTGACTTGATATTAAATATAGGTGTGGTCGGTCGGTCTGCACTATTGTTTCTTCATCTCAACTCATCCGGACTGGTAACTTGCCTGCTGTCGATTGTCGTGGTCACACACTACACGGGAGAGTAGTGCTTTACCAACTGCCCGTTGTTCAAAGCAATCACAGACTCACTAGACCGACTAGACAATCAGAATCATCTCCGCCGTGCCACTGTTTGCAACAGAAGCTCGTCAGTTGTTCCGCACCACAAGTACCAGCATGTGCCACTTACAATAATCCAATACCGCAAAATCAGACGACAGTCTCAGGCAATATCATCAAGTCCTCCAACTTGATCTTTGTGCGGAGCTACGTGGTTTACCTCTCGAGTGGATCAAATAATTGCTGAGGTGGTCTCCGCTTCCGCTGTACCCACCGGTCCTTGCCAGCAGAATCTACATAAACAGGCATCCGAGCCAGTCCCAATACATGGCTCTCCGTTTTTTGTTTTGGCTTAGCCAGCTGGCATCTCTTTTTGATAAGCTATCATAAGACATAAAAGCGTACCCTCACCGGGACCCCCAATGCTGGCAAACAACCCCCAAAACAGCCATTGGGAGGTTCCACAGATCATTTGCCAGCCATTGGGGGTGGCAGAACCTGCCCCCGTTTAGGGCCCGGCTTTTTCTCCCACAGGCCCAGTCCCCTCCCTCGACTTCGGACCGAGCAGAGTCCTGGTTGATGCCTGCGGCATAGGGAAAACGAGTCCGGGGAAGGAAGCGGAAGGGGATGTTTGAAGAAAGGAAACCACAGGTTGGATGGTTTCTCTTGAAGGACACCCTATGGGTATGAATTTTAAGAAGGGGCCCGAAATGGTGGACATCCAAACTCGGTGGGGATTCATGTCCACCAGTCACTTGTGAGGTGGTTCCAGCTCTTAAAAAAATCATGGCCTTCCATTTCTCATTCCCTGCGGCTGCCAGCCAGTTGGTTGCCGTCCGACCTGCAACAAGTGTTCAACTTGTGGTGGTCCAATGCAGAAAATCCGACCCGTTTCACCCAAACAGTCTACGACCAAATAGCCACACAGCACTAAGGCAGTTGACCTTGTCTGGATTTCCTTGGGGGAAAAAAACCTTGAAGCGGGCCTCGTAGATTGAGAAGATAGCATTTGGAGCCACGGCCAGAACAACCTCGGGGTTGCTCCCAAGATCTCAGAAATGTAAAATCTGGGTCCCTAAAACCGGAAACCTTCTTCTTTCATCTTGAGGCCTGAAACCCGCGAGTTAGCAGGGCTAAAGCCATGGATGACCTGCCGAATTCTTTGACTTGATCTAGCTGTTAACTCACTACTGTCAACATCAAGGAGAGTTTATGCTCGAGGCCCAGGACGAAGGGGTAAGGTGCATGTACAGCATGTGGGCTGCGCAGTCAAGTACCCCAGCAATACATACTTTATCTCTTTGTCCTAGACCGGACACATCGTCAATACCCCCACCAGAGTTTGTTTCGTTTCTTGGTCGCCACCCCCCTTGTGCGCGCGCGCACAATCTCGAGCGGGGCCTCCCGCGATCTCTCCTGGAGCTTGACCAGCTCATCTTCCCGCAAGACGGCGCGAAAAATCTGGGAGACGAGGGATAGGCAGGTCAAGCCGGTCAAGCCACCTCCAAGTTACCCTCATAGGGGCTGGGGCGGAGGGAGTTTGGGCTCCTTCCCCCCCCCTCCCTCCCCCCCAGCCCCCAAGTTACCCCAACATTTCTTTGGCCTTTGGGCCTTCACCTCAACCCATGGGGGGAAGCAGAACCAAACCGCTAGCTCCCAGCGCTGTCCAACGGGTGTCTAGACCATCGCATCCCCTTGAGGATAGCACCTTGAATTCCCTTCGTAGCAGAACGGCAACCCAAAGCCGACAGTGGGGCAGTGGCTTTGGGCCTTGGGCTCAGCGGAAACCATTCTGGAATACTGGTATCATGATTTCGGGAAGGACCAGGGGAGACGGCGCTCTGGTCTGCCCAAAGGGAAGAAGGGCCAAAGCAACCAGGAAGCATTGGCAGTTGCCATGTGAAACACAACAAGTTGGACGCTGCTTACAAAAACAACGCAACCGTTCGCCGCAAACCATTGAACACAAAGCCAGAGTTTGCCAAGCGTGTGGGTGTCACCAACCGCACACTTACGTAGAAAAGAAGCGACTGGTAAATGGCAAGTGCCCAACACATGGGTGTGTGCGTGTGTGTCTGTGTCTCTTTTGTGTCTCTGTGTGTGTTTTGTCTTTGTGTCTCCCTGTGTGTCTCTCTGCGTGTGTTCCTCGTTGTGTGTCTCTAAAAGGTGGTGCTTTTGTCCGGGAAACCAAAAAGAGCGTGTGTATATATATATATAAATGTCTTGCAGTTCAATTTCTATTTCTGGAATGTGTTCAAAGGGGAAGCAAGCAAACACAACGAATTTCGCAGGTCCTTTCTTGGTTCTGAAATGTTTTGAAGGCGGGGCAAGTTATGAGATAATACATACTATGTAAAATACCCGACATTGTTCAATATCGAGGGAGGGACCCGCATCATGGGTGAGCTCGCTTTATATCCAGCTGAGCTGATTAACAGTTGCCCATGCAAGGTGTTTAGGGACAGCTGCTAGAACCCCGACGCCGCAAATGGTCGAATGGGGGTAATCCAATTCCAACTGAAGATTCCGCAGAGCTCGGGGGAACCAAGTTCCTGGAGTCTCCATGACCCCGGTGCAACAATGGGGTCATTAAAATAATGGAGTCATGGACCCATTGTTGAAGGGTCAGAAGGAGACTCCAGGTCGTCGTTCCGGCGAAAACGCTTCGAAGCAACCGACTGAAGCCTCGAAGACCGGGTCAGCGCCTTTGGGCAGCAAGTCCAGCAGCAGGGCCTGCGCGCCAGGTCTCGGATGGGTCAGAAAGCCCTTGGCGCGCAAGCGGAACCCGTGCAGCTCGAACTCCCCAAAACGGTGCGCTAGAGGCAAAGGCCTCCACATCTTGAGTTCAAACCCAGACCTCCAGTGGCACGCACCACTGGGTATCGCCGTGTTTTCGGCTCTGATGCTCTTCAACGCCCAGCTTTAAGTTTGCGTCTCATGAGGGAACCCCGAAGGCTGGTTTCCCTTGGGTCTCCCTTTGACTTCCCTTTTCAAACGCGCCCACCGGTACCGCGCCTACAATAATGAGAGAGAAACACCCATTTTGCTAGGGGTACCTTCCCTATTCTTTCCAGCATCCTTCTTGTCAGGAAACCATCAAAAAACCCGGGGAACCAGCCGGTTTTTGGAAAAGAACGATGGTTGAAAAGAATGGGGAATCAACCATAATTTTGCCCAAGGCTTGGCCTCCTGTCGGTTTTCCTAAGCCGCGCGGATCGATCTGGAGAACGCCTCCGGCCAGTCTCTGCCAAAGGCCGCCGCCAGCTGTTCGTGCAGCTCCTGACACAACTTCATGACCGAAACAAGCAGAACCGCCAACTTCTCACTTGCCCAAAGGCCCTGAAAATACAAGGTTAACCTTTTGGATCCCTTACTAAAGTACAGGCAAAATTGGGAAACCAAAAGGTTAAAAGGTCAGCTTTGGGCAAGTGAGACTATTCTTCAGGATCCCTATAGGTTGGCAAATGGGCAATGAACGGACGTGTGGAACAACTATGGATGCCTCTAACCTCTTGGACCCCCCAAACCACAGGAACATGAACTGGTTGCTGCCAAAAGTAGCAAAACTGTAAAGCGAAAGGAAAAACAAAACGCAGAACTCGATGGATGGAGAAAAAAATAGGGGTCGCACTCTTTGGCAGATACCGAACAACCCCCTGGTAAGCAAATCAAAGACACTTTTAGCAAGGGATCTACATCACCAGAGCAAATCCTTTCTTCGGCGATGGCATTTCGCCGGACTCAAGCGGCTCGTCAAAATCGGGATCCGCGGTTCCTCATTGCAACGGTGGCCACGTGCACATGGTTTGCCAAGCTCTCTTCGGCTTGGTTGAACAGGTCTGCTGGAAAAAAGGGCATCATCATTTTGGCAACCTCCTAACGAAGCGGGGTCTACAAGTTGAACTCAATCACAGGGTCCGAGTGGCCTTGTCCTGCCAAGGCGTTTGTGGCCCTCCGGTTTTGGCGCTGAGATTTCCACGCCGAACCATAAGTTGTGACCGGCCCAAGCGGAAACACCACTTGTGACCCATGAATGTATCACACGGTTGCTCCAAATGATACTGATCCCCACGGAAGAAAAATAGGGGCACCTGCGAACAAAGCTTGTCGCCTTGGGTGTGGTCGACTTTTTGCCGTGGAGCAATCGAACCTGATAAGTGCAATCCATTTTTCTTTGGCGAGGCTACTGTAGCTCAGACTTTGGCCCATTAAACATGCCAGTTGTGTGGGATTCTAAATCATATTTCGTGAACCAGCGTCGCGTGTGCAAGAAGGATGTCAGAATAGGCCCCGGCAGTGGGGAACGATGTTGGAATGATTCATATTTTGCCCCAAAGCACAAAACACCTTGGTCCACATTTGGTCAACCTTAAAATGTAAAAAATATGTTTCAAGACAAATCCCAGCGAACATGGCGCACTCCTCAGCGCTCACCCGCGCGCGGGAGGAAGGACGGCTGCCAGCTTCCTGGCACCGACACAGTCGGGATCCCAATGTTGACCCCGGATTGAAAAACCCCTGTTTAATCCGGGGGTCAAACATAGGTACCCAACATAGGGGTCAAACAGGACTGGGTACCTATGGTTGACCTGATTAATAATGGGTGTGGGTCAAACATAGGTACCCAAAATGAAACCCTGCTAAATGGAAACATGCACTAAAACCTGCAGTCCCCTACTTGATTTTTTACCCATATCCATATGGGGGTGTCCCTGATTTAGTGGGGATGTATCACTTTTGGAGGGGAACCCCCCATATTAATAAACAGGGATTTATTAATCCTGTGTCAGCATTACAAACTTCAATTTCATGCTTCGTCTTGGCCAAACTTAGACTCCCGGAAAAAAAAAGAAAGTTGTGCTTTGCTGGTTAAAAGGAAGGATGAAGGATGCCCGCAATGGCAAGAGAGGAAACAAGTCGAGTTCAAGTCTGGCGCACCTCGAAGTCAACCAAAGAGTCAATGGTGAAGCCAGAAAAGGACACCTCCCCTGAAACAATTTTGAGGCCAAAGGGATGTCATCTGGGTTGCCTTTCAACTATTTCCGCCTGTGTCTGTCTTCCTCTGGTTTTGTGGGTTATTTATGTATCCTAGATCAGGGGTCTCACAGGCGAAATTTGCCCTCCGCCCCACCAGAAAGCACTCAAGGGGTGGAGATTCGCACATGTCTCAGGCTTTTGTGGGACCTGAAAGTGACATGCTGCGCCACCCATTGGACAATTCAGGTCGGGACTCAAGAAGGATGAACCCCGAGCTTGGGATATGATCGTGTTCTGCGCATTGCCAGCAATCCAACCAGAAGTTGTGCTAGATTTCACGGCTCTCAATATGGTCCAACCTAATCATGTGTTTGGGGCGCCAACCTTACCTGTCCTGTGCCAAATACTTCATGGATTTCCGGTTGTGTACCATTTGCTGTGGGTCAAGAATAGGTACCCAAAATGGAACGCTAGTAAATGGAAGCATGGACTAAAACCTGCGGTCCCCTAGTTTAACTTTGACCCACACCCATTTGCCCTTAGACTCACAAAACGCCCCTCACGACATGGGGCCATGACTCCAGGGTCCAGCCTGTGGGCATGTGCCAAAACACGAAAACACCAAAAGTTTGGTCTCCCTTCAAACCAACTCAACCTGAAAAGAATGCCCAGTGTCCAAAAGAAGAACATACATATACATAGCATATATATATATATATGTACATACACGTGTGTATGTATGTATATGTTGCTGCTTGGGGGGGGGGGTAGAATATGTATATATATATATATAAATCACTGGGGCTCTTAAGCCAGCACACAAAATTCAGAAAAAGGTGAGCCAAAAGGACACACACACACTTTTGAATGGAGGGCGAAGGCAAATATCACCCGATGGACCCTACCAACCACCCGACTTATTTGCATCAACAAACCTGCTTGCGCAAGAGCCACCCTTTCTGCTGTTCAAACTGGAGGGTACCCGATTTTCCAGAATCCCTAGATGGGCAACTACAAAGGGGACTTTTGCGTACCCCATGGTAAGGACTACGGCTTGCCTTGGAATAGCCCAGTTTGATACACCAAGTCGGCCTCCCCCATGAAAGCCTTGGCAATTCAAAGGGGACATGTTTGCACGAGAAAGCGAACACCTCAGAACTCCCAATGGGCAAACTTCCACCTACTTTACCAACCAACAACAGCGTTCCCCAAATCCATCGACCAGTTGCTCATGCCCCCTCGACTCTGCCCATGAGCCCCAAATTGATAACAGAGCCCTGCAAAACCACCTGTTCAAACATCAGATCCCGGGAAGTGCAAGGACCTCCAAAGACCACGCCAACCTTCATTGGTATGCCTTTTTGCCTATTTTGGGGGAGGCCCTGTTTGGTCGGTGTTAAAGGGAAACCAACAGGAAAACCTCAATTTTGGCAACCAGGAAAGCCACCTTGTTTGGCATGCCCAAAAGGGAGACACACCGTACCCAAGGCCCACCTCGCCTCCCGCAACATGGCGACCAGGCGGGGGGCGGCAAGGGCCAGGTCCGGCCGACTCACCGCCACCTTTGGGGGGAGGGGGGATTCGTATGTTTCACGTCGCCAGCAGGAAGTTCGACATTGGAGGGTTGCGAAAGGCTGCTTGAGAAATGTGCAAATATATATATATATATAGATAGATAGATATATATATATATATATCATTGTCGACATGTTGGTTCCCTCTTGTATCGTAAACTGCCCGCCTCATCCGGCACCGTAGGGGTGAATGGCAAACGTGCAATTGAGTGACAGGCTCACTCATGCGCGCCTTCTTCTTGGCTGCTTTGGGATGAACTATCTGAGCTCTCAAATCTGTTGCCTTCGCTTTCAGATTGGCTTTCTCTCGTTTGGATAGCCTTGGCGTGGCACCCATTAACTACGCAACCTGACTTACAACCTGATGTGCAAGTGGTTGTTGGATGCTGCCTCAAGGCACGTGCTCTAGTGCTCAGATTGAAAACACTTCCTGCAAATTCGGCCCGCGCAAATTAGAAGCGCGGCGCCAGCGCACGGCTAGCACGCGGCAAAGTGCCGATGCTTTCAGCTGCCCGCCACTCGTACTGTCGCAAATGGGCCCACGGCACCGCAAATTCTTGCCATCGCTTGGCGCTAGCGCCAAGCTAGAGCCATTGGGGAAGTTGGTATGACTCAGGTGGCCAGCTTTCAGAAAGCCCACAAAAAAAGGCTCAACCATGGGATACCAACATAATCTGTAGATCCTTGAGACAGCCTTCCGGAAAGGCAGCCGAGAGTCTCTACATATAAATTTATATATATATATATATATTTATATATGTATATTGGTGTTTAGAACATGGGTTCTTAGACCCTAAGGCGAAGTGGGTGTCTCTTGAATTTAGGAAACCCATTGGGTGGTTGGAGTTTGTTGGCTTTCGCTTCATACCACCAAAGTAGGAGTTCGTATTGTCAGATATGAGCAAGGCCAGGCCTATGTGACTACAAAACCATTTTTAAGCAAGTGCTGGTCAATTGCCGGCACTTCACCCGGGACGCCAACTACCGGCCATCGGGGGGAGCTGGTGGGTGCCATTTTGTTGAGGGTAGCCTTTTTTGGGTGGTGTCAAAATAAATACAGAAGGAAAACCACCAACTTGGGCCGTCAGATTCCCAACCGACACGCCACAAATTCCTCGTACCGCCCACTGCCCGCGAGCGAAGTCACTTGGGTCCCGCGCCCAGCGCGCCAGCAGCATGGCCAGCGGCACTCTCTGCCGCAGCCGCGCCGCCAGCAGCGAACTCAGCGAGGCGTCGGAGGCTTCGGAGGTGGCGGAGTGTCCCGAAGCCGTCGAATAGTGGGCATGGTTGCGAACTCCATTTGTGCGGCGGTCAAAACATGTGTTGTGGTTGGCTGCCATGGCTGGCTGGGGTGTCGCTCTTCAAGGCCCCCTGTCGCTACACACAGTGCCAGCTCAGTTCTCGCATCTCGGCTGGAAGGTCTCAGCTTTTCAGCACCAAAGTAGTTAATGAGGCTTGCCTCAACCATGGGCTACTGCGGAAGAGATGGTAGTGCTTGCTCGACACACGGGACGGTCACTTCCCGCCGGCTCCTCTACGTCAAGGACATGCTCCTAGCTTTGTAGTACAAGTGTAGCACTCGAAGTACACGTCCGCAGCCCCAGCTTGAAAATCGCAGCTTTGTAGTACAAGTGTAGCACGCGAAGTACACGTCTGCAGCCCCAGCTTGAAAATCGCAACTTTGTAGTACAAGTGTAGTACGCGAAGGGGCAACTGCCTACCTGAAGGGATTTTGGGTGTCGCTCCATAATCTGAAAGGTGTCGCTTTGAGTGTCGCTACGGGTGCCGGATTTTTCCCAGGGGCTGCCGGAACCCTACTTCAAAAGCACAGTGCCTCTTTTTTGCTTGCATCGTCGCCTGTCCCCGCCAAGGCGACGGAGCACCTCTTAAACTGGAACGCTCAAACTGCCAAGACGAGATCCTTCAAACCTGTCTTGCGTCGCAGCCGGGACTTAGACTTCCACGATGTGTTCAGCACGTACTTCCGTTCCCATGCAAGTAAAAAGGTACTTACAAACATGTTCCATGGGGACTTACATACATGCAAGCCCTAAACAGGGGTGTCGCTACTCAAGGCCTTTTCAAAAAACAGTTATGTCACGGCGGCCGCAATGAAGACCTCTACATAACGTGTTTTGACCCTTGCACATTTGGCTATGGGTCAAAAATGCGGTAACCCAAAAAAGGAACCCTGGTAAATGGAAGCAAAGACTAAAACCTGCGGTCCCCTGCTGGATTTGTTTTGACCCATACCCATTTCACACCACCTACAAAACCCTGCCATGGGTTACATAGGCTCCCATGGAAGAGGAATGGTCTCTCTGGGGTAAATGGTCTCATGGAATGTTCTCCCATGGAACGGTCTCCATTTGATGGATTTCTCTGTAAATACCAACAAACAATGGTCTCCCATGGTTTTTTATAGGTGGTGCAGAATTCCGTCCATCCACAGTATGACCGGGCTTCGGCTCAAGGGCGGTGTTGAGATCTGGAACTTTGAACCAAAGCTCACTTTGAACCCACTCCCAACTCCAATACAAACCGTCATAGGATATGATTGGTGTCATTTCAACCCCTGCTTCAAAAAGGATGCGTTGTTCATTGACAGAGACTGCCTGGATTTCCCCAAATCAAATGGTTTTGAGAAACCGTTTGGGATCCACAAGGGATTGACAGGGGTCATTTGCTTCCCATGAAGGGAAGCAGAACAGCGCCTGTCAGGTTCAGGTCTCCGGTCAAAGTCGCTGGGTCCCCATTCCTGCTGTGGATGCTTGCAAAAAAAAAACGCAACTCCTAAGAACTGGAATGATTCAATTCCCCTGTAAATACCAACAAACCATGGTGTTTCATGGTTCTTAAATGGTGCAGGATTTCGTCCATCCACAGAAGGTGAGCCAGGAACGCGTGGACGGTGCTTCTATGCAGCCCAACCCGGCGAGGCGAGCAACCGAGGCAAATCACAAGTAGAGGGGCTGAAATGATTCCTGGACTTCCCCAATCAAACGTTGATCAATTTGCTTGTTTGCAACTTGAAACGAGACCTTTGGAAAGCTCGGACACCCTGGCCTATCAGGGACTGGGCTGGCCGGGGCTTTGGCTTAGGCTTATCCAAGGATAACCCTGCCGGCTCTGACCGAAAAAGGGTACCCAGCCTAATAGGCCACATGAAACCAGGATATAGAACCAGCTACTAAGTGAATCATTTACGTTCATCATGACATGAAACCAATGGGGTTACGGCAAGTCTTGGTAAGACCCACAGCCAATCATTTCCGGCGCTGCTCAAATGCTCATGACCCAATCTCTACACGCCGAGAGACAGCTTGGGGTTTTGCCCCGTGGATTCCCAGGAAAGCGCTGAAAGAGTGCTAGAGTGCACTTGGAATCCACAGCTGGGGCATCAGTCATGTTGTCTGGAGACAGAAAAGCCGCCACCCTCCCGGCAACTCAGAGCTCCCAGTCCTGAGAGAATCTCGTGATGCCCTAAATATTGAAGGGAGCCGCTTATATATATATATATATATACATATGTATATATATATATGATATTATATATATATATGTATTATAAATTCCATGTGGTGCGTTTTGCAATATGGTCTATCTATTGCTACTAAAGGGCATCTCTACATTGGTTTGGGCAAGCGACCCCCCTCCCCACGTGCTTGCAAACAGGCACCCCCGTTTGGCTCCCAACTGAAATTATCCAAACTCGGGGATTCCCCATGTCACTTGACGCGGTTTCCCGTTTGGTTTCCCTGCTGGATTCGTTTTGGTTTCCCTGGTTTGCCTTTAGAATCTAAAAGGGCCTCCCTGAAACAAAAAGACACATCCCCCCCAAATATATACATATATATATATATACATATATTAGTATATGTACCTGGAACCGAAAAGCCCCTGAAAACGGAATGCCTTTCAGAAAAGGCAGGTTCTTATGTCAAGATCCCAGCTTTTGGTAAAAAGGGACGTAATTTAGAAAACACGTAATGCTCGCCAAGGTTGAGTTTGGGGGTCTCTTTTCAGATTGCCATGGATGATTCATGTAGCAATCATCTCTTGAAAAGAGAGAGCTTGCTGCTAGAACACGCTGCATCATTTGATCGACATCGACCGTTTGATTGTGATTTGGCAACCTTTGCTGTTTGCAGCTGCCCTTCAGAAGCAACGCACGAAAGAGGGCTCAACCGCTATGAGTAGAAGGGTGCCATTAGATCGAACTGGCAGTGGAATCGATACCCAGGCATGAAAGTGGATGATCTCACCTGCATGTTTGGACACCAAACGCATATCAGGCTGGACTTTTGATATTTTCTACATATCAACATCCATTTAGCTCAAAGAGGGGGAATGCGGGGGTGTCTCAGACAAATGGCATCCATGATTTCTTCAAACTCATTAGCATCCCAACGCTGTGTAAATCTTTCAACATCAATCGGCGCCATTCGGCGCCCCTTGTCAGATTTGGTGTTGAGAGGATGGCAGCATTTGCTGATGTTCTAGCGTTCTCAAACAAATCTAGAGGGTTGCTGCAACATAAACACATGCAGAGTGATCACTTCAACTCACATCGGATAGTTGCATGGAGTGGGGTGGCCTGTTTCCATGAGCGCCCTGCCCTGCACCTTTTCTACGCTGATCGTCAACCTGGTGAGCGAGACAGCGCCAGAACCTCAGGCCGAGCGGGGAAGGTGGCATGCTTGTCTCGGTTCACTGAATTGGTACTACTTCCCCGATGTCAATGTACATTATTTTCAAGAAGTGCCAACTTTACTTCCAATAATTTACGCGCATTGGCATCAACGATAGGCCAAACAATGAAATCACGCAGGGGGACTGCTTGTTGAAGGGTGCGGTCAATGCATTAATGATGTCACTAGGGTTCAGTGTTGCCGCGCACGCGGGAATCGAGACTGAAGCGCGCATGCATGCCAGTATCTGTTTGCAAGCAAGTAACGTGTCAATGTACGCGCGATTAGATTTTGGCTGGCAGGCCTGAGGCTTTCATCCCAAGCGGTTTCCCTGGAAATAGCTGTCAGAATGGCTAGCGCTGGCCCTTTGGCTGGCCTTGCAGATGCGTGGGAGGGCGCGAAGGAGCTTCGTGCGCGCGTTCGCGCTGGCAGCACCAGCATCTTCATGGCGGTGCCTGGGGAGGAGGTGCCTGGTTGCACTGTCAAAGGTGCTGAGCGGAATGTCGATGCCCTGCTCCCCTTGCTTGGCATCATCTCTGATGGCGAGGGCAATGTTGTTATGCCACACATTGCGCAACTGGAGCATGAGCTACTTGGAACAAACCAAATTCAACATAAAGGTTTGTCTTTTCATGAATCAACACACGCCACATGTTAAACCGATTGTCAATTGCGCAATACCAAGCGGGAACCTAGCTTGTACTGCGCGTTATCATTTGCATACTGAAGAACATTTTGGTAGAAACTATTTTCCTTCAAACATGCTTCTATCCGCGAGCGTGAGGCTGGCCCTGTTCTTCGTCTCCATGCAGGTAGTGGTTAGCGCGCGGCAGATCAAGCTGGACGCGTGGCTTTGCCGGAAGTTTGTGGCGCTGATCAAACGCAAGTTGCATCGTGGTCAAGTGCCGCGTTCCCACGGGTTCCGCCAGCTCATGGCTGCTGTTGACCGGGACGCTGAAGACATGGAGGAGGACTGTGTAAACTAGCGAGTGTGGTAGGGGGTTTGTCCTGCAGGCAAGGTTGACATCACTTAGATTACTTTGACCGCATGAGAGTTGTCATTTTGCAAAGACTCCGGGATGGCATGTTTAAGGAATCTTGAAAAGCCTTTTTTCATTATGCTTGAGTTGAGCTTATCTCAGCGAGCTGCGATAAGGTAAACACCTATTGCGGCATTTGCAGGGCCATATGGTGCAAAAACAAAGGAAGACTAATTTTTGCTGATGTTTAAACTATAATTGTAGTACGTATTGCTGAGCCACGTGTGCGTATACACACATGCATTCCACGCATGCATGCATATAGGCGAGGTGGACTGAACTATGCGTGTCATAGGGTGCGTGGATCTGTAACTGTAGCAGGACAACAACACGCAGCTCCAGGAAGGGGGCTCCGATGACTCCGAGACTGAAGTTGTCCATGCCCTTTCTCATGATGCGCAGGATGCTCTGGATGACCTTGATGGGCGTGTCGCAGCCTCTCAAGAAGCTGGCGCCTCGGCCGAGGTCGAGCTGGTCGTGCTGGATTCGCAGGAGGAGCAGCAGGGGGCGCAGCAGGAGGAGCAGCAGGGGGAGCAGCAGGATGTGCAGCAGGAGGAGAAGCGGGGGGAGCAGCAGGACGAGAAGCAGGAGGAGAAGCAGGAGGAGAAGGAGGCGGAGAAGCAGAAGGAGCAGCAGGAGGAGAAGCAGGAGGAGAATCAGAAGGAGCAGCAGGAGGGCCAACATTTGGCTGCGGGCTCCGGGTTGGCGGCTGCAGGCGCTGATGGCGGCCATGCCGCTCTTGTTCCTTGCAGCACGGAGAAGGGCTTGGTTGAGGAGTCCCCGGAGGCGGCTCAGATTAAGATGAAGCAGCTGGAGGAGGAGCTGGCGCGCATGAAGAAGTTGCATGCTGCCAAGATTCTCATTTGCAAATAGGCTGGTGTGTTTATCGGGTGTGTTTAGATTAAAGTGTCGATACAACCAAGGGGGGGTTTACGTGTGTGTGCATGTTTCACGTCACACAAACAGTTGCGCATGAACATTTGTAATCCAAGTTGCAGTGAGTGCATGTATTTCTGCATGGGCGTTGTGCATACATATACACGCACAGGCGCGCTGCATGAACCTGTATTTGCAAACCCCAATTGCAAGCGACTGGGTTGACTCACACGTTACGACGCTGAGGAGAGCGAAGGTGGCGCTGGACGATCCGCCTGGCCCGGAGCTGATCTTGGAGTCCTTGCCCTTTGGTGGGGACATGTTGGAAACAATGCCCATGGACCAGGCGGAGGCGGATGAGGTAGCAAAAAAGTTCAAGGAGAAGCTGCTGCCGGACGATCTTGAGGAGTCCACTAAACCCCCTGTCCCTTTCCTGCATCCTCTATAGCATCTGTTTTTGCTTTTGCTTCATGCGCTGTAGTTGCTGGCTCTTGTTCGGCGTGTTTGGAACGTCGTGTCTAAGGTTCTGCGGCGCCAGCAACTGGGCTTGAAAGCGGAGAGCAAGCCCAAGGCAAAGGCCAAGGGCAAGGCCAAAGCCAAGGGCAAGGCGAAAGCCAAGGGCAAGGCGAAGTCCAAGGCGGGGAAGAAGCTGGCTGACACCGAGGGCGAGTGCGAGCTGACGGGCGAGAAGGGCGGCTTGGGTGTTTCGGACACAGAGCTGGCGGGCGAGGGCGGCTTGGGTGCTGAGCTGGCAGGTGTGTCGGACACAGAGCTGGCGAGCGAGGGCGGCTTGGACGCAAAGCTGGCGGGCAAGGGTGGCGTGGACGAGGGCAAGGGCAAGGCCGCGGACCAGCCGAAGGTTGCCAAAGCGCGTGGGCGAGGACGAGGGAGGGGTCGTGGGGGGCGAGGCGGTGCGAAGAAGGCGGAGGATGGCGGGGACGCAGGCCTGAAAACAAGCCCGGACAAGGCCACATCAGGCCAAGCGCTTGAGGGCGAGCCGGCTACCAACCCCAGCAAGCGCCGGGCAAGCAGGGGGTCTGGCGCGAAGCAAGTCAGTGCCTGCTTTGCCAAGAGGCGCCGCCCCAACACCCCTGCTGGGCAGCTCAAATGGGACAGCATCCGCGAAGCGTTCAACAAGCGCATCAAGGGGAACTTGGACGCCTACTCGGCCCACGAGGAAAGTGGAGGGCGGCACTACGCGGGTTTGTTCCATCCATGTTGTGTCACACACGCAAGTGTGATCATATGTAGCTGCATGCATGCGTGCGAATGGTAGAGTTAGCAATGTTGGTTTAGTTTTCGATTGGCAAAAACTCGCTGATGAAGAAGTATACGCGTGTCCAAGCAACCTAGATTTAATCTGTTGGTTTCCCTGTTGACCCCTTCAGCGTGCGCTTGTTTGATTGAGGTTTGAGATTTGCGTCTATTGTTTGAGTCGGGGATTATTATGTGTTGGTGCGGTTCATGCTGGTAAGCTTCAACCGTTGGTTTTTTGCGTGTAGTGTAAACTCTTGCCGCTTTCAGAGACCTTCAAACACATTGGTCGCCTGAGGACTACTTCTACACATATTGCACCACATCCTGGGCCAAAGAACAGCAAGAGCTCACACCTGCGAACGCGGAAACTCTTTCTAATGAGGCTGCTGCTGAATATTTGCGGCGGCTTCAAGCTTTGGACTCCCGAGCTTAGAGTTGGACAATTTGCCCTGTTGCGCCCCAGGTTGATCCATGTGGACATTCACTATAATTGGTTTGTCATCCAACATGAACCTGCGTGTGTTTTTGCAAGAGGCGTACCAGAACGCACGGGCCGGCTCACTAGATTTGAATTTTACACGGCTGCAAGCCTAGAGGTGGGCCTGCGCATCATGCTTCCTGCTGACCTCACGCGGCTGGGGGAATGCAGGGGGAAGCTCCATAAGCAGGGATACTTTTGGGCACGGTTTACGTAACTTGGCCAATCTACGCATGGTAAAAACTGGCTAGGTAGTTGCGTGGCGCTTCTTCTGCATTCGAGGGTGCTTTGAATCGGAGAACAGCAGTCGGCTTAGGCGCTGTCCACTGTGCTTCTGCCGTGTTGGATTCGACGCGAAATTGCGAGGGCAAAACATGCAACAGTGGCTTGAGCGTTTTGACGCATCGGTTTTCAACTCAATCAGAATTTGGGAACGATACCTTTCCCAATCGCTCAGGCCGGACGGCGCTACTACTTGGCGATATGGCCCGCGGCCAAGGTTGGGCCCGAAGGCTACTGCCCGCGCATTTCTTGAAGCGTGCGCCCAGCATGTTTTCCGTTCCCAGGCATGCCATCCAGCAAGTCCAGTTTGGTCGGGTAGCTTTTCTTTCGGCAGCATGAGGGAAAGGATGCCCACCAAACAAGTTGTTTGGAAAATGATGTGTATGCGCGTGCAGTTAGCCAGCATCTTGAAGTAGAGCAACGACTTGAGCTGACAAGCCTGAAATGTTCCTTCTCCTGAATTCTGCCTTGTGGCTCGAAGGGGCTGCAACAAAGCTGCGTGGATGTTTGGTTTCTCAAGCAGCGCTGCGGAACGCTTCAATGCTTCATCCCTCGCAATCAAACTAGCATCCATCCGGTTTTGTGGATCCCCTTGTTTGCTTTACGGAGGGGCAACAGAAAGAACAGGCATGCTGGGATAGACAGGGAAAAGCACATAAATCAACAGTAACTCTGGGTGAACAAATGCCAGATTCAGCAATGGTGACCGAAAAGGAGCTCAAGCTCAACATCGTGATCAAAAGGCTGCACTTGATGCAGGCACCAAAGGCGTGGTTTAAACAATCTGTTCTGTTGACGCCCCCCCTCGGACCTGAGTGACCCGACACCTGCGCCCCGTCAGACCCTCATGGCCTGCGTCATCCTCCTTGCGTGCATGGATGGGGTCGAGACATTTACGAAGGCAGGGTTTAGTTGCTCCTACCACCGACACGCAGGCGTGTATGCAAATTTGCGTTGGCGGTGTCAGGCTTACTCCTTTATCGAAGTATTTGCTGGAAGTGGGTGGATATCTACCTGCATGAAGAATGCCGGGCATAGCGTGGCATCTCTTGATGTTCTTTATGGGGATGCTCCAGAGGGGAAGCAAGACTGTATGGATCTCTTATCTGATGCAGGATTCTCGATTCTAGCCCAAATTACATGTAAAATTAGCACACAGGCTTTCTTGTGCGCCCAAACTATTCCTTGGCTTCTTGTGGATATTCAGCACGCAGTCAACCCAAAGTTTCGTGATCAACGCATATGCGTGAAACCCAAGGCTTGCACTAGTCTGCATACTCAACGGCGAAATGGACAACTTTATGGTGTGGTTTGGGCTCTGCTGCTCAAGCTTCGTGGCCATAAACTCTGGCACACATGGCAGATCGCCGCTATTTCCTTTGGGAAACACCCAGTACCGATCAGTCAGAGTTTCAAATGCTCTGACAGCTCGGACCCTTGACAGAACTTGTGCTTGCTGTCTTTGCACCCAAAGGCTAGGATGGGATGAAATATGTTGTTTTATGCATCCAAGAAAGGGGGTTCCTTTCGGCGAGCAGGGACAACCCAATGCACCTATACTCTACATTTGGAAGCAGGGCATCTACCAGGGGTCAGGGATGAACATCTCTTATAATTACACACCCTGCCACCAGGAATGTGCGCATCAGTATGCGGATGGGCTTGGGGAACTCAAGCAAATTCATGATTGATTATGCTTGATTGGTGAGCGACAACATAGGATTTTGTTTTGCCCATGCTAAACAGGGGTACCTTTTGGATGGACCCTTGTGACCTCGAAATCGGGCCCTGCTTGTTTTGAGCCATTTTCACGTGGGAGGAGAAACAAAGGGCGCAAAGAAGGGCTTTGGCTTAATTCCTTTTGCTTTCCCTCTACCAATGCAGAAAAAAGCCTTGTTGACCTTGCAAGCGGTTTCCGCATCACTTGTCATTTGGCCGTGAATGAGTCGGTTCTTCCCCAAAGCCTCCTTGATCCCAGTCCAAACGCGGCGCCCTTTTTCAACTGGTTTGGGACCAAAATACAGGAAAAAAGGGCGCCTCAAATTAACTTGTTTGAGAAAAGGTCGCGGAAGCTTTTTGCACACTTTGCACTTGATTTCACGGGGACAGCATCTGCCGTTTACAATGGATTGATGCGTCAAATGGGGAAGCCCACATACGTTTTCCGTTGCTGTCCACAAGCAGCATGGGTGTATCTCGACTGTTTCATCCTTCTTTTTGGGAAAGTGATTCTGGGACCCGGGGTGCAACTGTGACGAGTTTACAGAAGTCTTGTGGCTCCCCTGCAAACGGTTTTGTCACTGGATAGGCATGTGCTTCTCCAAACAATTACTTTTCTTTTCTGCCTATCTCCCCTTCCCACTGACGGCCTAGGACGTGCCTGCTCATCATGGCTACATCTGCGATGGGAGGAGCCTGGGTGATTGAGCAGCCAAGAAGCTCACTATTGGAGTGGCATCCCAGAATCAGAGCTTTGTGGCGGTGCCTTCCCAAGGCTGGGTTGGGTTTTCACTCGAATACTTGAAAGTCCTTGTTGGGGGAGGGTTGCCAAGGCTATTGAAACAACAACATGCAGGCACGCATGCAAACAGGTTGTCTACTTGCTGCCCGCAGGTGTATTCAGCTGCCTGGTGGATGGGGTTGTATCAGGGATTGTCTCCGAAGAGGCATGTGGCGTTTAGCAATGCTCCGACTGTTGGCTGTTTTGACCTTGGCCGAATGACCCGGAAGATGCAAGAAGCATTGCAGCAAAAGAGTGGCTGTAAATCAGCTGAATCCTATGTATCATCCTCCGGAAGAAAATGCTACAAGGGGACCCGATGGTTGAAAGCAACTGGGTGCCGCGCTCACTTGTTGAACGTGACTTTCTCTTTAGAGTTTGAAGCATGGATTCATCATGGTTTCAGCACCCAAAGGGTTTCACGTTGTCCTGCTGTTGCTGCCAAGGGCCTACCCTCCAAGATTTGGCCTATGTGTGGTCCGCCTCTACTATCGCTTCCTGGCGTCTTGCACCCCTTGCCACCAGATACCGGACGAGCTGTTGCACCAGCCTTTGCAGCAATTGTTTGAGCAGATTTCCTGGAACGCTGAAAGTGACTTATGGGACGATGCAAATATGTATTCAGTCCTTGTTTACATGAGGGGCTGCTCCATGCTAGATCTTGGAACCTGGCGACCCTTGTTCCCTCGAAAGTTGTAATTAGTGTGCACGTGGGGTTGCCGCGTGCCCATGGCTCCAATTAGGAAGCGCCTGCATCTGCAAAGGTGCACTTGGCTTTGGGTGGGAAAAATGCATTGTGCTTTCCAAGCATTGAAGAGTTTGCTGGCCTTGTCAAGCATGGTTGTGTGAGGATTCTTTGTGCATGTCTTCGAGTATGGGCGAATTCTTCAAATCCTGGAATTACGTATTTTTTACGTGTTTTTTACGTAATTAACCCGTAGGGAGGTACCAGCCCGTAAAAGGGTCGAAAATTCACGTAAAAGGGCCGAAAAAACACGTATGAAATTACGTATTTTTTACGTAATTCACCTGGTTTCTGGCTACCCTGACAAAGCTTGGTTGGGGGGCCTTAACTGTCAAATTTGGTTGTGAATTTGGACCTTTCAGGTGTCCAACCATCATCTCCACCAGGCACCCAGGCTCAGGCTTCTGTCAAAGTCGATGTCGCTGCAAAGTAGGCCAACCTTAGTGTCAAAGCAATGGAGTGGCTCGGAGTTGGCAGCCGGCAACAAGAAGCTCAAAGAAATCAAGATGGAACGCCCTGAGTCTGACGAACTTCAAAGGAAGATTCAGGATTGGTATGTGCCACTCAAAGGGGTTGCAATCCTACCTCTGTGTGAGAAGCTGATGTTTTGCAGCCCTTGATGCAGGAGCATGAGGCCCAGCTTCAAAAGCTGAGGAGGATTGCTTCAAAGGCAAACCAGGACAGGTTCGCTGTCAATGTTGCCAGCATGAGGCCAAGGTTCTAACACAGCGCTGTGTATAGTGGTTAAACATGTTCTGTTGTGGCCTCAGGAGCAGCCAGAAGACGACACAGATACGGTTCCGGCTCCCTGGCTGCGCAAAGATGATTGGCTGTTATAGGGTTTCCTCAAGCCAGCATTTATTTCAGTTTGAAAATGTTCAAAGATGGCCGCTGATTGTTTTTGGGGTTTTTGTGCGGCTCAAATCAATGGAGCTCACACCCTTTTGATTAGAAGAGAATCACTCTAGGTGCCATCGCATGCTCAACCGGCCTTGCAAGTCACTGAGCTACATCGCACATGAATATGCTTGCAGGGATTCCACCATCTAAGGGAACAAGGCATTTGGTGGGAAGTTGATTCTCACATGTGACTGGAACATATGGAGCCAACTGTCGAGTTTTCCGGAGTTCATCAGGGCCGCCTTGAATCCCACCTGAACCGTGTGCGCTAGAAGGACATTCATTGAAACAATCCTTTTTTAGGAGCTTGGCATTGAAAGACAACATCTTTGTTGCTGAGACCCTAGACATGCGCAACACATACCTCGTCATTCAAAGCCAACAGAAAAATCCAGCTGGTGCAAATGGCTATCTCGATCAATGAGCACATATTCTCGATCATAAAGACAAACCTTCAAGAGCATTACTCCCATCCTCAAAACCACTGATGCCCAGGCTACGGATGAGGAGGTGCGCAAGACTGTCAAGCCGACGGCTGCCAAAGCTAAAGCTAAGTCGGCCCCGGCCCGGGCCCCGAAGCCAGAGGTCACCCCAGAGCCCAAGTCCGCCAGGGCCCCCGCCGTTCGGCCAGCTTCGCCTGCGAGCAAAGAGGCGAAGCCCAGTTCCAGCAAGAGGTCAAAGGATTCCATACAGACTACCCCGGAACAGAGAAAGCGAGTTAGCGGAAAGTCAACAGAAGTTTCTGCTTCAGCCATGGACACGCTGAAAAAGGCAGGGTTGACTGTTCCACGCAGCGCTCGTTGAACAATGCTGTTGTTGCATGCTTAATGTAGTGAGTTTTTTTGTGATGGTCGAAGGGCCGCAGGTTGATTTGTGGCTTAGCGGGTTTCCTACGTGCTTTTCACTGGTCAGGACAATGAGAGAATGAAGCAGGAGTTGGCACAGCTCAGGAGAGGCTCCAGCAAATCTTCACAGCCAGACCTTGTGACACCGCCCCCAAAGCACAAGACAACCTCACCCGTTAGCCAGGAGCCGAAAAGCAAAGCCAGAGCACAGCCCAAAAGCAAAGCCACACACAAGGAGGCAAACGATCAACATGAGCTTCAGAAGGCTTTGCTTGATGAACAGGATGATGAGGTGGATGACAGTGAGGCAAGTGCAGATGAGCAGGAAGGTGATGATGAAACGGGCATGTGCTCGGAAGAGGTCAGTGACGAGGATGACAAACCAAAGAAACCGAAAAGGGGTGGTGCCTTGCAGAAGTCCAACGCCCCAAAAACTGAAGCTGCCCGAGAGGCCCGCCTGAGACGCGTCTGCGAGCGCAAGCCCACGGGCCGTTGCCACGTGCCTCCGGATATCCACGAGATGTGGGCCTCAGGTGGATCAGTCAAGCGGAAAGAGATGGCACGCATGCTTGAGGAAAGTGGGTGGGATAAGGACTGCAATCACGTTGTGTGTATGCAAGCGTGTTTTTTGAATGAAAGGAAGTACATGCATAAATCCGCATTGCCCGTTCTTGTGTTCTGCCTGGATGGACAACTGAAGGGTTTGCCCTCATGTCAGGACCGCTTTGTGTGCACCGTCACCAAGAGTAAGGAGAAGGTACACCGAAAGACTGCCACAAAAAAAAGGGGGTGGTACACCAAGGAAGGAATGAAGAGCGTTCTGCAGTGGAGCTCGAGCCCTTGCCTGCAAACAAACATACCCAAGTCCCTGTAAAATCATGTCGCCGTTTTGCTTTCAGGAAGCATGCCAAAGACCATATTGCTTCCGGCCCAGGAGCTACATAGCTTCAGTTGTGAAGTACTGCGAGGTGGAAGGTCGCGAGCGGTTGGTGAAGACACAGTGGCCGCATTCATGCCCATAAACCTCAACTATGTACCTGCTTGACCCACAGAATGTTGCCGGCTATTGTCCTAGAGTTGCATGGGTGGCCTGATGGTGGAAAAAACAAACTTAGGAAGGACAAGTACAACAAGAAGGTTCGCAAATACTATGTGGAATACGAAGAGGATGATGAAAGTGGAAATGAATCAATTGAGCGCGAAAAGGAAGAAGAGGTGAAGGCGTGTTCTGGATATTTGGGCTCTGGCTGGAGGAACCCTGCATACTCGGATTTCTGCGCGCTGAGCCTCCCTGCCCACCGCAGGCTGGCAAGTTGGTGAAGTTCGACAGCCTGGGCAAGGGCAAAAACCGGGTGACTTCAAAACCGCGTCCAGCGGAGTCAGAAGACGATGAGGCCGCTGAGGACGAGAAGGAATCCAAGGCTGAGCAATCCAATGGTCCAGCGAAGGAGCCCTTGCTACATAGTCATGAGAACATGGGTTGAACCTTCACTCTTTGTCAGGGAGCCTGAAGTGACCAAAGTCAGCATGTTTGTGCCACATCCTTGTTTGCGGGCTCGAGGAGTATGGTGCCTTGAAGAAGTTTGGGGATTCGCTCCTTACCAGGGCCTCAAAGCTTTCGGACCTCATCGGAGATGTGGAAGAGGGGCTTGGCAAAAAAAAAGACTTTTGTGGGAAAGACCGAGCCCTCAAGCCTTGGCCTCACTTGCGCTTCCTGCGCTGTCCAACCAGCATGTGCGTGCGCACGTTAAATTGGGGATGACATTGCCAATGAATTCAGGTTCATCAAGCAGCTTGAGGAATCCATCGAGGTGTTGAACGCCGAATATGAAGCTGTAGAGGGAACGAAAGCTGATTGCAAAGACTTGCTTGACAAGAAAATCACTGACCATGATGCAAAACCGCTAGACGCTCAGTCCATTGGTTGACCTGGGCGGGAATTAGCAAATTGCACTGCAACTATTCTGTTCTTACATGCATCACTACTCTTGTTGTTGGGTGGGTTTAGGCGGATACCGAGGCTTCTGATCAAGCTGGATGCCCAAATCAAGTCTTCCTCCAAACAGCGCCCGGATTGCACATTAGTAAACTATGATTCCGAACAGCGGCCTTGCCTCGATCTGTCGAGGTGCTCGAAGGTCACCACGGCGGAGGCTGCTGCGAAGAGCCTTGTCCGGACACAGGGGAGAACCCCCAAACAAGCGTGTTCTCATTTCAGTTGCTGTTTGACAGAACCATGATGAGATCAGTTGCATCTGCTACTGTTCGATTGGAGATTGGTCACTCTATTGGCGATACTCCTTTGGCTTGAACTGGGCTATGCGTTTTGCCATTGCTTCAGGAATATCCTCAAGCTCCTGAACAAGGAGTAGGGGCATGCGAATCCTGATGCCTGGTGAATTACTTTGCCAAGACAGCGACCAACATGCCGTCCTGGTTCAGTTAGGTGTAATAGCAGCGGATATGTTCGCTGTTGGGGTTTTGGGACAGGCGACCGCGATTGGAACCCTGTCCTTTGGGGGCAACACGTGCAAAGCATGTGACTCTAAAAAGAGCACGGGAGCTTGAAGAAGCAAGCCGAGCGGTGCAAATAGAAAAATGGCCATAGCCATCATGATGTTCACTGGTTTGACACGCGCAACCAAAAGCCTTGTTTCTGCATGCATAATGCGTCACGGAAGAATCTTGACTGCGTGTTGTCTGCCAGGTACCCAGCAGAAGAAGTTGAATATGCCAGACACATCCAAGAAGGTGGTGAGCAAACTTGCTCGGCTCATCGTCAACGGGGCCATGGCCCCAGCAATGAACCGTATGATGTACACATGCAACGCATTGCTAGACTCGAGTGGCTTCGCAACAGAACCCGCAGCCATGTCAGGATCATTGCGCGCAAGTGCGTAATGTTTGAAACACTGAGCCAACGAAGCAGCCAACCAAACAGCGTGCGCGTGCAGGAACCAAAATCAAGTATGGTGGACGCCTCGAAACCTTTGCCCTGCAATTGCCGTGCGTGTGAGTCAAGCCATGGATTTGGACCCGCTTGATGAGTTGCTGGACCTCTTCACGTACACATGCCCTTTTTCTGGCCAGAAACGCACTGCAGGAGTTTTGGAAAAGGGGCCCAGCAAGGTCGCAAAGTTCCTGGTCTCAAGGGCCATGCAGCCACTGTAACGTTCTTTGTGGTTGCGATGGTACCGTTTCAAGTTTGGGGTGGGGATTGAAGTATCAAAGAAATGAGTTAGTTGATCACATGTTGAGGAACCATCTCCCTTGTGAACCCTCTGCTTCAAGAACCAGCTTGGATGAACTCTACATGGACTATTTTGCCCGAGAGCCCGCCGCCGTGCCTGAATCCGGATCTCATCACGCCATCAAGGCGCTCGACGCATGGCGTGGTTACATGCAATCAACCAGTGAACGTTTCTGTAGCCCCAAAACTAAACACGCTGTTGAGTCAACTGCTTTAGACTGTCAGGAAGCTGCCCAATCAGATGCAGCATCTCTTTCGGAGCTGGGTGTTGCCTTCAAAGCTGATGGGTTTGATTGGGGCTCGACCCGTGCCTATGGCCTGCACAACAAGTGCATGTGTTCCCAAAAAAGTGGCAAAGCCACTGCTGGCAGAATCCTTGCCCACGCCAAGGCCCTCGTTACATCCTTGAGGGAAAGCGTTGGGGTTCGTTTGTGCGTTTTCAAAGTTGGTGTGACAGCCAACCCTTTGACTCGATACTCGTTTTATCTTCAACATGGGTACACTTGTATGTGGCTGATTGCAGTGTCACCTAGCGTAGACTCAATTCATATGCTGGAAGCAGCGCTCATTTCAGAATTTCACAGGCATGTTGGGTGCAAAAACAAGCCTGAAAGTGGTGGCGAGGGTGCCTTAAACCGAAGCATTCCTCCGGAGCCGCCGTACTTTGCATATGTTGTTGGTGGCCGGGCGGATCAGGGTCACTGGGTTGGATGACTTTTAAGCAGAACCGATGAGCGATGAGGAAAAACTGTCAAGTGCCCCATATGAATTGCAAAACATGCATGCGTGTGCGTTTCCATGTGTGTGCAAACCGCATCATTACTTGCATGTGTTGCGCTCGCTGTTCATGGCTGCTTCGCGTATTACGCGCTGGCCGAGGCCTCCTGCTCACACGTCGTGGAGGTGGCCCAGGCCCAGGTTGAGGACCACCCCCAATCAAGTGCTGTTATGCGCGAGTTCGCAGCTATTCGTTTGCAAGATGCTGAGGAAGGATGCCACCGGCTATTTCGCAAGTATGGGTTGTGTGCTCCTGTTGAGGTTGAAAGGACAGATCTTGGTCCTGGTCCGTTGAGTGATTTCCCGTTTATCAGGGTGAGCGCGTGGGCCCGGTATTTACTCGACACGGGTAGACTTACTAGGCAGCTGTGCGGCATACAATCATTTGAGCATTTGGGGCCTACTTTGTTGGAGTTTTGGGCGCGGTACAGATCATTACACCCTACTCACGAGCTCTTTAGCTGGAGTGATGCTGGTTTGGTTGACTTGAGCAAGGCTATACCGTTTTATTCACACACTGACGAAGGACGTACTTACAAAAAGCAGGGACTGCTCATCATCTCAGTACATGGCGCAATTGGCCGCGGAACTCGGTCCTACCTTCGCAGCAAGAAGCACATGGTGCCATTGAAGCGCAGGGGCATGGGGCTCAACTACATTGGGACGACTTGGGCTTCGCAGTTCATGTTTGCTTCGATGAGTCGCCCTCTTAGCAGTTCCAACCCTGGCTCTCTACAATCGCTGGTGGATATTTTTGCATCTGATTGCGCTGGGCTAGCAAGGCATGGCGTTACAAGCACTGACGGCAACCAACATGTCTGGCTTATCCATATAGCAACAAAGGGGGATCTTCCTGCTTTGGTCAAACTAGGATCTTTCAAGCGGTCCTTCTCGCATGTTCCCCGAGCTCCGAGCTCAAAACGAGATTGCGCTGGCGTTTGCCACCTATGCCTTGCTGGCCAGGAAGCTGAACATGATGCTGACCGACCAGCATACCCGTTTGAAGACTTGTCTCCGAACCCTGTTTGGATGAGTACTTATGAGCAAGTTTTGCCCTGGGATGAAACGCCTGTGATTCTTCAAGGGCTTCCTCTAGAGCGTTGTTGCTTGGCCTCCTTCTTCGTTCCGGACTTCTTTCACAATTTCCACTTGGGGGTTGCTAAGCACTGGGTGGCGAGCAGTTTGATTTCCATCACCGAAAGATTGGACACGCTTCCTGTACGAGCAGCTGTTGATGCTCAACTTGCATGGATGTCTGCTGACTTCCGATCCTTTTGCAAGCAAAAGAGAATTAGCGCGCACACCTACGAAATTAGCAGGGCCACCTTGTCGTTTCCCTCGTCGCGAAATTGCCCAGAAGGTTCGTGGAGCAAAGGTTCCACTTCGACGCAGTTGATGCTCTATCTCGAGGACCTGTGCAACAGGTTTGTTGTCAAAAAGACCGACGACCAGGTGCTGTTGGCTGTTGTTTCCTGGCATTGTGCTTTTCAAGTTTTTGGAAAGCTGTGAACTGTGGTATGGACTTTTCAACTTTTTTGAGAGATTTGAACTGTGGTATGGACTTGCTTCCGGTAAATTTCTGTTTGGGGAAAAGAGTAGATTTATTTGGTTCGTGTTTGGGAAACTGTTCTCACTGGTATTGTTCAGCCCTGCGTGTTTAGAGGTTGCTTTGCTTTATTCACTCCATCTTGGCTATTGACAAGCCGCGCACGGCTGAGGCAAGGGGCACCTGCGCAATGAACAACGCGATGAGGTTTATGTACAGCAGCGGGTTTTGGATTTTGAGCGGTGCGGCCAAACAGCTTGGACTGTGGCTTTTGGTGTTCCTGAATAAGTATGCTGCTTGCGTGCGGCTCAGTTTGGACGCTGGGTTGAATCGCTTCAGCTTGGTCCCTAAGATCCACATGATTCATCATACGGCCTTGCAAGTAACACAAGAAGCTAGCCGGGCCAAATTTGCTAAAAACCCGCTAGCTCACTCAGTACAGTGCCAGGAGGATTACATAGGGAGGGGTGCACGGATCAGCAGGCGAGTGAATGCTCGCCGCCTTCATGAAAACACCCTGGCACGAAGCTTGATTGCTGTTCTTCAAGCGTTGCAGTCTTCAGATCTAGACGATCGAGGCTTGACTGGCCCAGTGTAAATCTAGATTGGGGAAGTAGCATAGCGGGGCAAACCATATTTGTTTCATGGGTTGATTGATCAACATCAAACCGCAACTTAAATTTTGATATTATTTGCCAACACCCTAGCATCATAATGTATTTCGACTCGGTGTATGCTACTTTTGCTTGACCTATTGCCCTGCGTGCGCTTTCTCCTTATGAGGTTTCATGTGCAGGCATGCATCCAAGCCCCACGCGGGGTTTTGAGCGCAGAAAAGGCACGGACGGGCGAGCGGCCCCCCAGCCCCCCCAACTCTTGTGTGTGTGGCGCACCATGGTTTCTTCCTTCTGGGCCCACCCAATCTTGATGATGTAAACTTACATGGCAAACCCCAAAAAGAGCAAAATCAAAAAAGGACGTAATTTTGGGAAAGGGTCGTAAATTTACGAAGGGGCCGAAAACAAATCTGTTTTTTGGACCAACCGCAAAAGGGAAGGACAAACAGGCCACAGGTATGTGTATATATATATATATATATATACACGGCAAGGAGTTTCAACGCAGGATAGCTTGGCTTTAAGTCCCCACCTTGGGAGGTCCAAAAAAAATCGGTTCTCAGCTTCCGGCCACAGCCACCCCAGCCAGGCGTGATCCTCGCCCAGCAAAGCGCTGAACTCTGCCTGAGAACACGCCAGGGCCTTTGATTCGAGAATGGGGGGTCAGCATCAAGCGGTTGCTGGAACGACCCCTCTGCAAAAAGCTTAACTTGTTTGGTGGGTTTAATGGAAAACCCACAAAAAGTTTTGACTTTTTTGCGGGTTTATTGGAAAACCCCTTGATTTCCCAAAAAGCTAAAGTCTAAAGATCCAACTCGATAGCAGTAGAGGCAGTGTGGTTGGATCGTAGGGGGCTCCCCAGTTGCAAAACTTCACCGCCACTTCGGGGATTTGGGTCGCTGTTGTTTACTTTTTTCTTTCTTCGGGGGTCCCTGAGTGAACTTTGTCGGCCCAAAACAGAAGACACGCCTCCGGCAAGCTATCTCAGGGAGTTCAACCCGCCCGGCCCTCGCACCACCCCCCCCCCCCCCCCCGGCCTCATCCCATCTTGGAGGAAACCAGGGAGATGGAGAGGAGGGTGGGGGGCGCGCAGGGGGAAGGGTACATCCTTTGATTGGTAAGAAGGGGACTGGATGCTCATTGGGATTCTTTGCGCAGACCATAAACTTCGCCATTTAGGGT